CCCTCTTAAAACATGCCGACTGGGGGATTCTGGGAGTTGAAGTCCACTCCCTTAAACATGCTGACTGCGGGATTCTGGGAGTTGGAGTCCACCCCCTTAAACATGCCGACTGGGGGATTCTGGGAGTTGAAGTCCGCCCCTCTTAAAACATGCCAACTGGGGATTCTGGGAGTTGAAGTCCACCCCTCTTAAAACATGCCAACTGGGGGATTCTGGGAGTTGAAGTCCGCCCCTCTTAAAACATGCCGACTGGGGGATTCTGGGAGTTGGAGTCCACTCCTTTAAACATGCCGACTGGGGGATTCTGGGAGTCGGAGTCCACTCCTCTTAAAACATACCGACTGGGGGATTCTGGGAGTTGGAGTCCACTCCTCTTAAAACATACCGACTGGGGGATTCTGGGAGTTGGAGTCCACTCTTCTTAAAACATACCGACTGGGGGATTCTGGGAGTTGCAGTCCGCCCCTTTTAAAAGTTCCCAAGTTTGGAAAAAGCACATTCTTCGTCTATCGCAATAGAAACTTGACTTCGATTTATAGACCAAGCGGAAGGTGGAAAAACATTTGTTCTTAGACTCTCCCACAGGAAAGACTTAAAAAGGGAAGGGAGATAGGTGTGCTTGTGTGTTTGTGTGTATTTTTCCCCGCTCTGCAATCCCGTCCATTAACGGGGAGACACGGGGTCTGCGGAGAAGCGTCCGATGGAGCTCCTGTCCTTACTGACTACATCTCCCCCCTCCCCAATTAATTCACCGACGACAGGAAGCATTTATCCCAGCATCATCAAATATTAAAGGGGTCTCTCTCTCTCGATTTCCCTCTCCCCCCTCCCCATTTCCTCCCCTCTCTCCACGGAGGGGCCGGTATGTGGGTTTCTCTCTTTGTGTGTTTAGAAATAGTGAACCCCCCCTCAAAATAGTGGGGTAACTCCCACCCCCCTAAATTTCTTCCGATTCACGCCACAGCTCAGGATATCAGTCCACCCCCAGCCCCCCAAGCTGTGGTTCTCAACCGGAGGCCGCTTGAAGAAGGGCGAACTTCAACTCCCAGGATTCCCTCGGGGGTGGGTGGGAGGGAGGGAGGGAGGGGGGGGGCTGGGGAATTCTGGGAGTTGAAGTCCGCACAGCTCTAGAACTTGTGTGTGTTGGTTGTCTCTCTCTCGGTGCTTGCTGAGACACACACCCCCCGGGGCTTTGGAGACCCCCACAACTGACCCCCCCCCATTGCAAGCAGGATGGCTACAGGGAATTGCCGTGTTTAGAAATGGCTGCATATTTAAGATGGCATTGTGTGTTTGACATGCTCTTACGTCCTCTCTCCTCTTCCTCTTCCTCTTCCTCCTCTTCTTCCTCCTCCTCCTTCTCTTCTTCCTCCTCCTCCTCCTTCTCTTCCTCTTCCTCCTCCTCCTCTTCCTCCTCCTCTTCCTCTTCCTCTTCTTCCTCCTCCTCCTCTTCTTCTTCCTCCTCCTCTTCTTCTTTCTCCTCTTCCTCCTCCTCTTCCTCCTCCTCTCCTGCAGGGAGGCTATAGGCCTGGTTTGTGAAGCCGTGCCTAGCAACAAGGGAGCCGTGCGTAGGAGGAAGGTAAGACGAGACTCGACAGCCATTTGTCCAAAATGGGATAGGGTCTCCTGTCCGAGGAAGGGGGTTGGACTAGATGACCTCTGAGGCCCCTTCCCGCTCTGTTATTCCGTATTCTGAGCAGGGGGTTGGACTAGAAGACCTCCCAGGCCCCGTTTTCAACTCTGCTATCCTGTTCCCCTCTATAAGAGACGCCCCGAGGATCCCAAAATTGCTAATTTATTTGAAGGCATCCTAACAGAAACCGGGGGGGAGGGGGGGAAGTTTCTCTCTACTCCCACCTTACACCGAAGAGAATCAAAGCGGCGAGAACTCGATTCTCCTTCTCACCCCCTTTCTCCTTGGGCAGGACTCGGTTGAAAGGGGAGGGGGCTCTCCTCCCTGAAGGGCCATAAGCCCCCCTCCTTTCTCAAACTCAGGTCATCCCCTTCTTGATCCTTTTTATCTGAGAAAAGAGATGCTGATCTAGATGATTGATCCTAAAATCATGGGGGGTGGGGGGTGAGAGGAAAGCCCCCCCCCAACCACCAGGAAGGAAATGGACACACGTGGTTAGGAGATCTCTGACCTCTAACTCCCCCCCCTCCCCACTTTCCGAGGCCGCCGCTGGTTGGAAAATCAATCCGAGGTGTCAATCAACGCTCCAGGCGCCCAGCGGAACTGATCAATAAGATGGCCACTAATGGATGCTGTAGGAAAAAATGGGGAGGGGGCTGATTCTTCCCCCTCCCCCCCCACACACACACACACTTAATTGTGTGTTATCGACACGCCAATTTCTTCTGCCTTGGGATTTCTTAGCGTCAGCAAAAGGGGCCGGTTTAATTTTTTGCATTCATGAAATGATTCCTCCCTCCTCTCGTTGAGTCCGCAAAGGGGGGGGGGTGTCACGAGAATACAGGGAGTCTTTGATTTACGACGGTTCGTTTAGGGACCGCTTGAGTGGTGCGGTGGCCTAGAGGTGGAGCCTCTCGCCTCACAATCAGGAGGCCGTGAGTTCGATCCTAGGTAGAGGCGTGTATTTTTCTCTCTCTGGGCAGAATGAGAATATTATCTGCCGAACAAAACTCCGTTCTGGCGACAGGAAAGGGATCCGGCCATTCAAACACTCACCTCCATTCAGTTGCCCAGGCTCCACCCAGCAAGGGATTTACAGGGTCGTTAAAAGATTATTTATTTTAGTGACCTTTCAAAGTTGTGGCAACACTGAAAAAAAGCAACATAGGACCGTTCACACTTACGACTGTTGCCGCATTCCCACGCTCGAGTGATCAAAATTGGGACGCTTGGCAACCGACTCGTATTTATGACGGTTGCAGCATCCCCAGGGGGCGTCACGCAATCCCCTTTTGCGACCTTCCGACGAGCCAAGTCAACGGGGAAAGCCAGATTCATTTAACGACCGGGTGGCTCACTTAACAACAGCAGTGATTCGCTTAACAACCGTGGCAGGAAAGGTCGTAAAAATCGGACAACATGGACTGAACCACTGTCTCACTTAGCATAAATAAATTTGGGGCTCAGTTGTGATCGTAAGACGAGGACTCCCTATACATGCCAGCTGCCGAGCGGCCTGAATTTATTATTCATAATTTATTTGCAAGTGCCCCACTTAGTGACCTAAATTGCGGTCGTAAGTCAAGGACTACCTGTAACATTCTGGCTGCCGAGTGCCTGAATTCTTGTTCATAATTTATTCGCCAATGTCCCGCTTAGCGACCTAAATTTGGGGCCTCGTTGTGGACGTAAGTCGAGAACCCCCTGTAACATGCCGGCTGCCGAGCAGCCTGAATTTATTGTTCATAATTGGTTCGCCAATGTCCCGCTTAGTGGCCTAAATTGGAGTTGCTCCATCGCAGTCGTAAATCGAGGACTTGCCTGAATTCTGTTTTTTTTTTTCCCTTCGGCAGCCCTGCGGCCGTGCGCTCAACTCCATCCTCGGCAAGACCAACCTGAAGTTCGCCGCTATGCCCATAACGCTAACCATCTCGACCAGCAGCTTGAACCTCATGGCGTCCGACTGTAAACAGGTAAGGGTCCCTATTCCACCTTCGGGCTCTGCTTGTTAACCAGGTCTCGTTTTGTGACGTGCATTGCCCGACGCAGAGGGAAGAACCTCTCCGGGCCCCGAATCGTTTGGCCTTCACCCCAAAAAATCCAAATTTCTGTTGCTGAACGAGAGATTTGTGAGTTTTGCCCCCATTATACGACCATTCTTGCCAGGGTTGTTAAGTGAATCACTGCAGTCGTTAAATGAGTCAGACGGTCGTTAAGCGAATCCGGCTCCCCCCTTGATATTGCTCATCAGAAGGTCGCAAAAGGACTCCTGAAGACTTGCGACCGTCATAAATACGAGCCCGTTGCTGAGCGTCTGAATTTGGATCCCGTGATCGTGGGGGAGGAGGCTACAACAGTCGTTAAGCGTGAAAGACGGTCCTAAATCTGAATAGTTCTAACCCGAAGATTGTCCGTGATGTGTTTTTCTTGCTCTGATTCGAACTGCTCGACGTCCGGTCTCAATTTTATCCTGCTTTCGATTTGTAGATCATCGCCAATCACCATATGCAGTCGATCTCGTTCGCTTCCGGAGGGGATCCGGTGAGTATCATGAGATATTTCCCCCCCCCCCCAAAAAAAAATTCTTCCCCCCCCCCCAAAAAAAATCCTTTGGGGCAGATCTACAGTGGATCCCACTGTTATTTTATGCTCGCTTCAACGATCAACGATTCTTTGATCGCTCAGCCGATCAAAGAATTCCACTGGTGTTTACCTCCTGTGAGAATCCCGGTGGATTAAAATGGATCTCCTGCCGGCTTGTTTTTCCTCTCTCTTCCTCTCTGTCAAGTCCCGATGGATTTCTGGTCATCATCTTTTAACGACTCCATAATCCCTTGCGGGGTGGAGTCTGGGCAACTGAATGGGGCTAGCAGAATATTTTACTGGCCGGATGCCTTTCTTGTCACCAGTGCGGAGTTATATTCAGCAGATAATATTCTCATCGTGCCCAGAGAGAGAGAAATATCCGCCTCCACCTAGGATCGAACTCACAGCCTCCTGATTGTGAGGCGAGAGGCTCCACCTCTAGGCCACCGCACCACTCTGATCGTCCTCTTTGTATTGGATGAAAAAACAAATCAAACGATTAAGTAATTAATTAAGATTAATTGGGGATTAAGGAACAGAAGTTCAACCTTAAACCTGCGGATTAATTGAGGGTTGATTCTTAATCTTCAGGCAGTCCTCGATTTACGACCACGTGACCCCGGGACATAAATATGCATCAGTTACCAAAAGTCTGAATTTTGATTGCGTGACCACGGAGATGCAGCAGTCGTAAGGGTGAATAACTCCAAATCTGACTTTCGCCAACTTATTTTGCATTTTTTTTTCAGGATACGGCGGAATACGTCGCTTATGTTGCCAAAGATCCCGTCAATCACAGAGGTAAGTTTTGCCGTCATCTTGGCTTGGATCTGCCAATCCTGGCTTAATCCTGGCTTCTTTTCCTGCAGCCCGTTTCATTTTTTTTTTTCCCCTCCGGCTTCCGATTCAGCTTGGAAACACGATTGCCTTATGATTCAGTTAGCGGCCATTCAGAGTTACAACGGGGCTGGAAAAAAAGGGAACCTCGGACCGTTGTTCACACTTAACGACCGTTGTCGCATCCCCCACGCTCAACGGGATCCGAATTGGGAACTGATTCACATATATGACGGTCGTAGCGTCCCCTTTTGCGACCTTTCCATGAGCAAAGCCAATGGGGCATTCCAGATTTCTCTTAACCACCGTGTTTCTAATTGAACGCCTGTGGTGATTCGCTTCACGACTACAGCTTGGAAGGTCGTAAAACGGGACGAAACTCACTTAACCAATGTTTCACTTTTAGCCACCAAAAATTTCGGGCTCAATTGTCGTCATAAACCGAAGATTGCCTGTATTTTGCGATGGGAGGAAAATACTTTTTCTTCCTCCATAGGCCCCTGTGGTTCAAATAATCCATAAATCAATAATCAAATAATCCATAATCCATTAATAATCAATCAATAAAGGCCACCCCCTTTTCTTTGGGGTCTCTCTTCAGCTTGCCACATCCTGGAGTGTCCCGAAGGGTTGTCGCAAGACGTCATCAGCACCATCGGACAAGCGTTCGAATTGCGCTTCAAGCAGTACCTTAAGAACCCTCCTAAACTCGTCACACCGCACGACAGGTAGGGCAAAGCAGAATAACAAGAGTCGGAAGGGACCCTGGAGGTCTTCTAGTCCAACCCCCTGCTTAGGCGGGAAACCCTCCACCACTTCAGACAAATCTGTTATCCAACATCTTCTTAAAAGCTTCCAGTGTTGGAGCATTCGCAACTTCTGGTGGCAAGTTGTTCCGCTGATTAATTGTCAGATAACTATCAAAGCAGGATTGGAACTTGCCGTCGGGTTTTTTTTTTCCTGCGTGCCGGTATTCCTCGACTTACAACAGTTTATTTATTGTCCGTTCGAAGTCGCAACAGCACTGAAAAAAGAGCCGTTTTTCACACACTTATGATGGTTGCAGTATCCACGTGATCAAAATTCAGACGCTTGGCAACTCGCATTTACGACGGTCGCAGCGTCCCCGTGGTCCCCTTTTGCGACCATCGGACGAGCCACGTCAGCGGGGGGGGGGGGGGGGGGCCAGATTCGCTTAGCAACCTTAAAAGCTGAGGTGATTCACTTAACAGCTTTGGCAAGGAAGGCCGTGAGGCAAAATTCACTTAATGTGTCTCGCTTAGCCCCATAAATTTTGGGTTCCATGCTGGTTGTAAGTCGAGAACTGCCTATATTGACTTAATAACTGTGGTAAGACAGGTGTTGGGCAAAATTTCACTTAGGTGTCTCGCTTAGCAACGTATGTTTTGGGTTCTGTTGTGGTCGTAAGTTAAGGACTACCTATATTCACAATAACTGGCAAGACAAGTCTTGGGAAAAATGCACTTAACAACTGTCTCGCTTAGCAACATAAATTTTGGGTTCCGTTGTGGTCATAAGGCGAGGACTTCTGGAGGACTAAATTTTTTTAGGTTCCATTGTAAGTCGAGGAATAAAGTTGTTATTCACTTAATAATTGTGGTAAAACAGGTCTTGGGCAAAATTCACTGAAGTGTCTCACTTAGCAACGTAAATTTTGGGGTTCCGTTTGTGGTCGTAAGTCGAGGACCGCCGTCTGTGTTCCTGATTTGGTTCTCTCACCACCCCTGACCAGGATGGCCGGGTTCGACGGCTCCGCTTGGGACGAAGAGGAAGAGCCGCCTCCTCCTGACCACCAATACTACAACGATTTTCCGGGAAAGGAACCTCCCTTAGGAGGGGTAGTTGACCTGCGTTTGCGGGAAGGGGCTGCGGCGGCTCAGACCCCCAACAATTTGGGGGCCACCTTGGTAAGTTCCCCCCACACACACACACTGACAATTGAGCACGATGTAAGTCATTTCTAAGTGCAGACGTCTTGACGCAACTTATGCTCCGTGTTCCGTCACTTGTCCTCAGTTTTTCCTCTCTATTCTGTGAAATGGGTTCGTCGGGCCCTTGAGGCTTCCTTGAGATCCTTTCTAGCCACTCCCATCTGCTCCTCTCCCCCAAAATTCGACCCCCAGCCAGACACAATTCTTCAATTTACCCATACCATTGCCTGGAATGCTGAACAAAACTCCGTACTGGCAACAGGGAGAGCATCCGGCCAGTAAACATTCAACTCCATTCAGTTGCCCAGATTCCATCCCGCAAGGGGTTATGGAGTCATTAAAAGAAGATGATGAGTGCAGGAATATTAGACTGCGGGAAAACGGGACTTAAAATATTCATTTAAACCTTCAATTATTCTTCCTTCCTTCCCGTAGCCTGTCGGACAAGTGGTTGCTGGGGACTACGAATCCAAAAAGCCCCATTCGGTCGCACAAGGTAAGTGATTCAGCAATGAAGTTGGCGCCTTTAAGTTAAATCTTGCCTGGGGGGATTCTGGGAGTTGAAGTTCCACCTATCTTAAAAGTTGCAAAGTTTGGAAAACACCAAGTTAGGCTATTTTAATAGAAACTTAAAAGCCTTTTTTCTTTTTAAACTTCGGCTTCTTTCTCAATCATGGGAACATTAAGACTTCAACTCCCAGAATTCCTCAGCCAGCATGTCAGTTGGGGAATTCTGGGAGTTTTTTTTTGCAACTTGGTTCTTGCATGTAATTTCTGAATTCCCTGCCCAGACGAGCGAGGTAGTTTATTGAATCTCGTTGCTCTGCTCGATGATATGTGGGAAAAAAAATGGATGGATTTCATAAGGACTAGCACCCTAAGGAGGATTTGCGGAGCAAATGGATGGGTGCTGAAAATAGATTGGCCCCCCAAGTGAGGATATTAAAATAAATGTGTCTCCAGCAGTGGCTTTTGGTGAAAAGAACATTGATTAGAGAATTCTGGGAGTCTGCCCCTCTTAAAGCATGCTGGCTGGGGGATTCTGGGAGTGGAAGTCCTCCATCTTAAAGCATGCTGGCTGGGGGATTCTGGGAGCCGAAGTCCACCCATCTTAAAGCATGCTGCTGGGGGATTCTGGGAGTTGAAGTCCACCCATTTTAAAGCATGCTGGCTGGGGGATTCTGGGAGCCGAAGTCCACCCATCTTAAAGCATGCTGGCTGGGGGATTCTGGGAGTTGAAGTCCACCCATTTTAAAGCATGCTGCTGGGGGATTCTGGGTTGAAGTCCACCATCTTAAAGCATGCTGGCTGGGGATTCTGAGAGTGGAAGCCCACCCCTCTTAAAGCATGCTGGCTGGGGAATTCTGGGAGTGGAAGTCCTCCATCTTAAAGCATGCTGCTGGGGAATTCTGGGAGTTGAAGTCCCCATCTCTTAAAAGTTGCCAAGTTTGAGAAACCCTGGTTTAGGATATTGTAATAGAAACATGAAAGCTAATATGGGCAATAAATTTGATAAATAAAATAAAATAAATCTGTCTTTACATTAACTTACGGCTAGCCGAATCAAGGTAGAGAGAGAGGTGGCTATTGATTATCTTCTGTGTATTTATCAACCAATCGGAACTTTCAAGAGGTGTGGACTTCCAACTCCCAGAATCCCCCAGGTTCGGAGGCTTGTTTTCACAAGGTGGGGCTTTATTCCCTCCCTTTCAGGCAGGGATCGGGGCCCTCCTGGCCGCCCCGAATTCGTGGTGGACCCTTCCTACGTTAACGTGCAAAATTTGGAAAAATTGCAGCCGGGGGTCCAGAGCGTGACTTCTAATGGCAGCGTCCAGCGAGACCTCTTCGACATGAGTGAGTAGCGGAAGAGGAGGAGGGAGGGATCTGGCTGCAATGGCTGTACCAGGTAGTCCTCGACTTAACGACAGTTCGTTTAGTGACCGAAGTTAACAACAGCACTGTTCTCCAAAGCACCCCCGAAGTCCAGACAAGGAACGAGGGATGGAAACGGATCAAGGAGAGATTCAACTTAGAAATAAGGAGGAATTTTCTGAAAGGGAGAACAGTCAACCGATGGAATAGACATAGAAGTTGCCTTCAGAAGCTTCGTCCCTGGAAGCTTTCAAGAAGAGACTGGGATTGACATCTGTCAAAAATGGCGTCGGGCAGGGGGATGGACTAGATGACTTACAAGATCCCCTCCAACTCTGTTATTCTGATTTATGACCATTTCCCACACTTACGACTTTCGTAACATCCCCGTGGTCACGCGATCAAAATTCCCAGATCACACCGGGCAACTGACTCGTATGACGATTGCAATATCCCCAGGATCACACGATCCCCTTTTGCAACCTTATAACGAGCCAGTGGAGGAACTCAATTCGCTTAATAACCGTGTCACTAACTTAACGACGGCAGGGGCAGGAAAGGTCATAAAACAGAGGTGGAGGGAAACTCTTCTTGCTCAGCGATGGAAATTTAGGGCTCCGTTTTGGCTGTAAGTCGAGAACTAGCTATAATAGATCACTCCTAACGACGGCTTTCATCCCCAGAGCCTTTTGAGGATGCCTTGCGGGCGCCCCCGCCACCGCCCACTCCTCCGTCCCACCCGCCAGCTACCATGGAGGAGCAACTCCGGCGGGAATCATGGTATCACGGTCAAATGAGCCGCAAAGAATCGGAGAAACTGTTGCAAGCCAACGGGGATTTCCTGGTGCGGGAAAGTACCACCACGCCGGGACAATATGTCCTCACCGGACTACAGGGCGGACAGCCCAAACACCTTCTTCTCGTCGATCCGGAAGGAGTGGTAGGTCGGATTCCGGGGAGGGGGGTTGGTGGGGGGGGTTGGGCAAGGAGGGGTGGGGAGAAGGGATTGTCTTGTTGACGGGACCCCCGTCTGCTGGAAGGAAAATGGTGTGGAATATTTTATCGTCGATATTTTTCTCCCTATATATAACTTTTGCTGTTTTGTCGATGCATAAGGTAGAAAAGAAAAATGGGGAAATCGAGGGAAGAAAAAAGAAAGGTGGAAAGCAGCAGAAAATGTTGGGCTCAATTGATGGTTGTAATGCAAGAATTATCTATACTTCTCCCTGATCTGTTCCCACCCAGGTTCGGACAAAGGATCATCGCTTTGAAAGTGTGAGCCATTTAATCAGCCACCATATGGACAATCGGTTGCCCATCATCTCGGCCGGCAGCGAGCTGTGTCTACAGCAGCCCGTCGAGCGGAGACAATGAGCACGACGACTGGAGTCGCATCACTACAAAGGCCCTTAAAGCGGGGAACTCTTCCGTCTCCCCAGTCCTGTGGACTTCTCCGACAGCTGCTAAAAAGGGCTGTCTCCTCTGCCAAAGCATTTTATGGGGTCGAAGGGACTCGGATGAGCCCCAAAACCCATCGTGTCCTCCCAGACCACCTCTCTCTACGTCTTGCCACGGCCCGGCTTTTCCTGGTTGGAGCGAAGCGCCGTCTAGCCAAGATTCTAGTCCTCAAGAGCTGTCCAGCTTCGGTTTTGTTGACGGTCCTTCAAGAGTCCTTCTCGCCTTGGACAACTTTTGTCTCCTCCGCTAACTGTTCAGGAATAGCCAGGCGATCTCGTGTGCGCCTCGTTGTGTCTTCTGCGACTGATGCCAAAGTCCCTGTGAAAGTGTCCTCTTTTCGGGGGAGATTATTGTTTAAAGCACAAAAAAAAGGGAAATAAAGGGCAACTCGTTCGGGGTCTGGAAGGCAGAAGTCTCTTTCTGCGCTTCCCACAGACCCCACCCCACCCCGCTCACTCATTTTTATATATGTTCTGTGTGTGCCTTGAACCTTTTTCAGGTCAGATTTTATGCAAAATTCCTCTTCCTTTGGAGGTTCTCACAAGGCTGCCTGGTTTTTTGGGGGAGGGGGCTGCAGGAGGGAGAAAGGGGCAGTCGTTTCTCACTCGCCTCCTTCTGATCCATCATGGTTGCCCCATAATTTATCCCCTTCTTTTCTCCCCACCCGCAAAAGCCCAGGCTAAGCACCAGTGGTGGGATTCAGCCGGTTCGGGGAAACCGGTAGTTAAATTGTTGGCTGGCTCGGCCCCTCCCTGCCCAGGAGTCCCCACGCGTCCCATTTTGGCTCCCAGGTAAATGCAGGGAGGCCTCCTAAGCCCAAAATGGGGCATGGGGGGGCGTGTTCCCCCCGCAGCCCGTTTTTGCTCCCAAGTGCTGCCTGTTGCAATCCCTGGCTAGCCAGTCATTAGGGCAGAGAACCGGCTGTTCTCTGGATTAAAGGATGTTTTCCTGAATTAAAGGATTTTTTGCTGAATTTTGGGATGGTTTCCAAGAAGACGGTCCCAAAACTGAAGTGAGGGTCCCCCCAAAAAAAGATGAAAAGAGAAGAAAAAAAATTGGGTTTGTCTTCCAGCGCTGAGGCTGGTTCCCTTCCCAGTTTCTTCCCGGGGTCTGTACATAAGTGTGATAATTTGGTGTTGCATGTATGTTGTTATACTCAGAGGCCAATGTGTAGCTTTACTCTCTTATCACTGTGCCTGTACCCGCTACTCTGCGGGACCCCCGACCCTCCAAGCCCACTCAGCCCCTCCTCACTACGTCCTTTATACACACTTTGTATCGGTTTGATTTTCTCTCGAATATACCAAAGGAAATCAAATAGTTATTATTAAAGGTTGGTATTTCTTTAGCCTGTGGCTGCTGGGTGCCTTTTTTTCCTTTTTCAGGAAGGAGAAAGAGAAGGAAGGAAAGGAAGAAAAGGAAGAGAGAAGGGAAAGCAAAGGAAAGAGGAGAAAAATATTAGAAAGAAAGAAAGAGAGAGAGAGAGAAAGAGAGAGAAAGAAAAGGAGAAGGAGGGAAGGAATAAATGAAGAAGGGAGGAAAATGGATACAAAGAAGAAAGGAGAGATGAAGGAGAAGAAGGAAAGAAAAGCAAAGAGAAGGAGAAAATGAAGAATAAAGAAGGGAAAGGGGAATGAGAAAGAAGTAAAAAAAGGAAGTGGGAGGAGAGAAAGGAAGAAAGAAATAGAAAGAAAAAAAGGAGGGAAGAAAAAGTGGAAGGAAGAAAAAAGAAAAGGAAGGAAGAAAAAAAAGGAAGGAAGAAAAAAAGGAAAAGGAGGGAAGAAAAGAAGTGTAAGGAAGAAAAAAAAAGGAAGGAAGAAAAAGAAAGGAAGAAAAAAGGAAAGGAAAAAAGGAGGGAAGAAAAAAGAAAGTGGAAGGAAGAAAAAAAGAAAAGGAAGGAAGGAAGAAAAGGAAAAATGGAGGGGAAAAAAGGAAGAAAAGAAAAAAGAAAGAAAAGAAAAAGGAAGAAAAAAAAGCACCACTAGAGACTCAAGATGGTTGAATCTTATGTTTATTTATTCCTGCCATGAGCTTCTTAATTCAGCAACATCATCACCACTGGACACAAAACGGCGCCGGCGAGTGACGTCACGCCTTTCCTGACGCTCCATCCGCCTTCTGAAAGGCGCCTTTTTTTTTTTTTTTTAACCCTCGGGAACCATAGAGAAAGACGGGAGGCCTTGCGCCCAGAACAGCCGAAAGCGGCGGGACGGGGAAAAAAAAAAAAAAGCCACCTCCAAGATGTCTCCCGCCACCGGAAGCGCAGGGTTTTTTTTTTCTTCTCCCTCCTTCCTTCCCCTCCCGTCCTCTCTATCAGCTTCCGCTTCCGGCTCGCGTCGCGATGGCGCGGCCTGGGCCTCAGGGCCCCTCGTAGCCCGCGTCGCCCTCCGCGCCCGCTTGCTTCTTATGGCGGCCCCGCACCCAGACAAGCTGGAGGGGGGAGTAGGCCTCGCTCCGCCTGCTCCGGGTCCGCCGCCTCCGCCTCCGCCGCTGCCTCCGCCGCCGGGGAGCCTCGCCACGGGACCAGGCCGCAAGCAGGGCAAGGCCGGTAAGGGAGGGGCGGGGTGTGTGTGGGGGGGGCGGTTGCCATGGAGACGGGAGGCGGCGTTGCTAGGGAAACGGGGTCCCGCCTGGCTGGGAGGAGGTTGGGGAGGCCTTGATGATGGGCCCCTGATGATGATGGGCCTTGTAGTGCATCCCCAAGGAGGTCCTCCCATACGTGGGACTCTCCCTCCCATCATCCCCATCCATCCCCCTTCATTGCAAGGGGGGTGGAGGGGTTTTAATTCCCCTGCAATCCAGAAGCCCCTCCCACTGTTCCCTCCAAAATAGGCCGACCCTGCGAGGTAGGCTTTCCCCTCATCAACCAAAATTCCCCCACCCTTTTTTTATCCCCTGCAACGACAGCCCTGCAAGGTGGGAAGGCTGGCCTGAAAGAGAGGCACCTTCCATGGCTCTGAAAAGGTCATTTTTTTGATAGTTAGTTAGTTAGTTTTATATAACTAACTAACTAACTAACTAACTAACTAACTAACTAACTAACTAACTAACTAACTAACTAACTAACTAACACACACACATATATATATATATATAAACTAACATATATATATATATGTTAGTTTTATATATATGGCTAACTAACATATATATATACTATATAAAAGTTAGTTAGTTAGTTAGATTTATATATATATATATATATATATATGGCTCCTGCAGGGCAGATTTTCATTCTTAAGCCACTGTAAGGTCCCAAATTACACTTGAGTCACCAGAATGCCAAAGAGAGAGACTCAAGACGATAAGAGTGGATGAGCAATGGGTGACAAAAAGTAAAGAAAGAGAAGAGGGAGGGAGGGAGAAAAAGTGGATAAGGAGGAGTGGGTGACAAGGAAAGAAAGGAAGAGAAAGGGAGAGTGGAAGGAAAAGTGGATGAGTGGATGAAAAGAAGGAAGGAAAGAAAGACAAGAAGACGAAGGAGGGGAAAGTAAGGGAGAGGAAGGAAGAAGCAAGGATGAGTGGGTGGAAAGAAAGAAAGGAGAAGGTGAGAAAGGAAGAATAGGAATGAAGAGAGAAAAAGAGAGAGATGAAAGAAACCAGGTACACAATTATTATTATCCTTCTCATTTTCTCTACCACCTCCTATTATTATTATTATTATTATTATTATTATTATTGTTATTGTTATTGTTATTGTTATTGTTATTATTCCATTCCCTTGCATGTACACTGAGAGCTTTTGCACCGGGGACAAATCCCCGTCTCTTGGTGTGATCGTCTAATAATCACAATTTGCCAAATTTTAAAAAAAGGAGAAAAAAATGCCCCTGATGCCTTTTATTTTTTAAAAAAAGACCCTTTGAGACAATTCTTCCCCGGACGACTGCCAATCTCCATAGACGCTTGGACCAATATTCCAAATTTCTCTTTTTTTCTGCCTTGCTCAGGTCTTCAAATGAAGAGTCCCGAGAAGAAACGTCGCAAATCCAACACGCAGGTAATTTGGAGGTGGGTAGGAGGGAGGGGGGTTTCACGTGCCTTGGGTTCGAGACAGCCTTGGCTTCTTCCTTCCATGGCCCCCCTGTTGTATATTTATACATGCTTTTCTTTTTTTAAAATGGCCTTTTAAAAGAATGGGCTTGCACTTACAACCGTTGATGAGTGCAGAATGGCTTAATGACCAGTGATTCATTTAATGACCATTGCAAAAAAAAAATGTCATGAAGTCGTGTCTGGTCACGGGGTGCCTCAAACATACAACGGTAACACAACTGGAAATCTTGTCTCAGTTGCGGTGAATTGAGGATGACTTACATGAGAACCACATAAGTTAGTTTAATCGGGCATCCTGGTTATAGCTTGGACCCTCCCGCTATGTTCTTCTCTCCCCCCACACTTGGTACCTTCCAGATATATTGGCCTCCAGCGCCCCCTGCTAGGGACTGTGATGATAAGGCAACCTCTCTGGCCGATATAAGAATGCTGGTCTGCTTATTTGCCTCTTTCTTGTTGCAGGGCCCCTCCTATTCCCACCTCTCGGAGTTTGCCCCCCCTCCCACCCCGATGGTCGATCACCTGGTGGCCTCCAACCCGTTTGAAGATGACTTTGCCATCCCCAAGGTTGGCTCCTCTTCCGCGCCCTTCCTCGGCAACCCCGGCCCCTTTGGGAACTTCCGCATGCAAGGGGCGATGGGTCCCCAGGTCCCGCCCAGCTATGGCGGGGGTCCCCAACCCATGCGGAGGCAGCCGCCCCCCTTTGGACCGAACCAGATGGGCCCGGCGTTCAACATGCCCCCTCAAAATCCCGGCTACGTCCAACCCGGAGGGATGGGCTTTGGCGGGCAACCCTTCGGCCAGCCGCTGGGACAGAACTTCAGCCCCCCCGGCGGGCAAATCATGCAGGGGCCCATGGGGGCGTTCGGCCCCATGATGTCGCCAACCATGGGGCAGCCCCCTCGCGGCGGGGACATGGGCTCCGGGCCGACCCTCAACCCTCCAGGCGGACCGCCGATGGCCCAGCGATTCAGCCAGCCCGCCAACCTCTTTGGACAATCCCCCCTGCAGCGCCCCAACCCCAACCTCTCCAGCTTGCCCCCTAATCCCAGCCCCTTCCCGGGGCCCGACCCTGGCTTTCCTCCCTCTGCCGAAGACAGCGGGGCCCCCAAACCCCTCCACCCGCCTCCCAACAGCTTCAACCAGGAACAGCACACCGGCTCGCCGGCGGCCGTCAACGGCACCCAGCCCGCCTTCCCGCCCAACAGCACCGGCCACAGCGGCGGCACCGGGACTCCCGAAGGCAACCCCTTGCCCCCCACCAGCAAAGCAGCTGGCAACTCCGGCCACCAGCCTCCCCCGGGCTTGGTCTACCCCTGCGGGGCTTGCCGCAGCGAAGTGAACGACGACCAAGACGCCATCCTGTGCGAGGCTTCGTGCCAGAAGTGGTTCCACCGGGAGTGTACGGGCATGACGGAGAACGCCTACGGGCTGCTGACTACCGAGGCCTCGGCCGTCTGGGCCTGCGACTTCTGCCTGAAGACCAAGGAGATCCAGTCGGTCTACATCCGGGAGAGCATGGGGCAGCTAGTGGCCGCCAACGACGGCTGAGACCTCCCCTCCTTCCCCCGGCTGTCCTCGCCCCGGTGGGCAGAAAGGATGGCCAATCCGGTTTGTACCACTACGAGACACTCTTGGCTGAGGAGACGGGCACCGAATCCCATCCCTTGCCAGTAAAAAAAAAAAAAAAGCTGGAGGATTCTGGGTGACCCCCACGACCTCTGGGGGTTTCCAGTCCTGACTTTGCTGGGCACACAGTTGGACTGCGATGGAGGCGCCCACCGACCCATTTTTATGCCTTCATCCGCTCCCGAAGCGTTGCCGTCCGTCGTACTTTTCTCTCTCTCTCCTTCCCCGACCCACGACTGCGTTTAAAACTTGCAAAGCCTTCCACGATTGGCTGGACGAAAGAAAGAGGGGAGGGGGCGTTTTCCCAGTCTCCCATTCCTCTCATCTGGCTCCATTCCAAGTTTCAGCTCGGTCCGGCCCTCCCGTTTGGTCACCCGGAAGTTATCCCCGCGTCGTCCGGTTTCTTCCGGGAAATTCGCCAACGCAATGAATATACCTCTTCTTTGGAGGGTGAGTGGGGGGCACGGCGGCATCTGGGCAGGAAGAGGCCTCCCCCAATCCTACAGAACGCAACTGAGGAGGGTTTGTGGGGGGGGGGTGCTCCTGAATTTGGAGCCGCCGCGCTTAAAATTTTGGAAGCATCTGCTGCGACATTTCGGTGGCTCAAAAAAAGTGACTGGCGTCTTCTTGAGAAAAAAGAAGAAAAAAAATTGACAAAAGGACAAACTGGCCCTTGTTTTTCTCACGCGAAGACTTTAAAACAAAACACACAAAAAAAGTACCAACTTGGGACCTGTTTTTTTTTAATTGTTATTATTATTGTTATTATTATTATTACGTTTGCCTTCCGGTAATTTTCCCGACTTCGACCCTTCTTTTTTTTTTTGTTTGTCGCCGTGTCCGTTTTTTTCTTTCCGTCGGAATTTGTTTTCCGTCACGTGCTTAACTGAAGTGACTTGGATCATTGTTTTCTATCCTTGCTGGACATTAAACGGGGCGGGGAAGAGAACTGGGGAGGGGGCGAGAAAAAGAGAGGGAGGGGGGGACGGCAAGGTATAGCTGGATTCATTCCCAACCCCTCCCTGGTGTTTTAATGTTGCGAACATTAAAAACAAAATGAATTTTGTACCAATTTCAGCCAACGTTAACTGAAAAAGGCTCTCGCTTACGGGGCAGCGAGATTTCAGATTTATTTATTTTTTTTGCCTCCACGCCGATGTGTTTGTGGGTCTTGAGGTCCCCGTTTTGTGAAACCCTCCCTCACTTCCATTCCTCAAAGCAGAGAAAACGACAAGAAAAGAGACGTCGGCTCAGCTTGGAGTGAAGTCCCCTTCTAGTGGTTGTGGCATAATAAGAGCCAGTTTGATCTAGCGGTTAGTACCACCATATTTGAAACCAGGAGACCGTGAGTTCTAGTTCTGACGTAGGGATGAAAGTTGGCTGGGTGTCTTCAGGCCAATCACCAGGAAATTGTGAGTTCTAGTTCTGCCATAAGCACAAAAGCCAGCTGGGTGACTTGGACTGATCACTAGGAGTCGGTGAGTTCTAGTCCTGCCTTAGCCATGAAGCCAGGTAACCTTGGGCCAATCACCAGGAGATAGTGAGTTCTAGTCCTGCCTTAGGCATAAAAACTTGTCTTAGGTGACTTTGAACCAATCACTAGGAGAAGGTGAGTTCTAGTTTAGGTGACTTTGAACCAATCACTAGGAGAAGGTGAGTTCTAGTCCTGCCTTAGGCACAAAAGCCGACTGGGTGACTTGGACTAATCACCAGGAGATGGTGAGTTGTAGTCCTGCCTTAGGCATAAAAACTTGCCTAGGTGACTTTGAACCAATCACTAGGAGAAGGTGAGTTCTAGTCCTACCTTAAGTACAAAAGCCGACTGGGTGACTTGGACTAATCACCAGGAAATGGTGAGTTTTAGTCCTGCCTTAGGCACAAAAGCCAGCTGGGTGACTTGGACTAATCACTAGGTGACAGTGAGTTCTAGTCCTGCCTTAGCCAGGAAGCCTGGTAACCTTGGGCCAAATCAGCAGGAGATGGTGAGTTCTAGTCCTGCCTTAGGCATGAAACCTGGCTAGGTGACACTGAGCCAATCACTAGGGAGAAAGTGAGTTCTAGTCCTACATTAAGTACAAAAGCTGACTGGGTGACTTGGACTAATCACCAGGAGATGGTGAGTTCTAGTCTTGCCTTAGGCATGAAACCTGGCTAGGTGACACTGAGCCAATCACTAGGAGAAAGTGAGTTCTAGTCCTACATTAAGTACAAAAGCTGACTGGGTGACTTGGACTAATCACCAGGAGATGGTGAGTTCTAGTCCTGCCTTAGGCATGAAACCTGGCTAGGTGACACTGAGCCAATCACTAGGAGAAGGTGAGTTCTAGTCCTACATTAAGACAAAAGCTGACTGGGTGACTTGGACTAATCACCAGGAGATGGTGAGTTCTAGTCCTACCTTAAGTACGAAAGCCAACTGGGTGACTTGAACCAATCACCGGGTGTAGGTGAGTTCTAGTCCTGTCTTAAGTACGAAAGCCGGCCGGGTGACTTAAGGCCAGTCCCTCCCTTCAACCATCAACCCAACTCACAAGAGTGGCTGTGGGAGAAAACGGGAAGGACTATTAGCTACAGTTTGCCGCCTTGGAATTATTTATAAAAAAAAACAATAAAAAGGCAAATTAAAAATCAGTAAATAAAATTATAAACCCCTCTCCCTTCCCCTACCTTTTCTCCCTTATTGGCTGCCGAGCACCTCGTCTCAAGCCCAGCTTCGATATCAACTTAGGATAGGAATCTCCAAACTTTTTAAAAGATTTGTGGACTGTGGTTAGGGTTGGAAGTCCGCAAGTTTCGTTTAGTGACCGAAATTATAACGGCACTGTTTTCCAAAGCACCCGAAGGCCAGACGGAATAATGGAGGGAAACTGATCCAAGGAGAGATTCGACTTGGAAATAAGGAGGGATTTCCTGACGGTGAGAACAATCAACCGATGGAGCAGAAGTTGCCTTCGGAAGCGGTGGGAGCTTCATCCCTGGAGGTTTTCAAGAAGAAACTGGACAGAAAATGGTGTAGGATCTCCTGCTTAGGTGGAGGGGGTTGGACTAGATGACCTCCAAGGTCCCTTGAGTCTGTTAAAAGATTTAAAAGTTGCTGGGGAATTCTGGGAGTTGAGGTTCCACAGACTCGCAAAGTTGCCAGCTTTGGGGAGCCCCCGAATTAAAGGTGCCCTCATTATCCAGTCCTCTCCGTATATCAATGCCGCGAGTGGGAGGGAAGGAAATAAAATAAATTTTGGTCCAGGGGAAGAAGAAGAAGAAAAAAAGAGACCACAATGTGCTGGCCTCTTTTTTTTTCTTTTTTTCTTTTTAAGCACCTTGTGTTCCTGCGTTTGTCCTCCCTTGACGGCGCTTCCGACAGATTTATGCCTTTTATCCTATCCTGCCCTTCGGAGAAGGCGCTACCGCTGCCACCAAGCAACGGGCGCCCCGTGCCAGGACAGTCTGGGTTGCCAGAAGGGATTTTAAAAAAGCGCCTGGCACCGGACTCGAGATCAGAGGTTTTCGTTCTGCTGGCCCGGGGATGAAACGGATCCAAAGGAGGATGGAAAATTCCTGGCTCCCACAAGAGAAAGGCGGGAGAAAATGGACTTTCTGGCAGGAAGGGGGGACCCCCTGTCTGAATCCGTGCGGTGAATTTTGATCGTTTTCTTTGGCAAAGCCTCCGAAATATCCCTAATTCTAATGACCTTCTTGTTTATCTGTTAAAACTGGGCTAAAGCTCTTTCAAGGAGAGAAAGCTTCTTGAAACGTCCTTGTAAACGTTTCCTGACCCAACTAGCTAACATCATCAGTGCTAGAAGAGGAATGAGAGGGAGGAAGAAAGAGGAAAGAATGAAGAGAAAAAAAAGAAAGGCAAGAAAAAGATAAATGAGGGGTCTTTTATTCCCTCTGAGCATGGGTTGTTTCCTTGTAGACGTTTCCTGACCCACTAGCTAACTTCATCAGTGCTAGAAGAGGAATGAGAAGGGAGGAAGAAAGAGGAAAGAAAGAAGAAGAAAAAAAAGAAAGGCAAGAAAAAGATAAATGAGGGGTCTTTTATTCCCTCTGAGCATGGGTTGTTTCCTTGTAGACGTTTCCTGACCCAACTAGCTAACATCATCAGTGCTAGAAGAGGAATGAGAAGGGAGGAAGAAAGAGGAAAGAAAGAAGAAGAAAAAAAGAAAGAAGGCAAGAAAAAGATAAATGAGGGGTCTTTTATTCCCTCTGAGCATGGGTTGTTTCCTTGTAGACGTTTCCTGACCCAACTAGCTAACATCATCAGTGCTAGAAGAGGAATGAGAAGGGAGGAAGAAAGAGGAAAGAAAGAAGAAAAAAAAGAAGGCAAGAAAAAAATAAATGAGGGGTCTTTTATTCCCTCTGAGCATGGGTTATTTCCTTGTAGATGTTTCCTGACCCAACTAGCTAACTTCATCAGTATTACAAGAGGGTTTTGCAGAGAAGGGAAGGAGGAAGAAAGAAAGAAAAGGAAGGAAAGAAAGAAAAAAAAGAAAAGTAGGGGTCCTTGGTGGTCTCTGAACTGGGTTGTTTCCTTGTAGACGTTTCCTGACCCAACTAGCTAACATCATCAGTGCTTAAAAGAGGAATGAGGAAAAAAAAAAGAAAGGAAAGAAGGAGAAAGAAAAAGATAAAACGAGGTGTCCTTTATGGTCTCTGAGCTGGGTTGTTTCCTTAGAGACGTTTCCTGAACTAGATAAACCATCAGTGCTACAAGGGTTTGAGGAGAAGAAAGGAATGAGAAGGGAAGGAGGAAAGAGAGAAAGAAAAGGAAGGAAAGAAAGAAAAAGAAAAAAATTAGGGGTCCTTTATGTTCTCTGACATCATCAGTGTCAAGTAGGTAACATCATCAGTGCTAGAAGCGGAATGAGAAAGGAGGAAGAAAGAGGAAAGAAAGAAAGAAAAAGAAAGGCAAGAAAAGATAAAATGAGGGTTCCTTGATGCTTTCTGAGCTGGGTTCTTGTAGACGTTTCCTGACCCAACAAGGTAACGTCCTCAGTGCTACAAGAGAGAGGGGTTTGCAAAGAGGAGAAGAGAAACGAGAAGGGAAGAAAGAAAAAAGAAAAGGAAGGAAAGAAATGAGGGGCTCTTGATCTTCTGAGCTGGGTTGTTTCCTTGTAGACGTTTTCTGACCCAACTAGGTAACAGCAGCAGCTGCCCTTGAAGGAAGAACCTCTGACCATGCGATCCTCCTTCCCAGCAATTTGGAGCCTTTAGTTTCCTCCCTTTATTTTGGTTTTATTGAGTTTATTTTGGAGAAAAGGGAGCGGGTCCTCTGGCATCCCTACCCCCCACCCCAGCTACATCCTGGTGCGAATCCTCCTCGTGGGGGGGGGGCTCAGTTTATTTAGCCCCCCCCTCTTGCCCAGCAGCTGTGCATCGTTGAAGGCTGAGCTGCCTGATAGGGAAATCTTTTTTTTTTTTTTAAAATCAGCTGTTGCTGTCTTTCTCCAGCTCTATCCAGCTTAGTCATTCTCCAAATCCACACCTTCATTCATATTTTATTTTTGTAAAAATTGGAAATTGCTGCCTCCTTCAAGTCAACGCTTCTGCAGGGAGGGGGGACCCCCCCTCTTTGTCCCCCCCCATCTTTGTCCACCCCCGTCTTTCCCCCCCCCCTAATTAAACTTTTCCCCAACTTTAAGAAAACTTTTACCAGCCTCTTTCTCAGCCCCGCGCCCTCTCATTGGCCGGCTGGCGCCGCAGTCCCTCTCCCCCATTGGCTGCCGAGCTTTTCTTTTTTTTCTTTTTCTTTTTTTTTTTGCCTCGTCCCGCCCACCCCCCCCTCCCTCTCCCCACCCACTCCCCCCCCCCCACCCCTCCCTTATCCTCCCCGAGGAAGTTTTGCGATGCAAAAGTCGCCAGCCGCGTCCGGATTTCCCCCAGCTCGGCTCGGCGCAAACGGGGCGCCCCCTGGATTAAAGGTAAGCCATGGGATGGGGTGGGTGGGGGTGGGGGGGGAAAAGGGGAGGGGAGGAACAAAGCCCCCCCCCATTTAGAGCCCTTCCCCCACTCCCTGCAGGAAAAAATCACTTTCCCAAGCAGAGAAATGAAGTTTGGTCCAGCAAGGATGAAGCGGGGGGTATTGCAGGGTTGCCATGGCAACCGTCCCGGGTGATGCTGCGGTTCCTGCATCCCGCGCTCTTCGATAAGAATCTCCTTTTTTTTCCTTTTTTTTTTTTACCCCGGCCGGGTGAAACGTGCGAAGCTTCTTATCTTTCGCCCCAGTTGCTTTTTTTTCTCTCTCTTGCTCTGCTACTATTTTTATTTTGTTTGTTTTTTTTTTCCACCCCATCAGGCTGGAAAGTTGATAAAGAGTTATTATTTGTTTTCCCTTGAGTTTCATTTAGTTTCATTTTGTTTATCTGGGGGGGGGCATGCAGCTTTTTTGCCCGTCCTTGGCGTCCTGAGCATTTGCAACAGGGGAGGCTCCCCGTTTGAGGGCGGCGTGGTGGGGGCTTTGCAAAGGAGACCCCCACCCCACTCCACCCCCACCCCATGTTTGCAAAGTGGCTTCCGCTAAGAGTCTGAAATATCACCGTTTGGTGACATTTCCCTTCCCCTTGTCTGGAGTTTCTCTCTGGAGGTTGTCACATTCGTGCCGTAAACAAAAGGCAGACGCTTTCTTTATTTTTAAACTCTTGAGTTTTCATCCTTGCTTCCTGCCGCATATTTGCATTTCCTTCTCTTTTAAATGCAGTGAATTTGCACCTTTTTTTTTTTCCCCCCCAGCGTGTGGACTTTGTAAGAGGCAAAGCCTGTTGATCAACTGGCACAAAGAAAGCTGGGAAAAGCTAACAGGTTTTTTTCCTTCCAGGCGTCCGCTGCCACTCACTCACCAAAGCTTATTTTATTTTTATTTTTATTTTTTTTTTTTTAAAAAAACGTGTTAGTCGAAAAAGATGCTACCCTTCGGCGTTTCCTTCCGAAGTGGCAGCCTGCCTCTTCCTTTGATTGTGTCGCCGGCTGTGAAAATAACAATAATATTGCAATAATCCTGATTGCTTGGCAGGCGGGCACAGCGGAGAACTCTCCATCCCTGCCGTTCCTTTGCTGCAGAGACTCGTCGACGCGTCTTGAAATACAACTTTTTTTTATAAAAAAAAAGGCTATCCAAGCAAATTGGGCCAAACCGCAGCTCTCAAAAACAGCCTGGAGGGAAATTTTAAGATCCACGTGGCATAACAAGAGTTGGGAGGGACCTCGGAGGTCTTCTAGTCTGACCCCAAGCAGGAGGTATTACGACATTTCAAGTAAATGGTTGTCCATTTCTCCTTAGTTCTAGGTTGCTTCTCCCCTTGATTAATTTCCATCCATGGCTTCTTGTCCTGCCACAGACAGAATGCACTTTCTGAACTAATAATCCTCTTTTTTTTGGGAGGGGAAAAACCCTTTAATGGGACCTCCTATTTCCCCCTCGATGCATGACGGAGTTTTTCCCCCACAATGGGAAAAAACGGGGCCTGCTGAAGTCGTGTCTACTCACAGCAAGTTTCTACTAGTGAGAGATAAGATGGCTTGGCCAAGTTTTGATGAAGCTGTTGCTTGAGACCCTCCTGAATGCAAAATGTGGGACCCCACCCCTCCTTCTGCAGTGTGGCCCCCCGTGCATAAAGCATCCTTAAGAATTACCCAACAGGCCCTCAGCTCCAAGTTTCTCTTCCTTTATTACATTTCCAATGCCAAGTCGGTCTTTGCAGAGAGCAAAACCTTCCAGTGTGTCTGTTTAAGGCTATTTGTACCTTAAAATATCCAGATTTTTCCCCCCTGGGATTCTCTCTCTCTTTCTCTCTCTCTTTCTCTCTCTCTCACACACACACACATTCACTCACTCTCACTCATTCTCACTTTCTATTTCTTTCTCTATTTCTCTCTCACTCTATTTCTCTTTCTATCTCTCTCACTCTCACTTTTTCTATTTCTCTTTTTCTCACTTTTCTCTTTCTCACTCTCTCACACACTCTCTCTTTCTATTTCTCACTTTCTCTTTCTCGCTCTTTCTTTCTCTCACACACACACTCACTCTCACTCGTTCTCACTTTCTATTTATTTCTCTCTATTTCCTCTCTTTCTCACTCCATTTCTCTTTCTATCTCTCACTCTCACTCGTTCTCACTTTCTATTTATTTCTCTCTATTTCTCTCTCACTCTTTCTCTTTCTATCTCTCACTCTCACTCTTTCTCACTTTGTATTTTTCTTTTTCTCACTTTCTCACTCTTTCTTTCTCTCTCTTTCTCTCTCTCACACACACACTCTCACTTTCTATTTCTCTCTCTTTCTCGCTCTTTCTCTCTCACACACACACTCTCACTCGTTCTCACTTTCTATTTATTTCTCTCTATTTCTCTCCTCACTTTCTCACTCCATTTCTCTTTCTATCTCTCATTCTCGCTCTTTCTCACTCTTTCTCTCTTTTTCTCACTTTCTCACTCTTTCTTTCTCTCTCTCTCTCTCTCACACACACACTCTTTCTCACTTTCTATTTTTCTCTCTTTCTCTTTCTTTCTCTTTCTCTCTCTCTCTCTCTCTGTCCCTCTCTCTCTGCTCCTTGTTTTCCCCCTCTGCTCTGCTCAGCAAAGCCATTTCCACCTGTTAAGTTGCCTTCAGCAAAGCTAAAAATATATCCCTTTCCTATTTTTTGCCCCCTTCTCTTCCCGCCTGTCTCTTTGCTTCGACAGCTGTTCTTGGGAGGGTAGAGAGACTCGTGGTAAGAATTTCGCAAGCAGGCAGACAGGCAGAGATTCCTGGAGAGAAATTTAACTTTTTAATACAGGAGCTCCCCGTTTTGCTGTCTCTTTCGGGGTTTTTTTTTTTTTTTTTTCGTTTTTGTTTTTGTTCTGCTTGCTTTTCCTCCCGTTCAAAGCTGCTGGGCTCGAACAGGTTTCTGAGTTTGGGGGTCGCCTCTCCCCCAACCGACACACAACCACACACTCACAACCACGCAGTGCTGCTCCTTACTCTCACTCGTTCTCACTTTCTATTTATTTCTCTCTATTTCTCTCTCACTCTTTCTCACTCCATTTCTCTTTCTATCTCCCACTCTCACTCGTTCTCACTTTCTCTCTATTTCTCTCTCACTTTCTCACTCCATTTCTCTTTCTATCTCTCATTCTTACTCTTTCTCACTCTCTTTCTCTCTTTTTCTCACTTTCTCACTCTTTCTCTCTCTCTCTCTCTCTCACACACACACTTTCTCACTTTCTATTTTTCTCTCTTTCTCTTTCTTACTCTTTCTCTCTCTCTCTCTCTGTCCCTCTCTCTCTGCTCCTTGTTTTCCCCCTCTGCTCTGCTCAGCAAAGCCATTTCCACCTGTTAAGTTGCCTTCAGCAAAGCTAAAAATATATCCCTTTCCTATTTTTTGCCCCCTTCTCTTCCCGCCTGTCTCTTTTGCTTCGACAGCTGTTCTTGGGAGGGTAGAGAGACTCGTGGTAAGAATTTCGCAAGCAGGCAGACAGGCAGAGATTCCTGGAGAGAAATTTAACTTTTTAATACGGGAGCTCCCCGTTTTGCTGTCTCTTTCGGGGTTTTGTTTTTTTTTTCGTTTTTGTTTTTGTTTTGCTTGCTTTTCTTCCCGTTCAAAGCTGCTGGGCTCGAACAGGTTTCTGAGTTTGGGGGTCGCCTCTCCCCCAACCGACACACAACCACACACTCACAATCACGCAGTGCTGCTCCTTATAACTTCAGCCAGCTCAGTTTCCCAAGGGTTGGTTGATCTGCTTGTCTCTGGTGACCAGCATAATTTAGATTCTTGGCATTTTCTCTTGAATTAGAATAGCTCAGCCAGGGTGGCATTGAAAAACACCCTCGTCTCTTCTTAGAGTCTTTGGAGAGAGAGAGAGAGAAAATAATAAAAAACTATGCTGCAGACAGGAACTCACTTTCGGCTCCTTTTTTAAATTATTATTTATTTATTGGTTTATTTTTGGAAATCACCGTTCTTCGTATGTTTTATCCTCCAGTCCCCTAATCCTCTTTCTTGCTCTTCTCTGCACTCTTTCCAGAGTCTCCAAATCTTTTTTGCATCGTGGCAATCAAAATTGAATGCAATATTCCAAGTATGGCCTTACCAAGTGGTATTAACACGTAATGATTCTCTCCCTCTCTTGATGCAGCCTAGAACTGTGTTGGCTTTTTTGGCAGCTGCTGCACACGGCTGGCTCCTATTTAAATGGTCGTCCAGTAGGACTCCAAGATCCCTCTCACAGTTACATTAATAAAACACATCAGTTTCCCTGGAGAGTTTTTAAACTAAACAGCAGCAGTGGGGGGAAAAAAACTTACTGGGGCCATCTGGGACCAGCAAGAGAAAAGAAAACAATTGTCCCTTATTCAATTTCCAATAAACTTCGCTTCCAGTTGAAGCCACCTGTGTTTGTCAAGCTGAAGCATAATTTCCCAGTCAAATTTCTTTTCTTTTTTTCCCCCTGTACAATTTTGATCAGACGCCAGAAGGATTTCCGGTTTTGCCCTTAAAGCTAAATTAACAACAGATTAATAAATAATAAAACCCTCAGGTCCTGGTGCTTATTAAATTTATTCCCATTTTATGCTCGATTTTTACGGGTCTCCCACTTTCAATTAGGGGCCTGGGAAAAAAAGGCAATGGGGCAGAACATTTGGGTTGGGGAAAGATTGTGAAAAGATTGTGTTTGTGCACAGGACACAAAGGTGGGTTTTTGGTCAGAAAACCGGAAACGATATTTATATTAAAAAGATTTCTATTTGCAAAAGATTTCTTCAAAGGACAGCTTCGAGCAAAGTCGTCTTTTTGAATTATTGCAAGACGCAGAAACAATTACCAAAGTAGGACTTTGGCAGACTTTTTCTTCCGCTAATAAATGTTATTTTTTTTAAAAAAAAAAAACATACACACCACTGCAGTTGGCTTCATCACAGGCGTAGCTAGACGGGTGCAGGATGTTAATTTGGATGAGATGGGAAAGGAAGGGAAGAGGCTTTTAATCAACACGGTAAAACTTATGTTTTTAGTAACCCTTTTTAAAAAATTTTTGCAAACCTACCTCCATCTACCTCCTCTTGTCTCGTTTAATGAAAAGAAGGACTAGGGGAGACATGATAGCAGTCTTCCAATATCTCAGGGGCTGCCCCCAAAGAAGAGGGAGTCCAGCTATTCTCCAAAGCACAAGAAGCAATGGATGAAAACTAATCAGGGAGAGAAGCAACTTAGAACTAAGGAGAAATTTCCTGACAGTTAGAATAATTAACCAGTGGAACAACTTGCCACCAGAAGTTGCGAATGCTCCAACACTGGAAGTTTTTAAGAAGATGTTGGATAACCATTTGTCTGAAGGGGTGTAGCGTTTCCTGCCTAAGCAGGGGGTTGGACTAGAAGACCTCCAAGGTCCCTTCCGACTCTCTTATTCTATTATTATTCTATTTGGTTCCAGACCTCCTTAGTCTTTTGCACTGAGCTGTCTCTGGTGAGCTTTGGGCAAAACAAGTGGAAAAAAACCCCGCTCCCATTAGAATAACAGAATAAGAGAGTTGGAAGGGACCTTGGAGGTCTTCTAGTCCAACCCCCTTTAGCATTTAACGCAGATGGTTGTCCACTCTCTTCTCAAAAGCCTCCAGTGATGGAGCACCCTCAGTTTCTGGTGGCAAGCCGTTCCACTGGCTAATTGTTCTCCTTCGTTCCAGGTTGCTTCTCTCCTTGATTAGTTCCCATTAACGTTGCTTCTTGTCCTGCCTTCAGGGGCTTTGGAGAATAGCTTGACCCCCCTCTTCTTTGGGGGCAGCCCCTCAAATATTAGAAGATGCTATCAGGTCACCCCATCGTCCTTCTTTTCATTAAACCAGACACCCCCAATTCCTGCAACCGTTCTTCGTATATTTTATCCTCCAGCCGCTAAATCACCTTCGTTGCTCTTCTCTTGCCCTCTTTCCACGGTCCAGAAAAGAGCCACAAAGATGATGACGATCTAGCAATTATTTGATGTCGGTTTAATGCCAATTTGAAACCTACTCTGCTTATAACGCCGGGACCTTGAAGGGATTTTAGATACCCCAAAATCGTTACCTCTCATCTTTTTTTTTTTTCTTTTCCCCTCTTCCTAACCTTTCCAGGTGGATCTTTGAGCATTTCAGGGCATGAAAAAAAATGGCTGAAAATTCAAATTCTCAGGAGCTGGAAAATAACAACTGGGTGATCACAGGGGCAGAGGTGAGCATAATCCAGGAAGAGTCTTTTCAGGTGGGAAAAGAGCTCCAGGGCATGTCAAGAAATCTCCCACAATCGTTCCCTCATCCCTTCCGTTTACTGGCTGTTTATAACCTAGGTTCTCTCTCTCTCTCTCTCTCTCTCTCTCTTTCTCTCTCTCTCTTCTCTCTCTGTCTCTTTCTCTCTCTCTCTCTCTCTCTCTCTCTTTTCTCTCTCTCTCTCTCCTCTCTCTCCCTCTCTCTCCCTCCCTCTCTCTCCCTCTCTCTCTTTCTCTCTCTCTCCTTTTCTCTCTCTCTCCTTCTCTCTCTCTCTCTCTCTCCTCTCTCTCTGTGTCTCCCTCTCTCTCTCTTTCTCTCTTTTTCTCTTTTTCTCTCTCTCTCTCTCCTCTCTCTCTCTGTGTGTCTCTCTTTTTCTATCTCTCTCCTCTCTCTCTGTCTCTGTCTCCCTCTCTCTCTTTCTCCCTCTCTCTCTCTCTCTCTCTCCCCCCTCTCTCTCCCTTTCTCTCTCTGTCTCCCTCTCTCTCTCTCTCTAGGCTGCCCCGGTGGAAGATCTCGGCTTCGAAGCTTCCGAAGAAACCCAGTTAGAAGGCGAGTTAACCATGATTTAACACCGAGGGGGGCGGGGGGACACGGGAAGACGAGATTTCCCCCCGCGTTGCCCGTTGTCCACAGACTTCCCCTTAAACTCTGCTCTTTTCTGCCACCTGTGCAGGGGTGCAATTCAGGTTCTGACCAGTTCTGGAGAACCGGTAGCGGAAATTTTGAGCGGTTCGGAGAACCGGCAAATACCACCTCTGGCTGGCTCCAGAGTGGATGGAAATGGGGATTTTGCAGTATCCTTCCCCCAGGAGTGGGGAGGGAATGGGATTCTGGAGTATCCTTCCCCCAGGAGTGGGGAGGGAATGGGGATTCTGCAATATCTTTCCCCTGCCACGTCCACAGAACCGATAGTAAAATATTTGAATTCCATCACTGCGCCCATGTTTGCAAAACTTTGGCAGTTTGAAAATTTAATTTATGGGTTAAAAACGAAGAAAGGGGAACGTGAAAAGATTCTGGAGTTAAAATCAATCCATTGTTTGTTTGTGTGTTTTTTTTTCACCCCCCTCAACAGCTTCTCCGCCCGAGAGCGAGCTTTTCCTCGACAGTCCGGAACTGGAAGAAGATCAATCAAAGGTTGGACCCTGACACTGAGGGTCTGGGGTGGGGGGGTGGGGGGGGGGGGGGGGGGGGTGGCAAGCCACAACTCTATAGCGTTTGAAGGCCTGTTGAACCGCTCCTTTAAATGAATCCGGTTATCCAAATCTCAGTGCCCTTGCCTTCCGAAAGGGTAACCCTTGCTCCAGGGAAGGGAATCGGCTGCTGGGATTTCGTTAATTGGGGCATCAACATCTTTTCCATCTTTTATATATAAAATAAAATAGCCACCCTTTCTTGCCAGATGTTTAACGTGTTTTTTTTTACTTGATTCAACTTTTTCTTTCTTTCCCTCTTTCTCTTTATTAATTCCTTCCTTTCCCCTCGCTTCCTTTTTTCCTTACCCTCTAATTTCCTTCCCTTCTCTTCCTTTTCTTTTCCTCCTCCTTCCTTTCCTTCTTTCCTCCCTTCCCTTCATCATCTTCCCTTCCTTCCTTTCCTTCTAATTCCCATCCCTTCTTCCTTCCTTCCCTTCCTTTTCCTTTCCTCCTTGTTCCTTTCCTTTCCTTCCTTCCTTCCCTTCCCTTCATTTTCTCTTCCTTCCTTTCCTTCTGATTCCCATCCCTTCTTCCTTCCTTCTTTCCTTCCTTCCTTCCCTCCAATTTCCTTCCCTTCCTTTTCCTTTCCTCCTTCTTCCTTTCCTTCTTTCCTCCCTTCCCTTCCCTTCATCTTCCCTTCCTTCCTTTCCTTCTAATTCCCATCCCTTCTTCCTTCCTTCCTTCCTTCCTTCCCTTCCTTTTCCTTTCCTCCTTGTTCCTTTCCTTTCCTTCCTTCCTTCCCTTCATCTTCCCTTCCTTCCTTTCCTTCTAATTCCCATCCCTTCTTCCTTCCTTCCTTCTTTCCTCTCCAGTTTCCTTCCCTTCCTTTTCTTTTCCTTCTAATTCCCATCCCTCCTTCCTTCTTTCCTTCCTTCCTTCCTCCCCTCCCCTTCCCTCCCCATCTGAAGTGGGAATTTTGCAGGGCTGCTCCGTCCCTCCCTAGACTAAAAAGATAAAAAGAAAATCACTTCTCAGTCGGGACAAACTTCCCAACTTTTTTCCCATCCAGAGTCAGGAGCCAGAAGACCAGCTGATTCCCGGAGATCCTCCCAGCCAGGGATCTACTCTCTTATTGCTGGATGAAAAGAAGACGGACAGCTCACCTCCCGAGGAAGAATTTTCACTCCCCTCACAATCACTCCCAACAGGTGACTTCACATTTTCAAAACGGGGGGCCAGTTTTCCGGCTGAGAAATGACCTCCGTAATTCTAAGAAATGCAGGTAAGTCCTTGACTTACAATACTTCATTTAGTGACCGTCCAAAGTTACAACGGCACTGAAAAAAAGGGACTTACGACCGTTTTTTCACCCTTACGACCGTAATTTACAGCATCCCCATGGTCACGTCATCAAAATTCAGACAACTGATTCACATTTATGACGGTTGCAGTGTCAACCGAGTCCCTTTTGCGTCCTTCCGATGAACCAGGTCAACAGTGGGGGAGGCCGGATTTGCTTAACGACGGTGGTTCCTCGCGTAATCACTGCAGCGAGCAAGGTCGTAAAACGAGGCGAAATTCAATTTCACGACAGTCTCGCTTAGCCAACGGGAATTTTTGGTTCCCACTTGCGGTCGTAAGTCGAGGATTTTCCTGTAAATATCTTAAATAAATAAATGCAAATATTTGAGGGCCCTGGAAAAAAGGGAAGCTGCATTCTTGAACAGGGGAACAAAGGAACTTTAAAAAAAAAAAAAATTAAATTGTAATTTCATAATTACAATTTTGGGCCATTCTGAACATTTCTTTTCCCTCAATGACGGCGTTCTTCGATTGGCTGGGAGGCAGGTATAATTTAATGTAACAAAGTTGGAAGGGACCTCGGAGGTCTTCTAGTCCAACCCCCTGCTTAGGCAGGAAACCCTCCACCACTTCAGACAAATGGATAAAAACTTCCAGTGTTGGAGTATTTACAACTTCTGGTGGCAAGTTGTTCCACTGGTTATATGGTCACCTGTGGCGACCATATCCATATGGTCGCCACAGGTGACCCTCTGGCCTTCAAGCCAGATGTGGACCTCTTTTCCATGATGTCCCCCGTAGGTCCCCCCAAAGATGAGCTGAAGGCTTCTTCTTCCCGCATCGGGGAAGAGGCGGCGTCCGCAGAAGCCGACGTCGAGGGTCTACGCCGACGGAAAGGCCGTGCCGTCGATGTCCAGCAGGTGGGGCCGGAGCTGACCCACGACCAAGCTAAGGACACTCACGAGGACGAGGACGATGGGCTTTCCAGGATGAAGTGGCTGCTGGCCGTTTTAGCTGTTGTGGGTTTTGGAGTCTTGGCCATGTTGGGTAAGCAAGAACTACGGTGGAGGTTAAATTTTCTAAATTATTTACCAGATATCTCCCTCCCTCCCTATTTATCCATCCATCCATCCATCTAATCTATCATTATCTGTCTATCATCTATTTATCAATCTATCTGTCTATTATCTATCTATTATGTATTTATCTATATCTATCTGTCATCTATTCGTCCGTCCGTCTGTACAAAATCATGTATCTATTATCTGTCCATCTGTCTCTTGCCTATTATGTATTTATCTATATCTGTCATCCATCTATCATATATCTATTATCTATTTATCCATCAGTCAGTCTGCCTGTCTATTATCTATCTATTATGTATTTATCTATATCCATCCACTCACCCACCCATCGATCCATCCATCTATCCATCCATCCATCCATCCGTCTCTTTATCTAGCTGTCTATCTTCTGCCTGTCCGTCTACCTGTCTATCATCTATCTATATCTGTCTGTCTGCTTGCCTGCCTGCCTGCCTGCCTATCCATCCATCCATCCATCCGTCTCTTTATCTATCTGTCTATCTTCTGCCTGTCCATCTACCTGTCTATCATCTATCTATATCTGTCTGCCTGCCTGCCTGCCTGCCTGCCTGCCTGCCTGCCTGCCTGCCTGCCTGCCTATCTATCTATCTATCTATCTATCTATCTATCTATCTATCTATCTATCTATCTATCTATCTATCTCCTAAACCATTCTTTGTCTGTCTCTCTCTCTCCAGGGGTCTTCCTTGACACTGAGGACGGTGAGTTTGGGACGATCTTGACATGCTTTTCCGTACAGGTAGATCTTGACTTTTGGCCACAAGTAGGAAACCCAATTTCTATTGCTTAAAAAAGGGAGATTTTTTTTTAACCGAGTCGCCATCTTTTTCTGCCACGGTTCATAAGTGAATCGCTGCCCTTAAGAGCACAAGGCGGAATTCACCGAGTGACGCCTGCAAAATATTTTTTAAAATCCACTCCGTCTGTGTGATGCTCCAGCTTAATCACTGAAAGGCTTTGCAACCATAATTCCAGGGTCAATCCCAGTCCTAAATTGAGGACTACCCGTATTTTTTAAAAAATGTATTTATTTGTTTTTATTTATTTTTTCCCTCCCACCTCCACCTTCAGGCTTAGACATACTGAGCCTGGGGCTCAGTTCTGATGGAGAAGAGCCGTATCCTGCCAATGGTGGACAGGTAAGGAAAATGACGGTGTTACGGGTGGATCCCTGATCCTGGAAGAATGGGATTAAAACAGAATTTGGGATGGTCCGTCTGCAGAAAGAAAGCCAGGATAGCTCTGTGGAGATTAATGAAGTTGTAGAGAAGATCGCCCTTAAGGTTTTTCTGCAAAGGGTTGGAAGCAGAGAAATACGGAGATAATACAAGATAAGCAGCTGTCTTTGACGTCATTTAAAAAAAAAAAGGTAAATTATATTTCTGGCACGTCGTTGAAGGTTGGACTGGATCCCTGTTTCTCAATCTTGTTGACTTTTAGACGGGTGGACTCCGACTCCCAGAATCCCCCAGCCAGCAGGCTTTAAAACAGATGGACTTTAACTCCCAGAATTCCACAGCCAGTCTTGCGGCTGTGGAATTCTGGGAGTTGACGTCCACTCCTGGTTGTGGGATTCTGGGAGTTGAAGTCCACCCATCTTAAGAGTCCCCAAGATTGAGAAACACTGGTCTAATTGATCACTGAAGCTGCTTCCAACTCTGTGATCCGATGAACCTTTGCTAGTAGTGAAATTGACAAGTCTTGCAGAAGGCCTGAGCTAACCAGATCCATGAGGACTAGCGGCATGGTCTTGGAAAGAGATAGAACGATTACTACTCGTCCATCCACTAAGAATATCGATTGTCCAGCTTCGGGGAATCATAACGACCCATAAACCAGCATGTTTCTCCCTTCCCGGCTCCAGATCCACCAGGTAGATAAAACAGGTCAAACCATCATAACCATAGCCAAGAGGTCATCTTTCCTATTTTTTCTCCCTCCCTCCTCTTCCCAGGACTGGTCACCCTCTCTGGATTCTGCAAAAGACCCTCAACTCCGTGCAGGCAAGGAAGGTCTTTCCGAGGATCCGAAGAGTTTGGATGCCATGGGAGTCTTGCTGGACAAATTAGCCAAGGAAAATCAGGATATCCGACTGATGCAAGCTGAACTTCAGGTAATGGGGAGGGGGCTCTTCACCCAATCGGTGGGCATTAAGAGACCTCCTTTGGCAATGGGGAATCTGGGTTTTGCTTAACGGCTGCAGAGGTTTGCTCTGCGCCGAAAAGGGCTGTGAAATCAGGGGTGACTCACTTAAATGACCACATTGGAACAATTAACCAGTGGAACAGCTTGCCACTAGACGTTGAGGGTTTCATTTCTGGAATGTGATGATCTTTTGCCTCAACGCGTACCACCCGGGACGGTTTTTATACCAAACCTGCTAAAAATAAATACGTTTTTGGTTTAGAAATATAAGGACTTTCCAGCCACAAAGGTAAGACTGCAAAAATAAGATCTTTGTGACTGTAAACATTAAGAACTTTTGGCTTGCAAAAATAAAAGATTTTTTGGCTTGCAAAAATAAAGATTTTTTTTTTATTGCAAAAATAAGATTTCGTTGAATTGCAAACATAAAAACGTTTTGACTGCACAGCTAAGAACTTTTTGCCGGAAAAAATAAGATCTTTATGCTTGGAAAAATAAATCATTTTTGACTGCAAACGTAAAACTTTTTTTGCCTGCAAAGAACAAAAAAAAAAAAAAATTTGCCTGCAAAAATACGATCTTTGTTAATTGCGAAGATTAAGAACTTTTTGATTGCCAAAATAAAAATGTTTGGACTGCAAAACAAACCTTTTTGACTGGAAAAGAAAGAGTTTTCTGATTGCAAAAGTACAGTAACCATTTTTTATTACAAAACTAAACCTTTTTGACTGCAAAAATAAGATCTTTATGCTTGCAAAAATAAGATCTTTATGCTTGCAAAAATAAAACCTTTTTGACTGCAAAAGAAAGAGTTTTCTGATTGCAAAAGTAACCATTTTTTTACTACAAAACTAAAACCTTTCTGACTGCAAAAATAAGATCTTTATGCTTGCAAAACTAAAACCATTTTGACTGCAAAAGTAAGAGTTTTCTGATTGCAAAAGGAATTGTATTTTACTGTAAAAGTAAGGCCTTTTTGCCTGCAAAAATAAGATATTCATGCTTGGAAAAATCAAAACTTTTTGACTGCCAAAAATAAAACTTTTTCGACTGCAAAAGTAAAACGTTTTGGACTGCAAAAGTGAGATCTTTTTTTTTTAACTGCTCGTTTCACAGGCCCAGAAAGAAGAACTCGAGATTTTGCTGCAGAAATCCCAAGACAAGACCTTGGCTGTCGATTCCCTGCAGCAGAATTTGGCTGCGGAAAATCAACGTTTGGCAGAAACCTTGAAGAAGGAGACGGCCGCCCTCTCGGCCGGCCGGGGCGAACTCCAGCTTCTTCGGGAAAAAGTCCGTAAGCTGGACACGACGGCCGATGCCAAATCCCGCCAGCATCCCGGAGAAGACCCGGTCTCTCGTCGCCCTCCGGGCAAACTCGATTTCCAGGAGAAGGAACTCCATCGTCTGCGTTCCTTGCTGGGTTCGGTCCGTCAGGATTTGGGAAAGCTGATGCAAAAAACTCCCTCGGAGGAATTGAAAAACCTGGAGCAAAGGCTGGGCAAGGAGGTAGACCTCAGTGAGGCCAAGAAAGATGCTCGGATGCCGTGGAACGACAGCGCCAAAGCTAGGCAGGGCAAAGCGAAACCGTGGCAGAAGAAACACCAAGGGGAGGAGAAATTTCGGCACCAGGACGGAGGGGACCCCAAAGTGGCCAACGAGAAGGGACCCCATCCCGCCAAGAAACACCAAACGAAGACCCCGAGAGGAGGAGACCACCAGCGGGGATCCCGCAAAGCCAGAAAACCCATGGAACCCCAGGAATTGTGGGCGATGCTAGCCAAGCATCCTTTCCCTGCCCCGCAAGGTTGTGCTGGGGTCGCCGAATGCGCCCACCGAGAGGGTTTGGCGGCTCCCGTTCAGAAAGCCCCCTTCCTCAAATTGGTCCAGAGTTATCTCTCCGGATTGGGCTGGGGGAGATATTCCAGCGAGTTGGTCCCGGTGCTGGAAGGGTTTTTCGGCGGCGACGGAGTTTTCGCCCACGAGCGGATCGGCTTCGCGGACTTTTTGGATAAAACCGAAGACGCCCTGGAAGAGCTGGCGCGCTATTTGGGGGTGAGCGAAGACGGGGTGGACGATTTCGAAGACGCCATCCTGAAGGAGCTGGGGGCAGTTCCCGGACGCAGGTGAGGAAGAGGAGGACGGGGGGGGGGACAGGAAGCATCGCGGACGGAAAAAGGGTGGGGGAGACCCTGTTGTATTTTAGGGGAGCCCCGCCTCCGTGCCTATGGCCTTCCCAGGAAGAAAAGTAAGCTTGCTTTGAAGACTTTTTAAGTTTCTAGTCCTCATGGCGGCTGAGCAAGCTCGGATATGTAAAGGCGGAGTCGCTCAAGGGGAGATTAATTCAGAGGGGGGTCATTTATTTCTCTATTAGGATACCCCTTTCCCCACTCTCTTAAAAGTAGCATAGGTACTTATAGTATAGTCCTCAACTTTCAACAGTTTGTTTAGTGCACTGACTTATGACCATTATTCACACTTAACGACCGTTGCAGCATCCTGGTCAGAATTCGGACGCGTGGCAGCTAAGTCCTATTTACGACGATCGCAGTGCCCCCAGGGTCGCGCGAGCTCCTTTCGCGACCTTCCGGCGCAAGCCAAGTCCCCGGGGAAGCCAGTCTCACTTAACGACGACGTCACTGGCTTAAAACCGTGGCGGTGACTCCCTTAACAGAAACGACGGGCTCAATCGTGGTCGTAACTCGAGGACTGCACCGCACCGTAGTGTGCGAGGCGAACCCCATCCAACGTGCCGATGGGTTTCCCCGTGAAAAAGGAAGCTTGCTTTGAAGACTTTAAGTTTCTAGTCCTCATGGCAGCTGAGCAAGCTCGAATATCTAAATTCTCACTCGAGGAGGGGGGGGGATTGATTCTGCTTTTTGCAAAAGTGGGGTGCATTTATTTCCCCATTAGAAGACACCCCCCCCTTTTCCCCAATCTCATCAAAGCAGTATAATTCTCCCAAACGGGCCTAGATTAAATATTAAATTTGCACAATTTAATGCCGGAAGAATTTGGATCGTCTTAAAGACAGGTGTCACAGTTGGGAAACTTTGCGTGCAGGCCAGAGGTTTCTTTTTTTAAATAAATTTTTTATTTTAATTTTAATACAAACATTTCATCTTTCATTAAACACCGTGTCTTCTGCGTATAAATATTTTGTGCAGTAACCATTAAAATTTACAGCCGTGTTTAATATTTTGCCTATTCTTAATGCTAATACCTAACATGCCTACTGCTATAACAATCCTCTTCTTCGCTTATTTAACTTGGTGAAAACATTTTCCATATTTCACTCCTCTGCTTTTGCTTTCTGATCTTCATATTTCTTCTCTAACCCTTGATAGAATAACACCCATATGCTATAACAATCGGAATCCTCCTTTCCTTTTAACGGCAAGCGTTAATCTATTCGTTTCTGCACATTCTAATATTTCCTTCATCACATTCTCGTTCTTAGGGAATTTCTTCGCTTTTCCAATTTGGGGCAAATGTAGAGGTTTCGAAACTCGTTCCTGGCCCCTCGCGATCTCCTAAAAATCTCGCGTGATCCCCGGGGATCCCTCGTGGAGTGATAACCCGGTCCCTTTCTTGCAGATCCACTCGGGGAGACGGAGCCAAAGAGAGAAACCATCCTAAGAACCGGGCGTACGGTTAGCCCGTCTCTCGACCGGCGTGACGAGGGTCATCGTATGGACATTGGTGAAAGTCTCAAGGGAAGAACCTTCTTAATTTCCTTGCCAAGTTTTTTTTTTGTGGGGGTCGTCTCCCCGCTCCCCCCCCCTCACTCTTCGAACTCCATATTCCATCTTACACATCCGGGAGTAACGCCCAGTGAGTTATTTAGCTGATGTATCCGAGCTCTCCTTTCCTCGATCCGTTTTTTTTGGGGGGGGGGGGTTGAAACACCAGAAGTCCTCGACTTACGACCACCATTTCTGTCGTTCAGCGAGACATCGGTGGAGTGAGCTTTGCCGCCGCCCCCCCATTTTGCCTACCTTCCTTGCCACTGTCGTTAAGCAAATCGCCGCAGTTTGTTAAATTAGTAACGGGGGTTGTTAAGTGAATCCGGCTTCCCGCCCCCCCGCTTGTCAGAACGGTCGTAAAAAGGGGACCACCCAGCGACCGTCGTTAAGTACGAGTCGTTTGCCAAACGTCTGAAAGTTCGATCCCGTGACCTCCGGGGATGCTACAAAGGTCTTCTTAAGTGTGAAAAACGGTCCTCAAACGGCCGTCGCAACTTCGGTCGCTAAACGAACTGTCGTAAGTCGAGGACTGCCGAAAAGAAAAAATATTCCCCTCTGCCCTTCCGCACGCACATTTCTCTGGCCTCGTCCCTTCTTCCTTTCTTCCCTCCTCCCAAAAAAAGAAACCCCACCCACTTGATCTTGATCTTCAGATTGGCTTAAATCTTGAGGTTCCCCTTTCTTGCTTACAACTTTTAAGCCGATCAGGGCGGGCAGCACCTCGCCAAATCAAAGGGGGGTGGGGAGAGACGATCCAGCTTTGCTTCACACAATGCCACCATTGTCTCGTTTGTGGGTTTAGCCACACAATAAAGGTCCTGCACGTTTTGTTTTAATGGGATCAAAGATCCCCCAAATCCTTCCCTCTCCTTCCCACCCCAGCTTCAAGGGATTTAAATTCCAGGGAGCTGCCCACTTTTTCTCTCCGCACGACTTCCACGCGCACTAATTCCCCCCCTCGAATCTCGTCTGGTTATATCGCACTGTGTGTCCGACAGCCAATAAAAAGCACTGATTTAGAACCAAAAAAATAAATAAATAAATAATTCCTTGAATCCTTGAATAAAAGGGTGGTAGTGGGCTCGCTCCGTAGGGGCCGGGATGAGATAGCCGGGAGGGTGTCTTTGAGTTTATCGGCAGCTAAAGGGAAGCTTAGCGGCTGGCCTTGGTTCTCCGAGCCTGGCCTGCTTTGCAGGGCTGTTGTGTCAGCAAAGTCGGAGGGTCCCAGCTCCGCTTCGCTGCTTTGGAATTCTGCTCTGAAAAGAAGAAGACCGTATAAATCACATAATAAAGGGATCTTGGGGGGCTGGGGGGGAGTAGCAAATTCTGTCTCCGAGGCAGGACGGGTGTCGTTTTACGGATACCAGGGGTGAAATTGGCATCGGACCCCGATGGCTTACAGCTTTGAAGCCCCACCGGATGACTCGATCCAGGCACCTGGTCAGTGCCGGTCCCCGAGTAGATCTACGATCCTTTGCATTTCGTCCAAAAAAACCTACAAGGGATCCCGCTGTCGGACGACGGTTTGCAAGCTGCGGAAAGGAGACGAGGCCGTATTTTTATACTTCCCCTCCTGCGTCTTTTCCCCCCATCTCTAGTGTGTCGGCTACAATCCCCATCGTCCCCTGGCTGTGCGTGATGGGCGGTGTAGTCCAGCGCTTCCTTTTTAGGACCCACAGTCGGGAAAGAGGGAAAGATACAGGTTAGAAATGCCAGTGGGAGGGAGGGAGGGAGGGAGGAAGGAGAAGAAAAGGAAGGAAGGGATGAAAAAGGAAGAAGGATGGAAGGAGAAGAAGGGAAGGAGCAAAAGAAAAGGAAGGAAGGAATGGAAAAGGAAAGCAAGGGTGGATGGAGAAGAAGAAAAGGAAGGAAGGAGCAAAAGAAAGGAAGAAATGAAAAAGGAAGAAGGAAGGAAGGAGAAGAAAAGGAGGGAGCGAGGGAGAGGGCATTGGGAAGGAAAGAAGGCAGGAAGGAGCAAAAGAAAAGGAAGGAAAAAGGAAAGGATGGATGGATGGAAGAAGGAGCAAATCAAAGGAAGGAAGGAAAAATGAAGGAAAGGAAGGATGGACCAAAAGAAAAAGAAAGGAAAAAGAAAGAAAATAAAGGAAGCGAAAGAAAAGGGAGGGAGGAAGGAGAAAGGATGAGAAAGTAAAGGAAGGAAGGAATGAAAAAGGAAGGAAGGAGCAAAAGAAAAAGGAAAGAAAAAAAGGAAGGGGAAAGGAAGAGAAAGAAAAATCTTTTGCACGTGGGCGTGTCTCCAAACCTTCGTGGGCGCGGCTAAGAAGAAGCCCCGCCCCCTTCAGAGCCAGCTCTACCCCGCCTCCTCCCGTGATTCAGGTTAATTTCATTCTTCCTACGCTGCTGGGGCGGCTTCGATGCAACCCCCCCTCCTCTACCCTCCGAAATGGTCGCGCCCTCTCTGCGCGCGGCGCAGCGCGGGCCGTTTCCAATTGGTGCGAGGCGAAGGAGGCGGAAGCGCGCGGATGGAACGTTGGGGCCCGGACGAGACCATCCGGCCGGGCGAGCGCGGGGGTGTGTGTGTGCGAGTGGAGAGGAGGTTACAAAGTGCTGGGAAAGTTGCTGCTATGGCGCCGTGTCCGAAGCTGGTGCTGCTTTTCAGCGGGAAACGGAAATCGGGCAAAGATTTCGTGGCCGAAGAAATCCAAAGCCGGTAAAATTAAAAAAATAAATAAATTTTAAAAAAAAGGAGGCAGGGGTGCATCTGCAAAAAAAAAAGAAAAAAAGGGTGGGGGGGAGGATTGCATTTAGGGAGGAAGGGGGCGGGCCGTTTGCATGATGGACGGGGTGGGTGGGCTGCTTACCAAGCCCACCCACCCCCCTCCACCTGCCTTTGCAAGCCGGCACTGATTTGGCAATGCCCCCTCCCCACAATGTTGCCCCTTCCCTTATCCAGGGCTTGCAAATGCCTCCCCCCCCCCCCGTTTCCAAGGCGTGCAGACGTGCGTCCGACACACGCGTCTCCCGAAGCATCAATGCAGCCGGGTGCATGACGGACGGGGTGGGTGACAGTGAGAGCAATTAACCAGTGGAACTGCCTGCCTCCAGAAATCGTGGATGCTCCAACACTGGAAGCTTTTAAGAAGAGACTGGACAGCCATTTGTCTGGAATGGCATAGGGTCTCCTGCTTCAGCAAGGGGCTGGACTAGAAGACCTCCGAGGTCCTTTCCTTCCTTCCTTCCTTCCTTCCTTCCTTCCTTCCCTCCCTCCTCCCCTCCCTCCCCATCCACCTATTTATCTATCTAGTCTCCTTCCTTCCTTTCCTTTTTTTCCTTTTTTCGTCCTTTCCTCCTTCTTCCTTTCCTTCCTTCCATCCATCCATCCTCCCTTCCTTCCTTCCTCCCCATCCACCTATTTATCTATCTAGTCTCCTTCCTTCCTTCCTTTCCTTCCTTTCCTTTCCTTCCTTCCTTCCTTTCCTTCCTTCCTTTCCTTCCCTTCCTTCCTTTCTTTCCTTCCTTCTTTCCTTCCTCCCTTCCTTCCTTCCTTCTCTATCAGTGGGGGTTTTTTAAGAAGCTTTTTTTTAAGAGAGAGAGAGAGAGACTGGACAGCCCTTGGTCTGAAACGGTCCAGGGGGTTGGACTAGATGACCTCCCGGGCCCCTCCCAACCCTTGTCCTCCTCTTCTCTTCCTCCGGAGCGCGCCGAGAGAGGGAAGGCCAAGGCAAGGAAGGGGTTAACTCCGCCTTCCTGCTCTCCGGGGCTGAGTCACTCAAAGCCTCGTAGCCCCGCCCCCTCGGCTCCCCTTCTCCATTTTCCCACTGAGTCTCCAGCGCGGCAGGCGCGTTTCCTGCGCTCCCATCATCCCAGCGCCAGGAGGAAAGGGAAAAAAAGCCCCCAATTCCTGCAGGAGAAGCCCAGCGGGGGCAGGCCGCCCTTCTGCGGCTCCTAGAGCCCAGGCCTCGCTTGCCCTTCCTGCAGGCCTGCGGAGGGGCCTGGAGTCACTGCCCGGGGAGGCTCCGGTGCAGACTCTCGTGGGCGCCGCCAATCCAGAGCCATCCGCCTCTCCGAGGGACCCCGAGCCCGGGACAATGGAGCCTCCCGAGGCAGCAGACGGCCACGAGGAAACCGTGAGTGGGGAAGGACTGAACCCGCCAGCCCCGAAGCCCCGGGGGCCCAAGAAAGGCCCCGCCACCCCCAAAACGGTGACCACGAGGGCCGCGGCCAGGATCAGGGCAAAGGCCCTCCCCTCCTCCAGAAAGGCCCCTAAGGCAAAGGAGGAGGAGGAGGAGGAGGAGCAAAAGGCCTTGGGTGGGGAAGAAGAAGCGGCTAAGGCCGAAGGGGGGGAGGGGGAGCAAGGCGGGCAAGAGAGCCCCCTGGTGGACGAACCTAAACATTCCCAGGCCTCTCAGCCCCAGCCCTTGCAACCTCTAACAAAGGAGGTTGGTCAGACGGCTAGCCCGGTGCAGTCACCGGATGGCGCCGCAGAGCCACTTTCTGACCCGCCGCTTCCAATGATAGAACAGGATGAGCTTTCGTCCCTCCCTTCGGTGTCAAATCTCCCACCGGAAACTCCTTGGGAGGAGCCGGCTGCTAAAAGGGCAAAGACTACCCCAGAGGCTACCTCCACTCCTGCAGTGGCGGGACTTCGCCCAAAGGAGACGCAGGAGCCTGAAAAGTCCCTCCCAAAGGAAACGAAGCAGCCACAAATTACCCCGCGAATGAGACTAATGATTTCGGAGGCCATTGCTCGGGGCATTGCCGCAGCAATACAACAAAACCAGCCGGCGGCCTCTGACCACACTCCACACGAGGGCCAGCCTCCTGCACCCGATAATCCCAGGGACGTAGCTGCTCTTCCCAGGCCCCTTTCCCCTGCCCCTTCCATACACAGCCAAGAATCCCTCTTGGACGATGAGGAACATCAAGTGTCGATGCTGTTTGAGGACAAAGGAGGGACTACGGACCTCCTGGACTTCAAAGGGCTCTTCCGCCCTGCCTTGTTTAAGACGCTTCTCCACAGAGCGAAGGCCACGGCTCAGATTGGAGAGGATCCAGCCAACTCAGATCCGGCCTTGGGCTTATCTGACCCCAATAGTCTAGTGTTCTCAGAGCCCACCACAGATAAAGAGGAGATCCCCTCCCCAAAATTGTTCCTGGATGCTGTCCAGCGACAATGGGTCCAACCAGGGGAAAATCCAGGCCTGAACCCGAATGAAAAGCGGCTCTACAATGTGGCCCCGAACCTCACAGCGGCCTTAGAAATGCCGACCATCGACGAGCCCGTGGTGGCCTTAGCCTCCCCCGACGAGATCTCCAATGACCCGAACACTGCTTTGAATCCACAAGACAGGAAAGCTGAGCTGACGCTCCGCAAAGCCTATAATGCGGCTGCTTGGGCGGTTAAGGCAGCTACGGCGGCTTCCTTCTTCAACAGAACTTCCGTGCTCTGGCTCAAAGAGATGCAAGCCAGAATCCCAGCCACCGACCTCCAAGCTCACCAAGCCCTCAACAACCTGGTAATGGCAGCAGAATACTCTGCCGATGCCACACTGAACTCGGCCAAGTTCGCTTCCAGGTCCATCTTCTCTTCTGTGACCGCCCGACGACTGCTGTGGCTCCGTCACTGGCATGCAAACATGAAGTTCAAGTGGAAGTTGGCCACAGCCCCCTTCAAAGGGGGCAACCTATTCGGAGAGGCGTTAGAGCCTGTGCTCATAGAGACCAAAGACAAAAAGAAAGTCCTACGCTCTATCCCCAAACAGATTCAGAATCTTTCCTTCAGAGCAGCCGACACCGCACAGGACTTCTCACAACCACAGGGGCCTACTTCCAGCCTCAGGATCGCCAATCCAATAGGCAGTCTCAGAATCCTTCCTTCACAGCAGCGGACACCGCACAGGACTTCTCACAACGACAGGGGGCATACTTGCAGCCTCAGGATCGCCAATCCAATAGGCGGTCTCAGAATCCTTCCTTCACAGCAGCGGACACCGCACGCGACTTCTCACAACCACAGGGGAGATACTTCCAACCTCAGGATCGCCAATCCGATAGGCGGTCTCAGAAGCCTTCCGTCAGAGCAGCGGACACCGCACACAACTTCTCACAGCCACAGGGGAGATACGTCCAGCATCAGGATCGCCAATCCGATAGGCCCGGCAACAGAGGGAGTAACAGGCAGCAGTACCAGTCTAAACAGTCATTTCAAGGCAAAGGAAGTCAGCCGTCTAAGTCTGTTCGTGGCTCAGTGGGAGGAAACGACCGCAGATCCAAAGTTGAGGACACCAATGGTCCTGAACACCGTCGGACTAGGCGTCGCTCTCGATTTTCTCCCGAAACTCCCAAGGCTCATGATTCGCTGCCCCGGGACAAGAAGAGCCCTCGCAGAAGCAGCACTGCTACACCTGTCAGACATTCAAGCCACCATTCAAGCGATTCTCGACCTACAAAGACTCAACAAGCATCTAGTAAGCAAGAGCATCAAACTGCAGCCAGCCCCTCCAGTCCATACTGGAGAGCATCCGGAGGGCGACATCCTGATGTCAATAGGTCTGACGGAAGCCTACCGACACTCCCTATATTGCCGTCTCACCAGGAAGCCTACTATTCCTATATACCACCGTACCATGATTCCTAGTTTTGGTACATGAACCACCGTTACCAGTACAGACCCCTCCCGTTCAGCCTGTCTTCAGCACCCAGAACATTCTCGCAGATCCTAGCAATGCTCTTGGCTCACCTCAGGACTATTCCTATCCGCGTCCAACGCTACCTGAGCGACATATTGATCCAAACCACCCACCTCCGGCCAACAGAAGATCTCAGCTTCAGATTACAGATCCTTCAATAGCACGGATTCTCAGTCAACTACAACGAGACCTAGTTCTCGCCTACCGACAGAGTACTTCGCCTAGGAGCACATATAGGCAGGACAACAGGCACAGTCTCCCTGCCCCAGGACCGCCAGGGCAGCATCAGAACTCTGGCGAACCGGATCCGAGGAGGCCTCCTCTCACAAATGTTAGGCAAGGTGGTGTCGTCTATCGCCATCCTTCCCTGGACACGTCTGCATACCAGGGCCGTGCAGTGGCTCCTCCTGCCTTACCAGAAATGTGGCCGGAGCAATATAACTACCGGAGTCCGGATCCCATCAGAAGACCTCCAGTGATGGATGTCAGCGGCCATAACCAGGGGATGTACGCTCAAGAAACCGAACCGGTTCGCTATGACTACGGACACCAGTTTGTTCAGCTGCGGAGCCCACAGGGAGACCCAGATGGCACAAGGCTAGTGTTCACAGGAGGACATATGAAACAAGTTCAACCAGTTAGAGCTAACAGCAGCCCACCTAGGCCTCCAGATCATCATCTCCAGCCACCACGTACTTCTCCTGACAGACGACGTAGCCACCAAGACTCATATCAACGGCCAAGAGAGCAGCCACCCCAGGACCCCCGGAGAGAAGGCGGTCAGAGGGCAGAACGGGATCTTCTACCCTTGCGCGCAGAAGATAACACGGGAACATCCAATGTACAGGCGGACCTGTTTTGGGCACCGCATCCCCCCCATACCCTGTTTTGGGCCTAGCAGGCTTCCCTGCAGCCTCCTGGGACCAAAAACGGGTTTTGGGAGAGGGGCTGAACTCCTCCCCCCCCCCCGCCAGCTAGCTTTGGGCCTAGCAGGACTCCCTGCAACCTCCTGGGACCAAAAACAGGCCGTCGGGGAGGGGGCTAGCAGCCGTCCCTGCTGTTACAGGTGTTATGTCTGCCTTGTATGCAGCTTTATTCCTCGTTAGCATTCACTTCCATTGTTAGGTGATGCATTTTCTGCCTCTCTAGGATTTACCTCTATTAGCTCCCTTGAGGCTTGTATAGCATTTTAACAGCATTTTGATTAAAGCTACTTTAAAAACCTGCTGCTTCTTAGGACCACACACCCCTCCGCGTGTCCCTCTAGCATGCACACGCAACCCCTATGCATGCACACATGTCTCCCCTTTCCCCCCCCATCCTGAAAATCAGCTGGCCGGTGGGAGGTGCGTGCCCGCAGAAAGGGCTCTCCATGCCAGCTGTGGCTCATTTGCCACAGGTTCTCCACCACGGCTCTATGAGGCTATCTACGAGCAGGATTTACGATTCCACCTGGAGAACCTTCTGTCTCGTGCAACAAAGCCTCTCTTGATCCCCTCTCAGTATCAGTGGCCTGAATTCTGGACTTCCTACAGGCCGGGTTAGAGAAGGGCCTATCGCCCGATACGATACGCAGACAAGTGGCCGTCTTGTCTTCGTGTTATCTTGCGGGGAGCTGGAGTCCCTCGCATGGCACCCTATTGTGCGCAGCTTCCTCAGAGGGACGACTGACTTAAAGCCTCCGACAGCGCACCAGTATCCCACCTGAGAACTACCTACCAGCGAAGACTTTCTTCTCCCACAGTCTTTCAAGATACTTCACTATTACTGACCTTTATCAGGCTTGGCGAGTGGCCAGGCCGATATCTTTCAGACGCCACAATGCTTGGCAAGAATGCAGGAATGAACTAATTGTCTCCTGCAAACTCCGCTCCCCTTTCGCTCCTCTTTTATTCCCTCTGGGAGGAGCCATTCACCGTCCACCTGTGGCTTTACTCCTGAGTCACCCCTTGTTCCTTAGCTGTTCCCTTCGTCTGGAAACTCTGCACATGCGCATACTGGGAACAGGCTCCAGCTGTTCATCTGCCTCACTGATGTCTGACTCCAAAGGCAGCTGATAACTGGCATAGGGCCCTGGTGCCCTCTCTGCCTCCGACGCAGAGCCCTTGTCCGAGCCTTCTCCAGACTCCAGGACTGGCCCAGGATCCTCCCCAACCCCCTCAGTGTCCGAATCTGATGCCAGATCCGCTGGAGGGCCGCAACACATCCATCGCCAAATCGTATGAACTTTGGGCTCTTCCGTTGCCTCGGCGAGTGACAGCCAACTCTACGAGAAGCGGGGCCACGACGGTAGCGTGGGCCACACAGGGCTCCATCGAGGAGATATGGAGAGCTGGATGTCTTCGGTTCCGGTGAAGCGGCTTTCGGCAGACGAGGTGGGTGTCCAACCCGTTAGATTAAATTAAAATCCAGATTAAATTCGATCTCAACTCCGTCAGATCTAAATTTAATTTAGAATCCAGTTCTTTTTAGCTGTAATCTGTAGATGTCAGTTGCTGGTTGGGGAGGTGGTTCAATGCCTTAACTGGGCGGGGGAAGACAAAAAAACCTGGAGCCCTTGTGGATATAATTGGGGTGGTAAAGTACTCCTGCCTCTGGAAGCTCTATCACTCTCTTTCCTAGCTAAACGGGGCAGAAAACACACACACATCCATGGGCAATCGGCTCCCAACTTGCAGCATCTTTCCAGAGTTTGAGGATTGTTCGGCCTCTGTTTTTGGGGCATTGGGAGGTAGACTGCTGCTGGCTAGAGAGGCTCTATTCTGAATCGGTTGACTTCTGACCTCCCTTTTCTTGTTTTTTGCTGGCAGGTTGGGGTTGGATGTTTGCACCATTCTCCGCTTATCCGGGCCTCTGAAAGAGCAGTACGCAAAGGTAATTTTGATTTAAAACTGATTTATTTTGCCTTTTTTAAAAAACCATCTGGCGATTTTGGGTCAATTCTGATTTTATTTGAGCATGAAATGCTGATTCAATAGGTAAGTTTAGTTTGAAGCATTTTTTTGTTGTTTGGTTTTTTGGGAGGGTAGAATCTCAATTTATTTGAGTGCAATATTTTGAGGTTTTTTTTTATAAAACCTGTATATATTCTTGGTATATTAAAATAAAAAGAGACATTTATGCTCCCTGGAATGGAGCGATTTGTCTGTTCTCACTTTAAGGGTTTTCATGTGGCGGTGAGTTCCGCCGGTGAATTAGGACCTTTTTTGGGGGGGAATTTTAGGCAGTTGAATTTGGAGAATTGCAGAGGAAATGTTGAGGGTTTATTTTGCACGCAGGAACATGGCCTGGATTTCCAGCGGCTTTTAGACGCCTCCGATTACAAGGAACTTTATCGGGAAGACATGATCCATTGGGGGGAAGAGCGACGCCAGAGCGATCCTGGTTTCTTTTGCCGCATTGTGGTGGAAGGCGTGACGCAACCCATCTGGGTAAGGCCAGGGGGAATAGACAGGTAGACCCCGACATGACCACCATTGAGGCCAGAGTCATTAAGCAAGGCTGTTTTTAAGCGAGTTTATTAGCTCCGTTCTACCACCTTTCCTGCGACCGTTGTTAAGCGAATCACGGCAAACTGTTAAGCTAGTCCCACGGTCGTTCAGGGAGTCCATCTTCCCCGTTGACTTGGCTTGTAGGAAGGTCGCAAAACGGGGATCGCATGACCCCACCCTGGGGAGGGACACTGCAATTGCCGTAAATACGAGCCAGTTGCCAAACGTCTTTAATTTTGATCGCGTGGCCAACAGGTGTTCTGCGATTGTCATAAGTGTGAAAAAAAACATTCTAAGTCCCTTTTTTTCAGCTCCATAACTTCAAACGGTCACTCAGTGAATCATCATAAGTCGGGGACTGCCCGTAGTTGTCTTCTGGACCAGCTCCCAACACCCATCTTGATCTTTGGCGGGGCGGGGTGGGGCGGACGAAGCTAATCGGTTTAACAACGGGGGAGGAGCAGATGGCCAGAATTCAAACTTGAGTCCCCCAAGGGTTCATTTTCTTTTTCTCCTTCTCTCTTGAACCTTTGCCAATGCAGATCGTGAGTGACACCCGGCGGTCCTCGGACGTGGAATGGTTCCGTGATGTGTACGGGGACCTCGTTCAAGTCGTGCGGGTGATTGCCACGGAGGAAACCCGGAGAAGACGGAACTGGGTGTTTGTGGAAGGTAAAATGAGCTTCTCTGAATGTGTTTGGGTGTACACGGAAGGATGGAAAAAACTGCTCTCTTTCTTATGTAGCTAGTATAGAACAAAATCAGAATGTAGAATAGAATATTTTCCATTCTATATAGAGAATAGAAGAGAAGAAGTGAATAGTACAGAATAGAGAATAATATAGAATATATAGAAGAGAGAATATAAAATAGTGTAGAATATAGAGAATAGAAATACAGAATAGAAATATGGAATAGAAATGAAATATAGAATAGAATAGAAAATAGAATAGAATAGATATTGGAAGATAGAATAAAATAGAATAAATATTGCAGAAGAGAAGAATATAGAATAGCATAGAAATATAGAATTTATAATTTAGAGGAGGAGAGAATAGAGAATAGACACGGAACAAAACAGAATAGAATAGAAAATAGAATTAATTAGAATTAGAATATAGTAAGAATAAGAATAGAATATTTTATTTGGCCAAGTGACACCCAAGGAATTTATCTCTGGTGCAGAATTTTTCAGTGTAGGAGTTTCAGTAAAAGATCAGAGTTTCCGGGAGATTTAATCAGGTAAAGCGTTATCAGTCTTCGAGTCCCAAAATCTTTAATTTGTGGATGCTAAGTTTCTAGTCCTTAAGAAATTCGAGGGCGACCTGTTCCAATGTGTCTCTTGTGTGTCTCTGTCCGTTTGCAAAAGCCACCGGGTTTTCAATTTGACTCGGAAGAATCTGACGCTAAATCTCTTCTTTTTTTCCCGTCCCGTCTCTTTCTCCGCTTCCCAGGAATTGACGACGCGGAATCCGAGTGCGGGTTAGACCAAGGCGTCCCCTACGATTGGGTGGTCACCAATGATGGAGACCAGCTGTCCTTGGATGCCCAGCTGGAGAAATTGCTCCAGTTTATCCAGACCAAACTTTAGGAACGGCTGGCTTTCCCCATCTCTCTCTTTCTCTCTCTCCCCCTGTAGCTCTTTTGGGGAGGGGGCTCAGGCTGGGGCTCTTGGCTGAAGGACCAAAGAGGGGTGAAGACGTTGGAGGAGGAGGTCCTCCTTCCCAAAAAAGGAGACTCCAGGCAAGGAACCATCACATTAAACTTTGCTGTACAGTTTCCTTCCTGGAATTGAGACTCCATTCCAGAAATTGCCATAATCCAGTTCCGGTTTTTCTTCTCTCTGTCTCTCTCTCTCTCTCTCTCTCTATCTTCCTCCATCTCAACAGGGCTGCCTGCTTTTACCATCCTGCAGGTATCTCAGGAGGAAGATTAAATTCCCACCTTTTGATAGGTCTCGATTCCTCTCCCTCCCCCTCAACTCCATTGGTGGGATAACGGGGGTACCTCTTGTTCTTCGCATCCCCCTCCTCTCATTTGAGATGAGGACAGTACTGCTTCCCACCTCTAGGGGGCAGAGCAAGCCCAGCTTTTTCACCCTAGCTTTTGCAGCTTTCCAAAGCAGGGGGAAAAAATTCCTGATTTTTGCCATTCCATTTAGGTTGAGTTTGATGCAAGTTTTTTCCTCCTGATTTGATCTATGGGGAAAAACAAGAAAGAATCTCATTGGTGATGGGGGAAACACCCACGGACGGTGGGGTGAAAAATCCCATTTTTTTTCCCCAGAGATCTCTCACTGGGAATGGAAATATTCCCAGTTTCCCACTTGGAATGGAAATATTCCCAATGCTACGGTCCTCTGCGGTTAGAAAACCCACCGGCTCCCCCAACAGGTGGGGAAGAAACCACATTGTCGTGCCTTATTCTCGAAAAGCTCTCCGTCTCTCGTTCCGGTTTTCCTCCTCCTTTTCTTTCTCTTTGTTTCCTTCCTTCGTTCCTCCCCGAATCCCCCTTGGCCAATTTCTCCTCCGGCAAAATGTTCTTCTGCCATTGGAGGGAGGGAGGATTTCGTTCCAGAAAACGTGGAGGGAGACCCGAAAAATTGCATTGGGATGAGAAGCGTTTGAAAGAATCCTCTGAAAGGCACCTGGAAAAGGTGCGTTTTGCAGCCCCCCCTCGGGGCTGCAAAATGAGTTTAATCGTTTTAGTTTAATCCCCGCTTCATTCCCCTCCGCTCGAGTTTAATCCCCGCTTCATTCCCCTCCGCTCGAGTTTAATCCCCGCTTCATTGCCCTCCGGTGCCAGTTTTTCTTAACTGTGGCGCAGGAACCCTGGAGGATTAAAATAAACTGACCACTAAGCAGGTCAGCTCCCGGGAAGGTTGGAAGGCGCGCAAACTGAATTTGCAAAAGGGGAGCAGTTTTGCGAGGCTGCTGCATTTATTCCGAATGGGAAATATCCTCCCAGCTGTTTGCAAGACCCTCCCCAATTAATTTCCTGCCTCTGTTACTGTGTATACCTGTATTAATTGCTAATATTAATGAGAACGCCCGCCTTTTCTCTCTCGTCCTATCGGGTAGGGAGGAGGTAGGAAAATGCTCCAATAAAGCCCATTGATTGGTTAAAGCCCCCGCCTCTCTTTTTTTATTGCCTCTTCTGGGGTCCAATCCAGGTGATCTCACGCAAGCAGGGCAGCCACTAAAGGAGGGTGGAAACTAAGGTGATGTGAAGGTGTTTGCTAGCTGCTGATCCTATCCACCAAACGAGGGGGGAGCAATTAAGAGGAGCGGGGGTCTCTCTGTCTTCTGGAACGTCTGCAAGAAAACAATGAAGCTCAGAGAGCTCCAAAGACCCCCTCAGTGCTCCTACTCTTCCTCCTTGGTTTTCTTGCGCCTCATGAGCCAACTAGGTAATATCATCAGTGCTGGAAGGCAGTGAGGTTTGCGGAGTGGAGGAGGAAGGGAGGAGAAAGTGTGTGTGTCCTTAATGCTGTCTAAGCTTGGGGTTTTTTTGCGGACATCTTATTACCCAACTAGGTAACATCATCAGCGTTGAAGGGAGTGAGGTAGGAAGGGAAGGAGGAGTGTGGGGTCCTTGGTGCGCTCTCTGGTTTTCTGGCAAACGTTTCATTCAGGGATGGGTGCTACTTACCTTTACTATCGGTTCGCGACGGCATGCGCAGATCACTGATGATAACACCCAGGGCAGTGGGCGGGGCCTCCCGCTGATTTTACTACCAGTTCTTTTGAACCGGTCCGAACTGGGGGCAACCCACCTTTGGTTTCATGACCAAACTAGGTAATGTCATCAGTGCTACGAACAGCACTTATATCTTGAAGGCTTTGAGGACATTAAGGGGAGCCGTCAGTCAATCTGTACTTTTGTCCGGCGGCCTTAAGTCCTTCCTGATTGGTTCCCATGTCCCCAACCTCAGGCCAAGCGACAGAAATGCCCGCCAGCCTGCAATGTCCCTTTAAAAGGGACTCCATTCCAAAACTCCCTCCTGGGGGTAATTAACTCCGCTGGGCGGGGGTTAACTGGTGGGGCGGGAGGTGGGGCCTTTCCCCAGACGAGTGAATGAAGCACACACACACACCCCTTGGGTTGGGTGGGGGGCGCACAGAGAGAAAGCAAGCAGCCTACGAATCCCTTTTGGTGCTGGCGGAGAGCGCACAGGTGCATTCCTAGAGGGGCGGCTTTGGGGAAGGGACTTGAACCTCGGTGGGTTTGGCCCTCCGCTTCCCCAGATCTCTTTCCGAAATTGAGAGGAGGTGGGTTTGCTTGGGAGGAGGTTGCAGACACTTGGGATCCTTCCTTCCTTCCTTCTCCATCACTGGAGTTTGTTTTTAAGAAGGGACTGGCCAGCCATTTGTCTGAAACGGGATAGGGCCTCCTGCCTGATCAGGGGGTTGGACTAGATCAGGGGTCCCCAACCTTTCAGACCTCAGGGACCACTAAATTCATAGTTTTAAATCCCACGGACCGCTAATATGGGAGGGGAGCCTTGCCAGCCTCTATTCACCTCTCCTCACCTGCCTGCCTGGGCTCCTTAGGACCCCAACAGGAAGCAGTTGTTGGAGCTAAGCAGCCACCACGAGAAAGAATTGGCAAAATAGCTGCTCAGTTCAAATTGGATCTGACCGAGAAGGAGGCTCCGTAGAAGCACCTCACTGAGGACTAGGAGCATAGGCTTTCCAAGCAGAGGGGAGACCTGCGGGAGTGCAAGGCCAGATACCGGTGCCTGGAGGCTCAGTGGGCTGAGATGGTCAGTCGGTTCCAGGCCATGAAGCTGCCCCACTGGAACAAGGCCCTCCGGCTCTTCGCCACCAGCGACGCTTCCTTCCAGCCTTCGCCCAAAGCCCCGCACCAGGAGGCCGAAGCAGACCCCGTGTCGGAATTTCTGCCCCCCCTCCGACCAGCACAAAAAGACCCCTGATTTAGTGCAATATAAAAAAAATGCAAATAATTTTTCTGCCGACCACCAAAATTTTCTCACGGACCACCGGTTGGTGACCGCTGGACTAGATGACCTCCAAGGTCCCTTCCAACTCTGGTCATTCTATTCGATTCTTCCGAGTGTGCGGAGAGAGAATCCGAGGGAAGGGAAGGGGTTAACTTCCTGCCCGTTAGGCTGAGTCAATCAAGCCTTTGTAGCCACGCCTCTCGGGTCGACTTCTCCATTTTCCCATTCAAGTCTTCAGCTCAACAGACGCATTTTCTCCCACTCCCATCATTCCAATTCCAGAACGAGATTAAGAAAAAAAAAAAAAACCACTTCTACAGGAGAAGGAAAGCCAAGGTCCCTCTGATCTTCCCACAGGCCTGCGGAGAGGGACCAGCTCCAGTGCAGACTGTTTTTGGCGGCCATCCAAACAGCCGCGTCTTCAATCCAGAGCCATCCGCCTCTCCGAAGGACCCGAATCCCGGGAAAATGGAGCCTTCCGAGGCAGGAGACAGCCACGAGGAAACCGTGAGTGGGGAAGAACTGAATCCAACAGCCCAAAAGCCCCGGGGGCCCAAGAAACGCTCCGTCACGCCCAAAACCGTGAAAACAAGGGCAGAGGCCAGAATCAGAGCGCAGGCCCTTCTTGCCTCCAAAAAGGCCCCTAAGGCTAAAGCCGAGGAGGAGGAAGAGGAGGAGGAAGAGGAGGAGGAGGAGGAAGAAGAAGAGGAGGAAGAAGAGGAGGAGGAAGAGGAGGAGGAGGAGGTGGAGGAGGAGGAGGAGGAAGAGGAGGAGGAGGAGGAGGAGGAGGAGGAGGAAGACCAAAAGGCCTTAGAGGGAGAAGAAAGGGAAACGGAGCAACGCAGGCAAGAGAGCCCCCTGGTGGACAAACCTAATAGTTCCCGCGCTTCTCATCTGCAGCCGTTACAACCTCTAACAAAGGAGGTTCGTCAGAAGGCTAGCCCGATGCGGTCACCAGATGGCGCCAGAGAGCCACAGCGTCCAATCCCTTCGGTTTCAAATCTCCCACCGGAAAGTCTTTGGGAGGAGCCGGCTCCTAAGAGGACAAAGACTGCCCCAGAGGCTACCTTCACTCCTACAGCTGCGGGACTCCGCCCAAGGGAGAGACAGCAGACAGAAAAGTCCTGCCCAAAGGAGCCAGAAATTTCTCCAGAAATCAGACTAATAATCGCAGAGGCCATTGCTCAGGGCATTGCTGCAGGCATGCAACGAAACCAGCAGGCAGCCTCTGGAAACACTCCACAGCAGGGGCAGTCTTCTGCACCCAATAATCCCAAGGACGTAGCTGCTCCTCCCAGGGCCCTTTCCCCTGCCTCTTCCATGTTCAGCCAAGAATCCCTCTCGGATGATGAGGAACATCAAGGGTCGATGCTGTCTGAGGACAAAGGAGGGACTACGGATACCCTGGGCTTCACAGGACTCTTCCGTCCTGCCTTGTTTAAGACGCTTCTCCACAGAGCCAAGGCCACGGCTCGGATAGGAGGGGATCCATCTGTATCAGATCCGGCCTCAGGCTTATCTGACCCCAATAGTCTGGTATTCTCAGAGCCCACCACAGATAACGAGGAGATCCCCTCCCCAAAATTGTTCCTGGATGCCGTCCAGCGACAATGGGCCCAACCAGGGGCATATCCAGGCCCAAACGTGACTGACAAGCGGTTCTACAACGTGGCCCCGACCCTCGCGGCGGCCTTAGAAATACCAACCATCGACGAGCCCGTGGCAGCCTTAGCCTGCGTCAACATGATAACCAATGACCCGGACGAAGGTTTGAATCCAGAAGACAGGAAAGCTGAGATATCGCTCCGCAAAGCCTATCACGCGGCTGCCTGGGGGGTTAAATCGGCTACGGCTGCTTCCTTCTTCAACAGAACTTCCGTGCTCTGGCTCAAAGAGCTGCAAGCCAGAATCCCAGCCACCGACGTCCAAGCTCACAAGGACCTCAACAACCTGATCATGGCGGCAGAATATTCTGCCGATGCCACACTGAACTCGGCCAAGTTCGCTTCCAGGGCCATCGCCTCTTCCGTGACGGCCCGACGGCTGCTGTGGCTCCGTTACTGGCAGGCAAGCATGAAGTTCAAGTGGAAGTTGGCCTCGGCCCCCTTCAAAGGGGAGAACCTATTCGGAGAGGCCTTAGAGCCTGTGCTCATAGAGACCCATGACAACAAGAAAGTCCTACGCTCTATGTCCAGACGCCCCAACCAGCGGTCTCAGAATCCTCCCTTCAGAGCAGCCGACACTGGAAACGACTTCTCACAACCACAAAGAGCATACTTCCAGCCTCAGGATCGCCAATCCAATAGGCCCGGCAACAGAGGGCAGCAGAACAGGCAGCAGTTCCAGTCCAAAGGGCAATTTGGAGGCGGCGGAAATCATCCCTACAATCGCTCCTCCAGATAACTGCAAATCCAACCCTCCCATTGGTGGCCGGCTAAGCCTCTTTGCGGCTCAATGGGAGGAAACGACCGCAGATGCATGAGTCCTTAACACCGTCCGACTAGGCTTTGCTCTCGATTTTCTTGATTTGAGGTTCTTGATTTGCTGCCCCAGGACAAGAAGGACCCTCACGGAAGCTGCAGTCCTACACCTGTCGGACATTCAAGCCACCTTTCAATAGATTCTCAACCTAAAAAGACTCAACAAGCATACAAGAGATTCAAAATGCATGTCCTTCCAGTGCATACTGGAGAGCAGGCCTCCCTGCAGCCTCCTGGGACCAAAAAAGGGCTGTGGGGGGGGGGGGACACTGCACTCCCTTCCCTCACAGCCCCTTTTGGGCCTAGCAGGGCTTCCCTGTAGCCTCTGGACTAAAAATGGCCGTGGGGGGGCGCTCCATGCCCCCCCTCACAGCCCCTTTTGGGCCTATGAGGCCTCCCTCTATCCTCCTAGGACCAAAACAGGCTGTGGGGAGGGGTGCTGCACGCCCTTCCCCCACAGCCCCTTTTGGGCTAGCAGGCCTCCCTGCAGCCTCCTGGGACCAAAATGGGCCGTGGGGGGCACTGAACCGCCCCTCACAGCCCCGTTTTGTGTCCTAGGAGGCCTCCCTGCAGCCTCCTGGAACAAAGAAAAGCTGTGGGGGGGGGCACTGCAGCCCCTCCTCACAGCCCCTTTTGGGCCTAGCAGGCTTCCCTGTAGCCTCTTGGGACTAAAAAGGGGCTGTGTGGGGGGGCACTGCAGCCCCTCCCCTACAGCCCCTTTTGGGCCTAGCAGGCCTCCCTGCAGCCTCTTGGGACTAAAAAAGGGCTGTGGGGGGGCACTGCACCCCCTTCCCTCACAGCCCCTTTGGGCCTAGCAGGCCTCCCTGCAGCCTCCTGGAACAACAAAAAGGCTGTGGGGCGGGGCTCTGCATCCCCCCTCACAGCCCCATTTTGGGCCTAGGAGGTCCCTGTAGCCTCTTGGGACTAAAAAGGGGCTGTGTGGGGGGGCACTGCAGCCCCTCCCCTACAGCCCCTTTTGGGCCTAGCAGGCCTCCCTGCAGCCTCTTGGGACTAAAAAGGGGCTGTGGGGGGGGCACTGCACCCCCTTCCCTCACAGCCCCTTTTGGGCCTAGCAGGCCTCCCTGCAGCCTCCTGGAACAAAGAAAGGCTGTGGGGGCGGGGCTCTGCATCCCCCCTCACAGCCCCATTTTGGGCCTAGGAGGCTTCCCTGTAGCCTCTTGGGACTAAAAAGGGGCTGTGTGCGGGGGGGCGCTGCACCCCCTTCCCTCACAGCCCCTTTTGGTCGCCACCAAGGGACAGTGCAAGCCCAGCCTTCTCCAAAGCGGGGTGTGTGTGTGTGTGTGAATATGTTTGTCCTTCCATTTAGGTTTAATTCCATGCAAGTTTTTTTCTCCTGATTTGATCTGTGGGGAAATTCCCGTTTTTCCCCCCCCCCCACTCGAGAGTTCCCAGTGGGAATGGAAATATTCCCAATGCTACGGTCCTCTGCAGTTAGGAATCCCACTGGCTCCCCGAACAGGCAGGGAAGAAGCCACATTGTTGTCTCGCCTTCCTTTTGAACAGTTCTCCGTTCTTCCTCTATTTTTTCTTTCTCTTTGCTTCGTTCCTTCGTTCCTCCCCAAATTCCCCCTTGGACAGGTGCAGAATACGGCAAAATGCTCCTCTGTCATGGAAGGAAGGATTTCGTTCCCAAAATCGTGGAGGGAGACCCCCCAAAATTGAATTGGGATGAGAAACGTTTGAAAGAAGTCTTCAAAAATTTTACTTTTTGCAGCCCCCCTCCCCAAGTTTAATCCCCGCTTCATTCTGCTCCGGTGCCGGTTTTTTTTTTAAAACTGTGGCGCAGGAGCCCTGGAGGGATTAAAATAAGTTGGCCACTAAACAGATCGGCTCCCGGGAAAGTCGGAAGGTGGACAAACTGAATTTGCAAAAGGGGAGCAGTTTTGCAAGGCTGCTGCATAAGGGGGAAGTTGGGGAGAGGGAAGAAATTTGGGGAGGGGGCTGTTTTCAGCCTGGACTCCCCTCCCCTCATTCTGAATGGGAAATATCCTCCCAACTGTTTGCAAGACCCTCCCCAATTTTTTTCCTCTTGCTGTGTATACCAGTATTAATTGCTAATATTAATGACAATGCCCGCCTTTTTTCTCTTACCTAGTCCTATCGGGTATTGAGGGGGTGGGGAAATGTTCCAATAAAGCCCATTCATTGGTTAAAGCCCCGCCTCTCTTTTTTATTGCCTCTGCTGGGGTCCAATCCGGTTGATTTCATGCAAGCAGGACAGTCGGTAAAGGAGGGTGGAAACTAAGATTGTGTGAAGGTGTTTGCTAGCCTTACCTTCCAGCACTGATGATGTTACTTAGTTGGGTCATGAAACGTCTGCAAGTAAACCTACCAAGCTCCTCGGTGCTCCTCCTTGGTTTTGTTGCAGACGTCTTATGACCCAATTAAGTAACATCATCAGTGCTGGAAGGTAAGGAGGTTTGCAGAGTGCAGGAGAAAGGGAGGAGAAAGTGTGTGTGTTTGATGCTTTCTAAGCCTAGAGGTCTTTTTGGCCGACATCTTATTACCCAACTGGCTAACATCATCAGTGTTGGAAGGGAATGAGGTGAGAGGAAAAGGAGGGGGAGGAGGAGGAGGGTGGGGTCCTTGGTGCTCTCTGGTTTTCTGGCCGACGTCTCATGACCGAACTAGGTAACATCATCAGTGCTGGGAACAGCACATCATATTTTAAGGCTTTGACGACGTTCAGGGGAGCCGTCAGTCAATCTGCACTTTTGTTCGGTGTCCTTAAGTCCTTCCGGATTGGTTCCCATGTCCCCCAACCTCAGGCCAAGTCATAGAAATGAGCAGTCCCGAAAAAGTGAACATTAAAAATGAAAGTTAAAAGAAAAGATGAATGAAAAATGATGAAAATGACTGTACATGTAAATGTATTTATGAGAAATAAAATAACAACAAAACAACAACAAAAACAATAATAATAATATTAACAGTAAACCTTAACAGTTCCTAGGTCCTTGGTTAGGACTCGAGCTGCTGAGCTATTAACCGGCCTCAAAGGCTGTGAATCTCACTAAAGATTAACTAATAATAATAATAATAATAATAATAATAATAATAATAATAATAATAATAATAAAGAAATGCCAGCCAGCCCACACTGCCCTCTTAAAAGGGACTCCATTCCAAAACTCCCTCCTCTTGGGGGCAATTAATTCAGCTTCTTCGGGCCCCTGGATGCTGGGGCTTCTTTGGGGACCCTGTTTTTTTTTGGGGGGTAGTCCCTCAAATAGCCCCAGCAGACCCAGAGTGGCCATTCAACAGGCAGCTGTGCAACAGGTGCAGCTGAAGGCGCTTTTGAGGATTTCGGGCGGAGACAGAAGCATCCACCTGGAAGTAAAGGGATTTTTTTTTTAAAAATCGCTATTATTTTAAAACGGGGGTTTCCCTGCTCTCTCCCCCCCACCCACCAGAACCTCCCCTGGCCCTAAGTAAGGGGATCCTCCCAGCTGGAGGCTGATGGGAGCTGGAGTCCTCAGCTGCTGGGAGAGGGTTTTTTTTTAAAAAAAGGGTGAGCCCCCCCCCCAGCTGGGCGAGATCAGCTCTCTCCAGATGTTAGGGCGTCTGCTTTCCAGATGTAAGGAGGATGGATTGGGAGGGAGGGAGGGAGTGGGGGGGGGCAAGGGCTCCCCCTCCCCAGCTTCAAGAGACATCCAACCGGGAGAGCCTTCTCCAAGCCCGGCTAAGCGGCATCACCTGTTGTTTCGCGCCCACCTGCAGCCCAGCCACTCCCGGGTGGGGCTGATGGGAGTTGGAGTCGTCAACTGCTGGTGAGTAGGAGGAGGGTTTGAAAAAAAGGAGGGGAGCCCCCCCCCAGCTCTATCCAGATGTTAGATGCCTTCCAGATGTAAGAAGGGCTGGAGGACGAGGATGGAGAGGAGGGGGCGAGCCTGGCACCCACCGCGGCTCCCGTGGCCGCCCTCCGCCCGGCTTCTCGCCACGGCAGCCCCTTCCCCGAGATCGCCCGGAGTTCGTGCAAGGAGCTTCCCCGGGGGGACCTGCTGGAAGAGAGGCTCCACCGGGGCGACTCTGGGCGTCCAGGGCGCCCGACGGCAAGAGGGGGGCGGTGGGCTCGCCAAAGAGCGACCCCGGAGCAAGCCACGCTTGGATAAGGGGGGTCTGGTTGCCTGGGGAGGGGAGGGGAGGTGAATATCGGTGGGTTTGGCACTCCTCTTCCCCAGACCTCTTTCCGAAGATGACGGGGGGGGGGTTGCTGGGGAGGGGGTTGCAGACACTTTCCTTCCTTCATCCTTCCATCCTTCTTTTCTTCCTTCCATCCATCCATCCATCCATCCTTCCATTCATCCTTCCTTCCTTCCATCCTTTTCTTCCTTCATTCCATCCATCCATCCTTTCTTTCTTCCTTCCTTCCTCTTCCATCCATTCCTTTCTTCCATCCTTTTCTTCCATCCATTCCTTTCTTCCATCCTTCCATCCTTCCATTCATCCTTTTCTTCCTTCCTTTCATCCTTCCATTCTTCCTTCCATCCTTTTCTTCCATCCATCCTTCCTTCATCCTTTTCTTCCTTTTCTTCCTTCCATCCATTCTTTCTTCCATCCATCCTTCCTTCCTTTTCTTCCTTCCTTCCATCCATTCCTTTCTTCCATCCATCCATCCATTCCTTCCATTCATCCTTCCTTCCATCCTTTTCTTCCTTCCTTCCATCCATCCTTCTTTCCTTCCATTCATCCTTCCTTCCGTCTTTCATTCCTTCCTTCCTTCCATCCATCCATCCTTCCTTCCTTCCATCATCCTTCCTTCCTTTCCTCTATCCATCCATCCATCCTTTCTTCCTTCCCTTCCCTTCCCTCCTCCATCATCACTGGGTTTGTTTTTAAGAGACTGGGACAGCCATTTGTCTGAAATGGGATAGTGCATCCTGCCAGATTAGGGGGTTGGACTAGATGACCTCCAAAGTCCCTTCCAACTCGTGTTATTCCCTTATTCTGATATTACGGTGGGGTCTGCAGAGAGGAGGAAGAGCGGAAGGAGAACTGTGGGGTCCTTGGTGCTCCCTGAGCTTGCTTTTTTTCCTGCAGACGTCTCATGACCCAACTAGATAACACTATCAGTGCTAGAAGGCAGAAGGGACTCCAGAGAGGATTGTTGGATCTTTGGTGCTCCCTGAGCTTGCTTGTTTTCTTGCAGACGTCTCATGACCCAACTAGGTAACATCATCAGTGCTAAAAAGGGAGGGGGTTTGTGGAGAAAAGGCGGAAGAGGAGGAAGACTGTGGGGTTCCTTGGGGCTCGAGCTTGATTTCTTGCAGACATTGCCTGACCCAACCTTAGCAACATCCCCACAATTGACTCCAAAATATGTTGTGAAGCGAGACATTTGTTCAGCGAATTTCTTGTCCCACTTTATGGCTTTTCTTGCCACCGTCGCTAAGTGAAATCACGGCAGTGGAGGTGAGTAACCTGCTTCTTAAGGGAATCCAGCTCCCCCACTGGCTTCGCTTGTCCGAAGGTCGCAAAAGGGGGATTACGTAACCCAGGGACACGCCAACGGTCGTAAGTACGAAACGATGGCCAAGCGTCTTGAATTTTGATCACGCGATCGTGGGGGGAATGCTACGAAGGTCGTAAGTGTGAAAAACGGTCACTTCTTTCAGCGCCGTTGCAACTTCGGTCACTAAATGGACCGTCGTAACTCGAGGACCTGTATTTATAACATAGCTGCCTTCACAAGAAATCCTTGTGATCAGCAAAGGCCGAAACTGGAAAGAGGCGGGAGGGGGGTTTCCAGAAGATAGAGACCCCCCCTCCTGTTAATTGCTCCCCCTCATTTGGTGGATAGGATCCGTAGCTAGCAAACGCCTTCACACAATCTTAGTTTCCACCTTCCTTTAGTGGCTGCCTTGCTTTGCATATAATCATCTGGATTGGACCGAAGAGGCGGCAATAAAAAAGAGAGGCGGGGGCGTTAACTAATCAATGGGCTTTATTGGAACATTTCCCCACCCCTCTCCCTACCCGATAGGACGAAAGAGAGAGAGAGAAGGCGGGCATTCTGATTAATATTAGCAATTAACACGGTATACACAGCAAAACAGGCAGGAAATTGGGGAGGGTCTTGCAAACAGCTGGGAGGATATTCAGAATGTGGGGAGGGGAGTCCAGGCTGAAGACTTCTCCGGGTTTCCTTCGTGGCGATCCCCCGCACGATTTGTGAACCCGCTTCCCGTACACATCACGGAACCATTCCACGTCCGACGACCGCCGGGAGTCGCTCACGATCTGCGTTGGCAAGAAAGAAGAGAAGAAAAAGATAATGAACCTTTGGGGACTCGAGTTCGAATTCTGGCCATCCCCCGTTGTTAAACAGACCAGCTCCGTCCGCCCCGCCAAAGACCCAAGATGGGAGTTGGTTCAGAAGACAACTACGGGCAGTCCCTGACTTATGACGATTCGCTGAGTGACCGTTTGAAGTTCTCGAGCTGAAAAAAAAAAGGGACTTAGGATGGGTTTTTTCACACTTATGACCGTCGCAGAACACCTGTTGCACCCCACACGATCAAAATTCAAGACGTTTGGCAACTGACTCGTATTTACGACGATCATAGTGTGTCCCCCCCCGGGGGGGGTTACACGATCCCTGTTTTGCGACCTTCTGACAAGCCAAGTCAACAGGGAAGATGGACTCCCTGAAACGACTAGCTTAACAGTTCGCCCTGATTCGTTTAACAACGGTCGCAGGAAAGGTGGTAGAATGGGGCTAAACTCGCTTAAAAACTGCCTTGCTTAGTGACTCTGGGCTCAATGGTGGCCGTAAGTCGGGGTCTACCTGTCTATTCCCCCTGGCCTTACCCAGATGGGTTGCGTCACGCCTTCCACCACAATGCGGCAAAAGAAACCGGGATCGCTCTGGCGGTCGCTCTTCCCAATGGATCATGTCTTCCCGATAAAGTTCCTTGTAATCGGTGCCGTCTAAAAGCCGCTGGAAATCCAGGCCATGTTCCTGCGTGCAAAAAAAACCCCTCAACATTTCCTCTGCAATTCTCCAAATTCAGCTCCCTAAAATTCCAAAAAAGGTCCTTATTCACCAGCGGAACTCACCGCCACATGAAAACTCTTAAAGTGAGAACAGACAAATCGCTCCATTCCAGGGAGCATAAATGTCCCTTTAATTTTATTATTTTTAAGTACACCAAGAATATATATATAGGTTTTGTAAAAAAAAAAAAAGTTCAAATGTTTGCACTCAAATAAATTCACATTCATTCAAAAAAACCCTCCAAAAAATCAAACAACAGAAAAACATTTTAAACTAAATTTACCTATTGATTCAATGTTTCTGCTTGAATAAAATCAGATTCCAGCCCCCACAAAAACCCAGATAACAAAAAACACAATCAGTTTTAAATTAAATTACCTATTTAATAAGGGTGTCGTGCTCAAATTAATCCAGAATCTACATCCATTAATCCATCTACCATCCAGATGGTTTTTAAAAAAGGCAAAATAAATCAGTTTTAAATCAAAATTACCTTTGCGTACTGCTCTTTCAGAGGCCCGGATAAGCGGAGAATGGTGCAAACATCCAACTCCAACCTGCCAGCAAAAAGACAAGAAAAGGGAAATCAGAAGTCAACCGATTCAGAATAGAGCCTCCCTAGCCAGCAGCAGTCTTACCTCCCAATGCCCAAAAACAGAGGCCAAACAATCCTCAAACTCTGGAAAGATGCTGGAAGTTGGGAGCTGTTCTGTCCGATTGCCCATGGATGTGTGTGTGTTTTCTGACGTTTAGCTAGGAAAGTGACGAAGCTTCCAGAGGCAGGAGTAGTTTACCACCCCAATTATATCCACAAGGGCTCCAGGTTTTTTTTTGTCTTCCCCCGCCCAGTTAAGGCATTGAACCACCTCCACCCCTCAACTGACATATCTACAGATTTCAGCTAAAAAGAACTGGATTCTAAATTAAATTTAGATCTGCCGGAGTCGAGATCGAATTTAATCTGGATTTTAATTTAATCTAACGGGTTGGACACTCACCTCGTCTGCCGAAAGCCGCTTCACCGGAACCGAAGGCATCCACCTCTGCAATCTCGATGGAGGACTGCTTCTCGTGGAGTTGGCTGTCACTCGCCGAGGCAATGGAAGAGCCCAAAGTTCATACGATTTGGCGATGGATGTGATGCGGCCCACTAGCGGATCTGGCAGCAGATTCGGGGAAGAACCTGGGCCAGTCCTAGAGTCTGGAGAAGGCTCGGACGAGGGCTCTGTGTCGGAGGCAGAGAGGCGGCCAGAGCCGTCTGACAGTTTTCAGCTGCCTTTGGAGTCAGACATCAGTGAGGCAGGCAAAGAGCTGGAGCCTGTTCCTAGTGTGCGCGTGCTTGCGCAGAGTTGCCAGATGAAGGGAACAGCTAAACAACAAGGGTCAACTCAGGAGTAAAGCCACAGGTGGACGATGAATGGCCTCTCCCAGAGGGAATAAAAGAGGAGCAAAAGGGGAATGGAGCTTGCAGGAGACAATTAGTTCATTCCTGCGTTCTTGCCAAGCATTGTGGGGGTCTGGAAAAATATCGGCCTGGCTACTCGCCAAGCCTGATAAAGGTCGGGAATTCTGAACTATCTTGAAAGACTGTGGGAGAAGAAAAGACTGTGGGAGAAGAAAAACTGTGGGAGAAGAAAAACTGTGGGAAAAGAAAGGTAGTTCCCAGGTGGGATACCGGTGCGCCGTTGGAGGCTTTTAAGTTAGTCGTGCCTCTGATAAAAGCTGCGCACAATTGGGTGTCGTGCGAGGGACGCACGATAACACAGACAACAAGGCGGCCTGCTAGCCCCTCCCCCAACCGCACACTGCCCATGTTTGGTCCCAGGAGGCTGCAGGGAGGCCTGTAGGCCCAAAACTGGGTATGTGAGGTGGGGGTGCAGCGCCCCCTCATGGCCCGTTTTTGGTCCCAGGAGGCTGCAGGGAGGCCTGTAGGCCCAAAACAGGGTATGTGAGGTGGGGGTGCAGCGCCCCCTCATGGCCCGTTTTCGGTCCGAGGAGACTGCAGGGAGGCCTGTAGGCCCAAAACAGGGTATGTGGGGTGAGGGTGCAGCGCCCCCTCATGGCCCATTTTTGGTCCCAGGAGGCTGCAGTGAGGCCTGTAGGCCCAAAACGGGATATGTGAGGTGGGGGTGCAGCGCCTCCCCACGGCCCGTTTTTGGTCCCAGGAGGCTGCAGGGAGGCCTGTAGGCCCAAAATGGGGCACAGGGGGTGGGGGGGGAGGGTGCGGTGCCCAAAATGGGTCCGCCTGTACATTGGATGTTCCTGTGTTATCTTCTGCGCGCAGGGGTAGAAGATCCCGTTCTGCCCTCTGACCGCCTTCTCTCCCGGGGGTCCTGGGGTGGCTGCTCTCTTGGCCTTTGATAGGAGTCTTGCTGGCTACGTCGTCTCTCAGGAGAAGAACGTGGTGCCGGCTGCTGTTGTTTTGTACGTCCTCCTGTGACCACTGGCCATGTGTCATCTGGATCTCCCTGTGGGCTCCGTGGCCGAACAGACTGGTGTCCGTATTCATAGCGAGCCGGTTCGGTTTTTTGAACGTACCTCCCCTGGTTATGGCCGCTGACATCCATCACTGGAGGTCTTCTGATGGGATCCGAACTCCGGTAGTTATATCGCTCCGGCCACATTTCTGGTAAGGCAGGAGGAGCCACTGCACGGCCCTGGTATGCAGACGTGTCCAGGGAAGGATGGCGATAGACGACACCACCTTGCCTAACATTTGTGAGAGGAGGCCTCCTCGGATCTGGTTCGCCAGAGTTCTGATGCTGCCCTGGCGGTCCTGGGGCAGGGAGACTGTGCCTGCTGTCCTGTCTATTTGTGCTCCTAGGTGAAATACTCTGTCGGTAGGCGAGAATTAGGTCTTGTCGTAGTTGAGTGAGAATCCGTGCTACTGCAGGTTCCGGAATGTGAAGCGGAGGTCTTCTGTTGGCCGGAGGTGGGTGGTTTGGATCAATATGTCGCTCAGGTAGCGTTGGACGCGAATAGGGATAGTCCTGAGGTGAGCCAAGAGAATTGCTAGGATCTGAGCGAATGTTCTGGTTGCTGAAAACAGGCTGAACGGGAGGGTCCTGTACTGGTAACCCTGGTTCGTGTACCAAAACCATAGGAATCGCTGATGAGCCGGCAACATAGGGAGGTGTAGGTATACTTCTGTTAGACCTATTGACATCAGGATGTCGCCCTCCTGGATGCTCTCCAGTATGGACTGGAGGGGCTGCAGTTTGATGGTCTTGCTTACTAGATGCTTGTTGAGTCTTTGTAGGTCGAGAATCACTTGAATGTCCAACAGGTGTATCATCAACCTTGGGGGTCTCGGGAGAAAATCGAGAGCGACGCCTAGTCGGACGGTGTTCAGGACCGTCGGTGTCCGCAACGTTGGATCTGCGGTCGTTTCCTCCCACTGAGTCATGAACAGACTTAGGCGGCTGATTTCCTTTGCCTTGAAATGACTGTTTGGACTGGAACTGCTGCCTGTTATTCCCTCTGTTGCCGGGCCTATCAGATTGGCGATCCTGATGCTGGAAGTATGCCCCCTGTGGTTGTGAGAAGTCGTCTGCGGTGTCCACTGCTGTGAAGGAAGGATTTTGAGACCACCTATTGGATTGGTGATCCTGAGGCTGGAAGTATGCCCCCTGTGGTTGTGAGAAGTCGTCTGCGGTGTCCGCTGCTGTGAAGGAAGGATTTTGAGACCACCTATTGGATTGGCGATCCTGAGGCTGGAAGTATGCCCCCTGTGGTTGTGAGAAGTCGTCTGCGGTGTCCGCTGCTGTGAAGGAAGGATTTTGAGACCACCTATTGGATTGGCGATCCCGAGGCTGGAAGTATGCCCCCTGTGGTTGTGAGAAGTCCTGTGCGGTGTCCGCTGCTGTGAAGGAAGGATTTTGAGACCGCCTATTGGATTGGCGATCCTGAGGCTGGAAGTATGCCCCCTGTGGTTGTGAGAAGCCCTGTGCAGTGTTGGCTGCTCTGGAGAAAGTATTTTTAGACCGCCGGTCGGGGCGTCTGCACATAGAGCGTAGGACCTTCTTTTTGTCTTCCGTCTCTATGAGCACAGGCTCTAAGGCCTCTCCGAATAGGTTGCCCCCTTTGAAGGGGGCTGTGGCCAACTTCCACTTGAACTTTACGGTTGCCTGCCAATAACGGAGCCACAGCAGCCGTCGGGCGGTCACAGAAGAGAAGATGGAAGATGGAAGCGAACTTGGCCGAGTTCAGTGTGGCATCGGCAGAGTATTCTGCTGCCATTACCAGGTTGTTGAGGGCTTGGTGAGCTTGGAGGTCGGTGGCTGGGATTCTGGCTTGCATCTCTTTGAGCCAGAGCACGGAAGTTCTGTTGAAGAAGGAAGCCGCCGTAGCCGCCTTAATCGCCCAAGCAGCCGAATTATAGGCTTTGCGGAGCGATACCTCAGCTCTCCTGTCTTCTGCATTCAAAGCTTCATCCAGGTTATTGGTTATTATGTCGGCGCAGGCTAAGGCCGCCACGGGCTTGTCGATGGTTGGCATTTCTAAGGCCGCCGTGAGGTTCGGGGCCACATTGTAGAACTGCTTGTCAGTCATGCTCTGGCCCGGATACCTCCCTGGTTGGTCCCATTGTTGCTGGATGACATCCAGGAACAGTTTCGGGGAGGGGATCTCCTCGTTATCTATGGTGGGCTCCGAGAACACCAGACTATTGGGGTCAGATAAACCCGAGGCCGGATCTGATGCGGACGAATCCTCTATCCGAGCCGTGGCCTTGGCTCTGTGGAGAAGCGTCTTAAACAAGGCAGGGTTGAAGAGCCCTGTGAAGGCCAGGGTATCCGTAGTCCCTCCTTTGTCCTCAGACACCATCGACCCTTGAGGTTCCTCATCGTCCAAGAGGGATTCTTGGCTGTGTATGGAAGGGGCAGGGGAAAGGGGCCTGGGAAGAGCAGCTACGTCCCTGGGATTATCGGGTGCAGGAGGCTGGCCCTCGTGTGGAGTGTGGTCAGAGGCCGCCTGCTGGTTTTGTTGCATGCCTGCGGCAATGCCCCGAGCAATGGCCTCCGAAATCATTAGTCTCATTCGCGGGGTAATTTGTGGGTGCTGCGTCTCCTTTGGGAGGGACTTTTCGGGCTCCTGCGTCTCCTTTGGGCGAAGTCCCGCCACTGCAGGAGTGGAGGTAGCCTCTGGGGTAATCTTTGCCCTTTTAGCAGCCGGCTCCTCCCAAGGAGTTTCCGGTGGGAGATTTGACACCGAAGGGAGGGACGAAAGCTCATCCTGTTCTATCATTGGAAGCGTCGGGTCAGAAAGTTGCTCTCCGGCCCCATCCGGTGACTGCACCGGGCTAGCCGTCTGACCAACCTCCTTTGTTAGAGGTTGCAAGGGCTGGGGCTGAGAAGCCTGGGAATGTTTAGGTTCGTCCACCAGGGGGCTCTCTTGCCCGCCTTGCTCCCCCTCCCCCCCTTCGGCCTTAGCCGCTTCTTCTTCCCCACCCAAGGCCTTTTGCTCCTCCTCCTCCTCCTCCTCCTTTGCCTTAGGGGCCTTTCTGGAGGAGGGGAGGGCCTTTGCCCTGATCCTGGCCGCGGCCCTCGTGGTCACCGTTTTGGGGGTGGCGGGGCCTTTCTTGGGCCCCCGGGGCTTCGGGGCTGGCGGGTTCAGTCCTTCCCCACTCACGGTTTCCTCGTGGCCGTCTGCTGCCTCGGGAGGCTCCATTGTCCCGGGCTCCGGGTCCCTCGGAGAGGCGGATGGCTCTGGATTGGCGGCGCCCACGAGAGTCTGCACGGGGCCTCCCCGGGCAGTGACTCCAGGCCCCTCCGCAGGCCTGCAGGAAGGGCAAGCGAGGCCTGGGCTCTAGGAGCCGCAGAAGGGCGGCCTGCCCCCGCTGGGCTTCTCCTGCAGGAATTGGGGGCTTTTTTTTTTTCCTTTCCTCCTGGCGCTGGGATGATGGGAGCGCAGGAAACGCGCCTGCCGCGCTGGAGACTCAGTGGGAAAATGGAGAAGGGGAGCCGAGGGGGCGGGGCCACGAGGCTTTGAGTGACTCAGCCCCGGAGAGCAGGAAGGCGGAGTTAACCCCTTCCTTGCCTTGGCCTTCCCTCTCTCGGCGCGCTCCGGAGGAAGAGAAGAGGAGGACAAGGGTTGGGAGGGGCCCGGGAGGTCATCTAGTCCAACCCCCTGGACCGTTTCAGACCAAGGGCTGTCCAGTCTCTCTTAAAAAAAAGGCTTCTTAAAAAACCTCCACTGATAGAGAAGGAAAGAAGGAAGGAAAGGAAAGAAGGAAGGAAAGAAAGGAAGGAAGGGAAGGAAAGGAAGGAAGGAAAGGAAGGAAGGAAGGAGACTAGATAGATAAATAGGTGGATGGAGAGGAAGGAAAGGAAGGAAAGAAAGGAAGGAAGGGAAGGAAGGAGAAAGGAAGATAATAGGGGGAAGGGGAAGGGAGGAAGGAAGGGAGGGAGAAAGGGAGGATGGAAAAGAAGGAAGGAAAGGAAGGAAGGAAAAGGAAGGAATGAAAGGAAGGAAGGGAAAGGAAGGAAAGAAAGGAAGGAAGGGAAAGGAAGGAAGGAAGGGAAGGGAGGAAGGAAGGAAGGGAAGGAAGGGAAAGGAAGGAAGGAAGGAAAGGATGAAGGAAGGAAAAGGACAAAAGGAAAGAAAAGGAAGGAAGAAGAAGGAAGGAAAGGAAGGAAGGAAGGAAGGAAGGAAAAAAGAATAGCAGAATAAAGAGAATAATAGAGTGGGAAGGGTCCTGGGAGGTCATCTAGTCCAACCCCCTGATCTGGCCAGATTTAAAATTGATTTATTGTGCCTTTTTTTTAAAAAAAAGTATCTGGGGTTTTTGGGGTAGATTCTGGATTAATTTGAGCACGACCCCCTTATTAAATAGGTCATTTAATTTAAAACTGATTGTATTTTCTGTTATTGGGGTTTTTTGGGTGGAATGAAAATTGGGGTGTGTGTGTGTGTGTGTGTGTGTGATTCAGAAAGGCTTATTCTGCTTTGCCCTGGAGATGGATGTCCAACCCATTAGATTAAATCCAGATTAAATTCGATCTTGATTCGATCTCAGCTCCGGCAAATCTTAAAATTCCATTTAGAATTCAAGTTCTTTTTAGCTGTAATCTGTAGATATGCCAGTTGCTGGTTGTGTGTGTGGGGGGGGGGGCGTGGATTCAATGCCTTAACTGGGGTGGGGGGGGGCGATCAAAAACACTGGGAGCTCTTGTGGGTAGAATTGGGGAGGTAAACTACTCCTTCCTCTGGAAGCTCTCTCCTGCTTCTTTCCAAACTAAACAGGGCAGAAAAGAAAAGTATTGGCTCCCAGCTTCCAGTTTTTGGGGGGCATCGGGGAGGTAGACTGCTACTGGCTAGAGAGGCTCTCTTCCGAGTGTGCAGAGAGAGAGAGAGAGAACCCGAGGGAAGGAAGGGGTTAACTTCCTGCTCCTTGGGCTGAGTCAATCAAGCCTTTGTAGCCACGCCTCTCCATTGGGTCAGACTTCTCCATTTTCCCACTCAAGTCTTCAGCTCAGCAGACGCATTTTCTCCCACTCCCATCTTTCCAATTCCAGAAGGAGATTAAGAAGAAGGGAAAAAAATCCCCCCGATTCTACAGGAGAAGCAAAGCTGAGGGGGTCCCTCTGAACTTCCCGCAGGCCTGCGGACGGGGACTGGAGTCACAGGCCTGGGAGCCTCCAGGGAAGACTCCTTTTTTTGCGGCCATCCAAGCATCTCCAATCCAGAGCCATCCGCCTCTCCGAAGGACCCAAACCCCGGGACAATGGAGCCTTCCGAGGCAGGAGACAACCAGGAGGAAACCGTGAGTGGGGAAGGACCGAATCCACCAGCCCCGAAGCCCCGGGGGCCCAAGAAACGCTCCGTCACCCCCAAAACGGTGAAAACAAGGGCGGCCGCCAGAATCAGAGCGCAGGCCCTTCTCGCCTCCAAAAAGGCCCTTAAAGCCAAGGAGGAGGAGAAGGAGGAGGAAGACCAAAAGGCCTTAGGGGGAGAAGAAAGGGAAATGGAGCAAAGCAGGCAAGAGATCCCCCTGGTGGACGAACCTAAACATTCCCAGGCTTCTCAGCCCCACCAGCCGTTACAACCTCTAAAAAAGGAGGTTCGTCCGATGGCTGGCCCGATGCGGTCACCAAATGGCGCCAGGGAGCAGCTTTCTCACCCGCAGCTTCCAATGCTAGAACAGGATGAGTTTTCGGCCCTTCCTTCGGTTTCGACGCAAGGTCTTTGGGAGGAGCCGGCTCCTAAGAGGGCAAAGACTACCCCAGAGGCTACCTTCACTCCTACAGTGGCGGGACTTCGCCCAAAGGAGACGGAGGATCCAGAAATTACCCCAGAAATCAAATTAATCATCTCCAAGGCCATTGCTCAGGGCATCGCCGCAGGCATGCAACGAAACCAGCAGGCAGCCTCTGGAAACGCTCCGCAGAAGGGCCAGCCTCCTGCACCCAATCATCCCAGGGACGTAGCTGCTCCTCCCAGGGCCCTTTCCCCTGCCCCTTCCATGTTCAGCCAAGAATCCCTCTCGGATGATGAGGAACCTCAAGGGTCGATGCTGTCTGGGGACAAAGGAGGGACTATGGATAGCCTCGGCTACACAGGACTCTTCCGTCCTGCCTTGTTTAAGACGCTTCTCCACAGAGCCAAGGCCACGGCTCAGATAGGAGGGGATCCATCCGCATCAGATCCGGCCTCGGGCTTATCTGACCCCAATAGTCTGGTGTTCTCAGAGCGCACCACAGATAACGAGGAGATCCCCACCCCGAAACTGTTCCGGGATGCCGTCTACCGACAATGGGCCCAACCGGGGGCGTATCCAGGCCCGAGCGTGAACGACAAGCGGTTCTACAACGTGGCCCCGAACCTTGCGGCGGCCTTAGAGATGCCGACCATCGACGAGCCCGTGGCGGCCTTAGTCTCCGTCAACATAATAACCAATGACCTGGACGAAGCTTTGACTCCAGAAGACAGGAGAACTGAGGTGAATCTCCGCAAAGCCTATAATGCGTCTGCTTGGGCGGTTAAGGCGGCTACGGCGGCTTCCTTCTTCAACAGAACTTCCTTGCTCTGGCTCAAAGAGATGCAAGCCAAAATCCCCGCCACCGACGTCCAAGCTCACAAGGACCTCAACAACCTGATCATGGCGGCAGAATTCTCTGCCGATGCCACGCTGAACGCGGCCAGATTCGCTTCCAGGTCCCTCGCCTCTTCCGTGACGGCCCGACGGCTGCTGTGGCTCCGTTACTGGCAGGCAACCGTGAGGTCTAAGTGGAAGTTGGCTTCAGCCCCCTTCAAAGGGGAGAACCTATTCGGAGAGATCTTAGAGCCCGTGCTCATAGAGACCCACGACAACAAGAAAGTCCTACGCTCCGTCCCCAGACGCCCCAATCAGCGGTCTCAGAATCCTCCCTTCAGAGCAGCCAACACCGCAAACAACTTCTCACAACCACAGCGATCCTACTACCAGCATCAAAATCGCCAATCCAATAGGCCCGGCAACAGAGGGCAGCAGAACAGGCAGCAGTTCCAGTCCAAAGGGCAATTCGGAGGCGGCGGAAATCATCCCTACAATCGCTCTTCCAGATAACTGCAAATCCAACCCTCCCATTGGTGGCCGGCTAAGCCACTCTTTGCGGCTCAATGGGAGGAAACAACCACAGATTGTCCGCTTAGGCTGCACCCCCGCCCCCCACCGGTCCCATTTTGGGCCTAGCAGGCCTTTCTGCAGCCTCCTGGGACCAAAAACGGGCCGTGGGAAGGCGCTGCTCTCCCCCCCCGGCCCCATTTTGGCCCTAGCAGGCATCCCTGCAGCCTCCTGGGACCAAAAATCGGGCCGCGGTGGAGGCCCACTGCCCCGTGCGCTGCCCTAGCCTGCACGGGCAACCCCTTTGCATGCACCCGTGTCTCCCACATGCTCCCTGCTCCCCCGCATCCTGAAAATCAGCTGGCCGGTGGGAGGTGCATGTCTCTCTTGATCCCCTCCCAGTATCGGTGGCCCAAATTCTGGGCTTCCTACAGGCCGGGCCAGACAATGCGTATCGCCCAATACGATACGCAGACAAGTGGCCGCCTTGTTGTCCGTGTTACCTTGCGGGGAGCTGGAGTCCCTCGCACGGCACCCTATTTTGCGCAGCTTCCTCAGAGGACGACTGACTTAAAGCCTCCGACAGCGCACCAGTATCCCACCTGGGAACTACCTACCAGCAATGACTTTCTTCTCCCACAGTCTTTCAAGATACTTCACCATTACCGACCTTTATCAGGCTTGGCGAGTGGCCAGGCCGATATCTTTCAGACGCCACAATGCTTGGCAAGAATGCAGGAATGAACTAATTGTCTCCTGCAAACTCCCCCCCCTCCCCTTTCGCTCCTCTTTTATTCCCTCTGGGAGGAGCCATTCACCGTCCACCTGTGGCTTTACTCCTGAGTCGCCCCTTCTTCTTTAGCTGTTCCCTTCGTCTGGAAACTCTGCACATGCGCACACTGGGAACAGGCTCCAGCTGTTTGCCTGCCTCACTGATGTCTGACTCCAAAGGCGTGGGCCACACGAGCCTCCATTGATATGCCAAGCAGCGACGTGGTCCTCTCCTTCGCTGTTTATACGGTATTATAAGATGGATGCCTTCGCTCCCACTGAAGCGGCCTTCAGCAGACAAGACCTCCAGAAGGTGTACGCAGACGCGGGGGATCCGGACCAGACCGCTGCCCATCCTTAGGAGGCTCCGGCTTTGGTATGTCCCATTCCTTCGATTCGCTGTTAGCACAAATTCGTTTTTGCTGTTTTGCAAAGCAAAAAGAGAGGAAAAAAAGGGGGGGTCTGAAAATTGGGGGGGGGCGGGGGTGTGATTCAGAAAGGCTTATTCTGCTTTGCCTTGGAGGTGAGTGTCCAACCCATTAGATTAAATCTAAAAGATTTAAAGAGCCTTGGTAGTACAGTGGTCTAAAGCACCCTGTTATTAAGCTGGTTATTAAGACCAGCTGCCTGCAATTACTGCAGGTTCGAATCTCGCCAGGGCTCAAGGTTGACTCAGCCTTCCATCCTTTCTAAGGTGGGTAAATTGAGGACCCGGATTGTGGGGGCAATAAGCTGACTTTGTATAAATATACAGAAGTATGAAGGCTATTGCTTAGCGCATTGTAAGCCGCCCTGAGTCTCCGGAGAAGGGCGGCATATAAATCAAATAAAAAAAAAAAATCCAGATTATTATTATTATTATTATTATTATTATTATTATTATTATTATTATTGATTTGATTTATATGCCGCCCTTCTCCGGAGACTCAGGGCGGCTTACAGTGCGTTAAGCAATAGCCTTCATCCTTTTGTATATTTATACAAAGTCAGCTTATTGCCCCCACAATCCGGGTCCTCATTTTACCCACCTTAGAAAGGATGGAAGGCTGAGTTCAACCTTGAGCCTGGTGAGATTCGAACTTGCAGTAATTGCAGGCAGCTGATGTTAATAACAGTGCTTTAGTCTGCTGCGCCACCAGGGCTCTTTTTTAAATTAAATTCGAATTTAAATTCGAATTTAAATTCGATCTCAACTCCAGCAAATCTAAATTTAATTTAGAATATGTCGCCTTGTGTGTATGTGTCCGTTTGCGAAAGCCACCAGGGTTTTCAATTTGACTCGAAGAATCTGACGTTAAATCTCTTCTTTTTTTCCCCCTCCCGTCTCTCTCTCCGCTTCCCAGGAATTGACGACGTGGAATCCGAGTGCGGGTTAGACCGAGGCATCCCCTACGATTGGGTGGTCACCAACGACAGAGACCAGCTGTCCTTGGATGCCCAGCTGGAGAAGCTGCGCCAGTTTATCCAGACCAAACTTTAGGAACAGCTGGGTTTCCCCGTCTCTCTCTCTCTCTCTTTCTTTCTCTCTCCTCCCCTGTAGCTCTTTTGGGGAGGGGGCTCTTGGCTGAAGAACCAAAGAGGGGTGAAGATGTTAGAGGAGGAGATCCTTCCCAAAAAAAGGAGACCCCAGGCAAGGAACCATCGCATTAAACTTTGCTGTACAGTTTCCTTCCTGGAATGGAGACTCCATTCCAGAAATTGCCATAATCCAGTGCCGGTTTTTCTTCTCTCTGTCTCTGTCTCACTATCTATCTTCCTCCATCTCAATAGGGCCGCCTGTTTTTACCACCCTGCAAGTATCTTGAGAGGAAGATTAAATTTCCACCTTTTGATAGGTCTCGATTCCTTCCCCCCCCCATTGGTGGAAGGGATTAACGGGGGTCCCTCTTGTTCTTCGCATCCAATCGTCATTTGAGATGGGGACAGTACCGCTTCCCGCCACCAGGGGGCAGAGCAAGCCCAGCTTTTTCACCCTAGCTTCTGCCGCTTTCCAAAGCAGGAAAAAAAAATAATACTCTGATGTTTGTCCTTCCATTTAATTTCATGCAAGTTTTTTTTTTTCTCCTGATTTGATCCTTGGGGGAAATCCCATTTTTTTCCCCCCGCTAGAGATCTTCCCCCCCCCCGGGAATGGAAATATTCCCACTGCTACGGTCCTCTGCGGTTAGGAATCCCACCGGTTCCCCCAACAGGTGGGGAAGAAGCCACCTTGTCGTGCCTTATTCTCAAAAAGCTCTCCCGTCTGTCGCTCTGGTTTTCCTCCTCCTTTTCTTTCTTTCCTTCCTTCGTTCCTCCCCAAATTTCCCCCTTGGCCAGGTGCAGAATGCGGCAAAATGCTCCTCTGCCATGGGGGGTGGGGGGAAGGATTTCCTTCCCGAAAATGTGAAGGGAGACCCCCCAAAATTGCATAGGGATGAGAAGCGCTTGAAAGAAGCCTTCAAAAATTTTGCTTTTTGCAGCCCCCACCCCCTCCCCTCCCCGAGTTTAATCTCCGCTTCATTCCCCTCCGGTGCCGGGTTTTTAATCAACTTCCGTTGCGGCGCAGGAGCCCTGGAGGGATTAAAATAAGTTGGCCACTAAACAGATCGGCTCCCGGGAAGGTCGGAAGGTGGACAAACTGAATTTGCAAAAGGGGAGCAGTTTTGCAAGGCTGCTGCATTAAGGGGGAAGGAGAGGAAGAAACTTGGGGAGGGGGCTGTTTTCAGCCCTCCCCCCCCATTCTGAATGGGAAATATCCTCCCAGCTGTTTGCAAGACCCTCCCCAATTTTTTTCCTCCGTTGCTGTGTGTACCCATGTTAATTGCTAATATTAATGACAGTGCCCGCCTTTTTTCTCTCTCTAGTCCTATCGGGTATTGAGGGGGTGGGGAAATGTTCCAATAAAGCCCATTGATTGATTGATAAAGCCCCCGCCTCTCTTTTTTATTGCCTCTTCTGGCGTCCAATCCGGTTGATTTCGTGCAAGCAGGTAAAGGAAGGTGGAAACTAAGGTTGTGTGAAGGCGTTGGCTAGCTACGGATCCTATCCGCCAAACGAGGGGGGAGCAATTAAGAGGAGGGGGGGTTTCTCTCTATCTTCTGGAAACACCCCCCCCTCTTTTGGCCTTGGCTGCCTTCAAAGAAATCCTTGTGATCAGCAAAGTGATAAATACAGGTCCTCGAGTTACGACGGTTCATTTAGTGACCAAAATCGCAACGGCGCTGAAAAAAAAGGGGACTTTGGATCGTTTTTCACACTTAACGACCTTCGTAGCATTCCCCCCACCATCGCGGGATCAAAATTCAAGAGGCTTGGCCCTCGTTTCGTACTTATGACCGTTGCTGTGTTACGTCATCTCCCTTTTGCGACCTTCGGACAAGCGAAGCCAGTGGGGGAGGAGCCGGATTCCCTTAAGAAGCAGGTTACTCGCCTCCACTGCCGTGATTTCACTTACCGACGGTGGCAAGAAAGGACGTAGAGTGGGACAGGACATTCCCTTCACAAGCGTCTCGCTTGACAACGTACTGTGGGGATGTTGTTAAGGTTGGGTCAGGCAATGTTAAGAAATGGAGCTCAGGGAGGCCCAAGGAACCCCGAGTCTTCCTCCTCCTTTCCCTCCTCTTCCTCCCCTTCTCCACAAAACCACTCCCCTTCTAGCACTGATGATGTTACCTAGTGGGTCATGAAACGTCTGCAAGTAAAACCATCAAGCTCCTCGTGTGCTCCTCCTCTCTGTGGTTTTCTTGAAGACGTCTCATGACCCAACTAGTAACATCATCAGTGTTGGAGGGAATGAGGTGAGAGGAAAGGAGGGGGAGGAGGAGGAGGGTGGGGTCCTTGGTGCTCACTGTGGTTTTCTGGCAGACGTCTCATGACCGAACTAGGTAACATCATCAGTGCTAGGAACAGCACTTAAATTTTTACGGCTTTGATGACATTAAGGGGAGCCGTCAGTCAATCTGCACTTTTGCTCGGTGTCCTTAAGTCCTTCCGGATTGGTTCCCATGTCCCCCAACCTCAGGCCAAGTCATAGAAATGCCAGCCAGCCCACACTGCCCTCTTCAAAGAGACTCCATCCCAAAACTCCTTCCTCCTGGGGCCAATTAACTCAGCCTCTTCGGACCCCTGCAGGCTGAGGTTTCTTTGGGGACCCCCCCTTTTTTTGGGTAGTCCCTCAAATAGCCCCAGCAGACCCTGAGTGGGCCATTCAACAGGCAGCTGTGCAACAGGTGCAGCTGGGCGCTTTTGAGGATTTCGGGCGGAGACAGAAGCATCCACCTGGAAGTAAAGGGATTTTTTTAAAAAAAATCGCTATTATTTTAAAACGGGGGTTTCCCTGCTCTCTCCCCCCCACCCACCAGAACCTCCCCTGGCCCTAAGTAAGGGGATCCTCCCAGCTGGAGGCTGATGGGAGTTGGAGTCCTCAGCTGATGGAGAGGAGGGGAGGGTTTTTAAAAATAAGGGTGAGCCCCCCCCAGCTGGGCGAGATCAGCTCTCTCCAGATGTTAGGGCGTCTGCTTTCCAGATATAACGAGGATGGATTGGGAGGGAGGGAGGGAGGGAGGGAGGGAGGGGGGGCAAGGGCTCCCCCTCCCCCCCAGCTTCAAGAGACATCCAACCGGGAAAGCCTTTTCCAAACCCAGCTAAGCGGCATCACCTGTTGTTTCGCCCACCTGCAGCCCAGCCACTCCACGGCTCCCGCTCTCGCGTGGGGCTGGGCGGGGGCGGGAGGCGGAGCCTTTCTCCAGCCGAATGAATGAAGGAGACCCCCCCCTTGGGTGGGTAGGTGGGTGGGGGGCGCAAAGAGAGAGAGAGAAAGCAAGAGCCTGCGAATCCCGTGGTACTGGAGGAGAGCGCACAGGCGCATTCCTAGCGGGCGCATTTGGGGAGGGGGGCTCTTCCTCTACAACCCCCACCCACCCCCAGCGGGGAGGGGAAAGGAGGGAGGGAGGGGCTGTGATGTCACCCCCCCACCCTCCTCCCCCCACTCACCCCCGAGCCAGCCAATGAGCGCGCTCCCCAAGGCAAAAAAAAGGGGGGCTTGGCCACCGGGCGCGTTCGCGAGCGTGCCAGCCAACCTTTGCCAGTCGCGCCCGCTGGCAGCTCGGCTGCAGCCGCCGCCGCCGCCGCCGCCGCTGCCACCCGCCCCAGCTCCCAGCCCAGGCGGGGGCAAGCCGTTGGCTTGGATGCCCCTACGCTGGGGCGGGCAGCGCGCTGAGCCGGGGCAGGGACAGTGGCAAGGGCCGGGCAGAGGAGGAGGAAGAGGAGGAAGAAGAAGAGGAGGAGGAGGATGGAGCCCCCCGCGCCCTTCCTCGACTCGGGAGGGGGCGAGCCGGCCGCGCCCGTCGTGCCCCCCAGCCTGGCACCCATCCCGGCTCCCGTGCTTCCCGTGGCACCCATGCCACCGATGCCACCGATGCCACCGGCCTCCGGGGGTCCCTTACGGGCTCCCCCGGCCCTGGCCGCCCTCCGCCCGGCTTCTCGCCACGGCAGCCAGCCCAACGTCAGCGGAGAGCCCGGTTGGGCGGCTCCGGGCCACTCGCCCAGCTCCAGCGGAGGAGGAGGAGGAGGAGGAGGAGGACCGGCGGCGGCCAAGCACCGTCAAGCCAGCCCCTTGGCACACCGGCGAGACAGCAACCCCTTCACCGAGATCGCCATGAGCTCTTGCAAGTACAGCGGCGGCGTGATGAAGCCCCTCAGCCGGCTCAGCGCTTCCCGTCGGAACCTGCTCGACGCTACCGGTTCGGCTCCCGGTCCCGGTTCAGGTCCGGAGCCTGGAGAGGCTCAACCGTTGCAGCTCTTGGCATCCGGGCCGCCCCCGCCGGAGATCGTCATCTCCCGGGAAGACAACCACTCTCCGGCTGGGCTCTTGCACCCCAACACCGGCGGGGGTCCCGGCCACAAGCCCCCTTCCTCTTCCTCCTCCGGCTCGGCTTCGGCCGCCTCCGCCGGGGTCCCCGGAGCCGGCCCGCCCTTCCCCACCAAAGCGCCCAAGCGTAAAACCCAGAACATCGGTTACCGGCTGGGCCACCGGCGCGCCCTCTTCGAGAAGCGCAAACGGCTCAGCGACTACGCGCTCATCTTCGGCATGTTTGGCATTGTGGTCATGGTCATCGAGACGGAGCTCTCCTGGGGCTTGTACTCCAAGGTAGTGGGGAGGGGGGGGAGGGCAGGAGGGGGAGAGAGAGGGGCGGTGGGCTCGCCAAAGAGCGACCCCGGAGCGCGCCAGGCTTGGATAAGGTGGGGTTGGTTGGTTCTTTGGAAAAAGAGACTTGAACCTTGGTGTGTTTGGTGGTCCTCTTCCCGAGATCTCTTTCCGAAGGTAAGAGGGGGGGGGGAGCTGGGGAGGGGGGGGGGGGTCGCAGACACTTGGTGGGGTTTCCCCAAAGCGCACCCGGCTTGGATAAGGGGAACTGGCTGATTGGGGAAGGGACTTGAACCTCGGTGGGTTTGGCCCTCCTCTTCCTCCGACTTCTTTCTGAAGTTGAGAGGGGGGGGTCGCAGACACTTGGTGGGGTTTCCCCAAAGAGCACCCAGCTTAGATAAGGGGAATTGGCTGATTGGGGAAGGGAACTTCAACCTCGGTAGGTTTGCCCCCCCCTTCCTCCTCTTCCCCAGACCTCTTTCCGAAGGTGAGGGGGGGTTTGCTGGGGAGGGGGGTTTGCAGACACTAGGTGGGGTTTCCCCAGAGAGCACCCTGCTTGGAAAAGGGGGGCTGGCTGATTGGGGAAGGGAACTTCAACCTCGCTGGGTTTGGGCCCCCCTCTTCCTCCAACTTCTTTCTGAAGTTGAGAGGGGGGGTGTCGCAGACACTTGGTGGGGTTTCCCCAGAGAGCACCTCGCTTGGAGAAGGGGCTGGCTGCTTGGAGAAGGGACTTGAACCTCGGTGAGTTTGGCCCCCCTCTTCCTCCTCTTCCCCAGACCTTTTTCCAAAGGTGAGGGGGGGGGGCTGGGGGGGGGGGGGGGGGGGTCGCAGACACTTGGTGGGGTTTCCCCAAAGAGCTCCCAGCTTGGAAAAGGGGAACTGGCTGATTGGGGAAGGGAACTTCAACCCCAGTGGGTTTAGCCCCCCACCCTCTTCCTCCTCTTCCCCAGACCTCTTTTCCAAAGTTGAGGGAGCGGGGGTTGCTGGGGGGGGGGCAACCCATCCAGGGGGCCTCCCCAAAGTGTGCCTCAGTTGGATTAGGGGGGCTGGCTGTTTAGGGAAGCAACTTTATCATTAGTGGGTCTCCCACTCTCCTCTTCCCCAAACTCCTTTCCAAAGTTGAGAGGGGGTGGGGGTTGCTGGGAGGGGGTTAACCAGTGGGGGGGGGCTCCCCAAAGCATACCCCTATCCTAAATACCTGTTGCAGGTATTTAAGAGAGGGGTCTGGCTGCTTGGGGAGAAGGCCTCAATTCTTGGAGTCCAACTCTTTTTCCTCTTCCCCCTCCCCCACCTCTTTTCTGAAGTTGGATGGGGAGGGGGGAGAGCCAAGAGTCACCCCTCCCTTTGCTCCCCTCTCAAAGGAAGGAGACAGGCAAGGGAAGGAAGGAAGGAGAGAAGGAAGGCAGGAAGGAAAGAAGGAAGGTAAAGAGGAAAGAAGGAAGGTAAGGAGGAAGGAAGGAAAGAAGGAAGGAAAGAAAGGAAGAAGGAAGGAAGGAAAGGAGGAAGGAAGGAAAGGAGGAAGGAAAGAAGGAAAGGAGGAAGGAAGGAAGGAAGGAAAGAAGGAAGGTAAAGAGGAAGGAAGTAAAGAAGGAAGGTAAGGAGGAAGGAAGGAAAGGAAGGAAGAAGGAAGGAAAAAAGGAAAGGAGGGAGGAAGGAAGGAAGGAAGGAAGGAAGGAAGGAAGGAAGGAAGGAATGAATCCATCTGGATTGATAGCGAAAGATTGGCCAGTCTGTGTCCAGGAGTCAAAACGAATGCAAAGGCATGGAAATTAATCAAATAATATTTTCCCCACCTGCAGTTAAATAATGTTTTCTAACAGTTTAATCCAGTGTTTTTCTCAACCGCCGCAACTTTTAAGCTGCGTGGACTTCAACTCCCAGAATTCCCTGGCCGAATTCCCTGAACCATTGGGCTGACAATTTAAAATGCCACCTGATCTAAATTTTCTTCCTTGTCATTTTAACTCGCTATTTTTTTATTTTTTTGCTCCTGCCAACTGAGACAAGGGAGACGACTAGCCTATGATTTCTTATTTAGGATCCACCCTTTAGAGATTCAAAGACAGCATTGGTATCTGTGGGTTGGTCTGGATGACCTCTAAGGTTCCAGGAAGACGGAGTGAATTCTTGAAAAGGAAGGCAGAAGATGGTATCTTTCTAAATTAGCTCTTTCTGGTGTTTTTGGTTTTTTTTTTTTTAATAATTTTTCAGAATATCAGTCTTATCAGAGATTCATCTCACCGAGATAGGCCAGATTAATAGAATAACAGCATTGGAAGGGACCTTGGAGGTCTTCTAGTCCAACCCCGTGCCCCAGTCGGAAACCCTGTACCACTTCAGACAAATGGCTGCCCAATCTCTTCTTAAAAACCTCCAGTGATGGAGCATCCAGAACTTCTAGTGGCAAGTAGTTCCACTGATTAATTGTTCGTACTGTCAAGAGATTTCTCCTTAATTCCAGGTTGCTTCTCTTCTCGATTAGTTTCCATCCGTTGCTTTGTGTCTTTTCTTCTGATGCTTTGGTAAAATAAATTGAACCCCCTCTTCTTTGGGGCAACTCCTCAAATATTGGAAGGCTGCCACCCCTTAGTCCTCCTTTTCATTCAACTCGACATCCCCAGTTCTTTGTATGTTTTATCCTCCAACCTCCTAATCCTCTTTCTTGCTCTTCTCCGCACTCTTTCTAGAGTCTCCACATCTTTTTTTTTCTTTTTTTTCTAAATATCGTGGCGACTAAGGAATTGGCACTCAAGACCTGCCCAATCTCTGCCTCCTTTCTACCCGCATTTCTCAGCTTTTCCCCCCGAGCCAAATCTCGCCCACCAGTTACGTCTGGGCAAGGCTGATGAATTTCTAACTTATTTATTTATCGACTGCCCATCTCTTGAGCGGTTAAACGAAGAATAATTCATCGCGCCTGGCACGGAAGATGGGAAAGCCGGAGATTTCCGGCCTCCAATTCCATTTTGTAATACAATCTCTCAATGATGGTTTATTCACCTAGCCACCATTCAACGGAGGGCAGTGCCAACAGACTTTGGGTGAGCTAAAGGGGTTTTGTGTGGATAAGGATGCCCCTCGATTTTTTTTTCTCTCTAAAGCAGCTGGAATAAGGAGAAAATCTTTCTGGGCTTGAGGGCGAATTATTAAATTAATCTCTAAAACAGCCTTTCTCAACTTTGGCAGCTTTAAGAGGGGTGGGCTTCGACTCCCAAAATCCCCCAGCCAGCATGCTTTAAGAGGGGTGGGCTTCCACTCCCAGAATTCCCCAGTTTGCATGATTTAAGACGGATGGACTTCAACTCCCAGAATTCCCCAGCTGGTATGATTTAAGAGGGGTGGGCTTCAACTCCCAGAATTCCCCAGCTGGTATGATTTAAGAGGGATGGACTCCCACTCCCAGAATCCCCCAGCCAGCAGGCTTTAAGAGGGATGGACTCCCACTCCCAGAATCCCCCAGCCAGCATGCTTTAAGAGGGATGGACTCCCCACTCCCAGAATCCCCCCGCCGGCATGCTTTAAGAGGGATGGACTCCCACTCCCAGAATCCCCCCGCCAGCATGCTTTAAGAGGGATGGACTCCCACTCCCAGAATCCCCCAGCCGGCATGCTTTAAGAGGGATGGACTTCCACTCCCAGAATCCCCCAGCCGGCATGCTTTAAGAGGGATGGACTTCAACTCCCAGAATCCCCCAGCCAGCTTGTTTTAAGAGGGGTGGGCTTCCACTCCCAGAATCCCCCAGCCGGCATGCTTTAAGAGGGATGGACTTCCACTCCCAGAATCCCCCAGCCAGCATGCTTTAAGAGGGATGGACTCCACTCCCAGAATCCCCCAGCCAGCAGGCTTTAAGAGGGGTGGGCTTCCACTCCCAGAATCCCCCAGCCGGCATGCTTTAAGAGGGATGGACTTCAACTCCCAGAATCCCCCAGCCAGCTTGTTTTAAGAGGGGTGGGCTTCCACTCCCAGAATCCCCCAGCCGGCATGCTTTAAGAGGGATGGACTCCCACTCCCAGAATCCCCCCGCCAGCATGCTTTAAGAGGGATGGACTCCCACTCCCAGAATCCCCAGCCAGCATGCTTTAAGAGGGATGGACTCCCACTCCCAGAATCCCCCCGCCGGCATGCTTTAAGAGGGATGGACTCCCACTCCCAGAATCCCCCCGCCAGCATGCTTTAAGAGGGATGGACTCCCACTCCCAGAATCCCCCAGCCGGCATGCTTTAAGAGGGATGGACTTCCACTCCCAGAATCCCCCAGCCGGCATGCTTTAAGAGGGATGGACTTCAACTCCCAGAATCCCCCAGCCAGCTTGTTTTAAGAGGGGTGGGCTTCCACTCCCAGAATCCCCCAGCCGGCAAGCTTTAAGAGGGGTGGATTTTAACTCCCAGAATTCCCCAGCTGGCATGCTTTAAGAGGGGTGGGCTTCCACTCCCAGAATCCCCCAGCCAGCAGGCTTTAAGAGGGGTGGACTTCCACTCCCAGAATCCCCCAGCCAGCCTGCTTTAAGAGGGGTGGGCTTCCTGCTTTTATGATTTGGAAAAAAGAAAAAGAGAAAAAAAAGTAAACACCCAAGCTATTAATAATCTTGAATTATACCCAGCCTCCTCCCCTCCATCTCCTTTTCCTACTCTTGTGGGTCAGCTCTATTGTGTTAAAACAACACACATACACACACACACACACAAGGTTGGCTTGGCAGGAATCCCCTCGCGTGGGTGGCGAAGAGGAGATCGGAGTTGTAACAGCTGAGCCCAGGGCGGGCAAGAATTCCCTTCCTGTAGGGCGGGCAGCGATGGCACGGGGCCAGCCCGGCTGCAGCCATTTCTGGCTCTGCGCCTAATCGATTTGGAAGAGTCCTGGCCGAAGCTGGTTTCTTCCCAAGGCTGCTTTTTAGCAAAATCAACGGCCAGTATCGATCCTAGATTCCCAAAGCGGAAGGAAGTGGGTTTGTTAGTTGACATCCCATCTAAGGAACATGGTTCGTGCAATCGTGCCTCGAAGGGATCTTAGTCTTTTCCCGGTGCTTGGAAAGCGAGAGACCAAGACTCGGCCGGCATCCGGTGGAAAAAAAGGCCCTCTAAACAGGGTTTTCCATCGATCGTAGTTTGTTGGGTCAGCTCCGCGATGGGCTTTGCGCCTGAGCCGTTGATCGTGATTTGCAAGGCACAGAAGGTAGGTTGGCCTCTTGCCAACGCAACCCCATGAAAACGATGCCCTGTTCCTCGATCACTCAACAGCCCGACACTCCAAGCCAGGTTTTTCGTCGATGATGGTTTGTGGAGTTATCTCTACGAAGGGCTCTTTTGGAGCCTTGCGCTGAGTTGTTGATTATGATTTGTGATGCACTGCAGATGGATTGGCCTCTTGCCAACGCAGCCCATGAAAACGATGCCCTGTTCCTCAATCACTCAACAGCCCGATACTACAAACCAGGTTTTTCATCGATGATGGTTTGTGGAGTTATCTCTACGATGGGCTCTTTTGGGGCCTTGCGCTGAGCCGTTGATCGTGGTTTGCAAGGCACAGAAAATAGGTTGGCCTCTCGACAATTCAGCCCACCCAAAATAAAGACCCCCCACTGCTCACCTCAGCAGCTTACTTTGGGGCTGGACTAAATGACCTCTGAGGTCCCTGTCTCAGAGACACGGGAGATGAGGAATCGGGGAAAGACCGACACTGCAACCGTCATAACTACAAGTCCATTGCCAGGCGTCTGAATGTGGATCATGTGATAATGGGGCTGTTTCGAAAGGTTGTTTGTATCTGTGAAAATCGGTCCTTTTTTTTCAGGGCCGTCGTAACTCCGAACGGTGGCTCAATGAACTCTTGTAAGTCGCGGACGGTCTGTATTGGTCGGTCATTAAATGAATGGCCAGAAGTCAAGGACTAGCTGTATTGATCAGTGTTGGGTTTCACTTATCTTTGCTACCGGTTCGCTCGCGCGCTTCGCTCTCTCTCGCGTGCCATTTCTGCGCATGTGCAGAGTGTATTTGATGACGCCCGGGTGTATGGGCGGAGCCTCCCGCTGACCCCTCCCCTGACCCAGATTACCCAGAGAAAACCTTAAAATTATTTATAATATTTATTTTAAAATTATTTATTTTATTATTATGTTGTTGTTATTATTGTTATTATTATTATTATTATTAGTAGTAGTAGTAGTAGTAGTATTATTTTATAATATAATTATAATTTTTAAAAAATAATATAATAAAATATAAAAAATTATAATTAAAAAATATTTATTTATTTAAACATAAAAAATATTTATTAAAAATTATTTATAAAATTATAATAAAACATTAAAAAAAAACAACCTGGGGATACTTCATAAAAATGGATTTTGTCTGCGTGGGATGCTAAAATTAGAAAGATTTATATCTTTATTCTTCTGGAAAAATAGGAAACAACTCTCCGGAGGGATATTTTTCTTCTGTTTTTTTTTTTGTTTTGTTTTTCCCCAGCCCAGAAAAATCAATGGGGAAAAAAAAGAAAAATTACCTCAGACTTATTCTTCGACTTCCTAGGGGAGACATCTTGATTCTGATTTTTTTTATTCTTTTGTTTTGCTAAAGGTTAACGGGCTTCCATGGTTTTGATTTTTTTTTCCAGAACAATTTAGCGTCTTTCTGGAAGCTTCCGCCGTCAATAGTTCCAGCGGAAAAATAACACCGGCAGTCCTCGTCTTACAACCGCAATTGAACCCATTTCCGTTGCTAAGCAATACAGTTTTAAATGAGCGTCGCCCCCATTTTACAGCCTTGCGAGTCGCTGGAGTTGAAAATTCAGGCGCTAGCCCCCACAGACTCATATTTACGACGGGGGTCATGCCATCCCCTTTACGACCTTCCGGCAAGCAAAGCCAACGGGGGAAAGCCGGATTCGCTTCACAGCCATGTTCCTTAACTTAACAACTGCAGCGATTCACTTAACAACTTAAGAAAGGTCTTAAAACGGAGCAAAACTCCCCGAACAAATGTCTCGCTTAGCAACAGAAATGTTGGGCTGGATCACGGTCGTAAATCCAGGACTGCCTTTATCGGAGACACAAAGAAGGTTGGGTATTCCGGATTTTGTTCTATTTAGTGCTCAGTTGCGGTCGTAAGTCCAGGACTACCTGAATCAGAGACGTTGAGACGTTGATTATTCTAGAAACTTTGGACTCGATTTTAGTTATAAGTTGAGGACAATCTGTATTATTTTAACAAGTTGGACTGCTGGGGGGGAACGACAATCAAATCCATCCCAAATCTTATTTTTGAGGGAATGAACAAAAATATATATGTAATTTTAATTTAATTTAATTTAATTTAATTTTAATTTTTTAATTTAATTTAATAATTTAATTTATTTTAATTTTAATTTTAATTTTAATTTTAATTTTAATTTTAAATTTATATGTAATTTTGCCTGCTTGGTACGAGAAAAAGGAGGGAATGGTACTATTCCCAACTTAATCTATTATATTTCTTTTCTTCGCAGGGTTCCATGTTCTCCCTGGCCCTGAAGTGCCTCATCAGCCTCTCTACTGCCATTTTATTGGGGCTGATCATTGCGTATCACACCCGGGAAGTCCAGGTATTTCAAAGAGAGATTCCACATAAATGTGATTTTTCAATGGCTTTTTATTTCTTTTTAAAGTTTCAGGAGGGCTGGCTGAAGTCTCGTTTTGTTTTGTCTTTTTTTTTAAATTTGAGATTGTACGGAGATCGTAGGTCTTAACTTGGGTGATTTTTTTTTGTTTTTGTTTTTAAGCGTTATATTCCTGTAGGATCCCTAAGGGGTCATCGAGACGGGCTCGGGTTGAGGGATTGGCCTGTCTTTGCTTAATGGTTTTATTATTATTGTTGTTGTTGTTATTATCTCTTTTATTCATTAAACATGAAACTCAGTCAACTGAACATTTAAAAATGTATCATAAATACCATTGACTGGTGCTAATGGTTGATACGGGTTGCTGCCAGCATTTCTAGGGATCAACCAAGGACCTTCTTAAAATATACGATGATGATGATTATTATTATTATTATTATCATCTCTTTTATTCATTAAACATGAAACTCAGTCAATTAAACATTTAAAAATGCATCACAAATACCATTGACTGGTGCTAATGGTTGATACGGGTTGGTGCCAGCGTCCTAGGGATTAACCAAGTATCTTCTTAAAATATACGATGATGATGATGATTATTATTATTATTATCATCTCTTTATTCATTAAACATGAAACTCAGTCAATTAAACATTTAAAAATGCATCACAAATACCATTGACTGGTGCTAATGGTTGATACAGGTTGGTGCCAGCGTCCTAGGGATTAACCAAGGACCTTCTTAAAATATATGATATTATTATTATCTCCTTTATTCATTAAACCTGAAACTCAGCCAACTGAGCATTTAAAAATGTGTCACAAATACCATTGACTGGGGCTGATGGTTGATATGTGTTGCTGCCAACATCCTAGGAATCAACCAAGGACCTTCTTAAGATGTACGATGCTCCAAGTAGCGCAGTTTTTTGCAGTTCCACTGGTGTTTTTTTATTATTATTATTGCAAAGCCACACTTTCTGACCCAGCTTTTATTGGGTTTCGACGCTGTTATGAATCAGCAGACACCCGAGATATTTAAAAATAAAGAGAATTATCCAGCTGGAAGGAGAGAGGGATAGACAGTCAGGCAGACAGACGCTGATCAATATATAATAGAGACGATAGATAATAAGTTTAGAGCAGTGTGTTCTTAAACCCTGACAGTTGTCAGATGTATGGATTTCAACCGGGAAGAATTCCCCAGGCAGCCTTGGTCATAAGATGAGGACTAAGTATAGAAGAGAACAGTGTCTCCCCGATGGCTGGGGGGTTCTGGGAGCTGCTCCGCGCATCTACAAGCTGTCAAGATTTCGAAAGATATCAGAGAGAGAGAGAGAAAGAGATGGATGGATGCTGAGAGCTGATAGAAAGGGATTTTTAGAGAGAGGGAGTTGATGGATGGGTAAATGGATGTTTGGATAGATAGGCAGACAGGCAGACACAGGGGAGGGAGAGCAGAGAGGGAGGGAAGGAGAGAAGGAAAGAAAGAGGGAAGGCAGGAAGGGAATGGCTAGATAAACAAGGGAAGGGAGGGAGGGAGGGAGGGAGGAAGGAAGGAAGGAAGGAAGGAAGGAAGGAAGGAAGGAAGGAAGGAAGGAAGGAAGGAAAGAAGGAAAGAAATACCTAGATAAACAGACCAGGGAGGGAGGGAAGGAAATAGATAGCTAGATAAACAAAAGAAAGGGAAGGAAAGGAAGGAGAGGAGAGGAGAGGAGAGGAGAGGAGAGGAGAGGAGAGGAGAGGAGAGGAAAGGCTTCCTCCACCCTCCCTCTCTCATTATCTAGCCCTTTCCTTTCCTTTCCTTTCCTTTCCTTTCCTTTCCTTTCCTTTCCTTTCCTTTCCTTTCCTTTCCTCCCCTTCCCCTTCCCCTTCCCCTTCCTTCCTTCCTTCCTTCCTCCCTCCCTCTCTCTCTCTGTCTTTCTGTCTGTCTTTCTTTTTCTCTCTTTCTCTCTCTCTCTCCCTCCCTTTCTCTCTCTCTCTCTCTCTCTCAGACATTGCCCTATCAATGCCGGCCCCTCAGTGTCCAAGGGACGGAGGATTTCTCAACCTAGATGACCCCCCCCCAAAAAAACCCTGGGGAGAGCCACTGGCTCTGTAGCACCACCAACATCCCGCCTCTGTGGGTCTCCATGGTTACAGGAGCATCGCTTGAGTGTGACTTTCATTCTTAGGCATCCCGAAACCAATCCGGGTTTCATTCAAGGTTTTCGCTCCTGGTTGGCTTCTGTTGAAATAGAAGGGAAGGGATTCTGCCAGTGGTTCTCAAGACCTTATTTATTTATTTGTGTATTTGTGTATTTATGTATTTATGTATATTTATTTATTTCCCTCCCTCTTTCTTCCTCCCTCCCTCCCTTTCTCTCTTCCTTCTTTCCTTCCCTACCTCCTTCAATCCCTCTTTTTCTTCCCTTATTCCCTTCCTTCCTTCGTTTCCTACTCTATTTTTTGTTCCCTCCCTCCCTCTTCCTTCCTTCCTTCCTATCTTCCTTCCTTCTTTCCTTCCCTCCCTTCCTCCTTCCCCTTCCTTATTCCCCTCCTTCATTTTCTTCTCTTTCAGTTTTCTCCTTCCTTCCTTCCCTCCCTGCTTTCCCTCCCTACTTCCTTCTTTCCTTCCCTCCCTCCCTCCCTACTTCCCCTTCCTTATTCCCTTCCTTATTCCCCTCCTTCATTTTCTTCTCTTTCAATTTTCTCCTTCCCTCCTTCCCTCCTTCCCTCCCTCCTTCCTTCTTTCCTTCCCTCCCTCCTTCCCCTTCCTTATTCCCCTCCTTCATTTTCTTCTCTTTCAGTTTTCTCCTTCCCTCCTTCCTTCCTTCCCTCCCTACTTCCTTCTTTCCTTCCCTCCCTCCCTCCTTCCCCTTCTTTATTCCCCTCCTTCATTTTTTTCTCTTTCAATTTTCTCCTTCCTTCCTTTCTTCCCTGCTTTCCCTCCCTACTTCCTTCTTTCCTTCCCTCCCTCCCTCTCTACTTCCCCCTGTTAGTATCAGCAAACACCAATCCGTTGCATTGGACGTAAGGTTGACAGGGCACTTCGGTGGCACCACTAATATTGGGAGGGGGGGTCTGCTTCCTTGTGGGAGGGGGGAGCCCTCCTTGTCCTCCCTGCTTGTGGCCACAGAGAGACGGTTTCAACTCAGCTGAAAGAGCAGCTGGCAAAAAAAAAAAAAAACCCAGAAATTTTCTCTGGGTTCAAGATTTAATCTTCTACACTCTTGCCCTGTTGAATTTCTGGCTGACCTCTGGCCACACGGATCCCTGCTTCTCTGGAGGAGAGACCCACATCCTTTCGGACAAGCCAGGAAAAAAAATACCCCAGCCAAATAATGCAGGAATTCGAGGTAGATTTGGGGTGGAAGGAAGACAGCCAAGGTCTGCAATAAATTCGGTGTTTGCCAGGGAGGAAAAAAAAGACAAGAGTTTTGTAAACACACCGTAAAATTGTGGGGAAAGGCTGATGAAAACCACAGAGATGCAAAAGAAGTTTCTTCAAAAAATGTCCAAAGCCAAGAATCTTGCTGAATTTTGCAACATCTGGCTTCGTCCCAGCCATATGTCTCTGTCCTTGAAATGGACAAGCCACAACTGGAAATCCTAGTTAGTTCTCTTCGCCCAGAAGGGAAACATCTGGCTCAATCTGGAATTTCAAGCCTTGAATGTTGAGGGGAAGAAAGTTGATAAAGGGTTGAAACTTGAAAAGCAACTTTTAAAAGGAGAATTCGGCTGCACCAGTTATCTTTACACAGAAAAATGCTGGTTTTTTTTTCCTTTTGTTAGTTGACTCGTTTAGAGAGTGGGGGGGAACACAGTTATTTTAAAAATAATTATTTGCTGCTCAAACCCCTTTTTCATTTCCTATTTTAAGGAGGATCTTATTCTCCAAAGTTGTTCCACAGGTCCAGACCCTTATATATATCTTATTTCTCTACTTGCCAGCAAAAAAACAAAAACAAAACAACACCAGGCCAATCAATATGCCAGTAATTGCCAGTTCCAAACCAAGAACAGTCCGTTTCCTGCTCTGTTTTGTTGCCGGCGAGAAATCTTTACAGCTCTTTTCCACTTAAACTTGAAAAGAAAAGGGCACCAAGGGGTGATCGTAGATTTCCCCCCCGGCTATTGATGGGATGGAAAGAAAGTTTGGAAGGGAGCGAAATGGGAAAGGAAGGAGCGGTTGACACAAAGGAGGGCGTCAAAAGGGCTATACAAGTAGTCCTTGACTTACGACTGACGTACCTGTTGCTAAGCGAGACATTTCCTAAGCGAATTTTGCCCCGTTGAACGAACTTTCTTGCCACGGCAGTGGTTCGATTAGTAACACGGTTGTTAAGTGGATCTGGTTTTTCCCCATTGATTTGGCTCGTCAGAAGTTCACCAAAGGTGGACCTGCAACCGTCATAAATACGAATCCATTGCCTGAATTCTGATTGCGTGACCGCGAGGATATTGTTAAAGTGTGAAAAAAAAACCCGATCCTAAATCGCTTTTTTTTCAGCGCCGTCGTGACACCCGAATGTCCCCTACATTGAGGCCTTGCCCGTAAGGCAGCTGGGGAAAGCGAGCGGGGGTTTCGTAAGGACTAGAAACCTGGCTCCGAATTGGTTTTATTTGTTTTTTCTTTCCCCTCACTTAGCTCTTCGTGATCGACAACGGGGCCGACGACTGGCGGATCGCCATGACTTACGAACGTATCCTGTACATCACTTTGGAAATGTTGGTTTGCGCCGTGCATCCTATCCCGGGCGAATATAAGTTTTTTTGGACCGCCCGGCTGGCTTTCTCGTACACGCCTTCTCGCGCCGAAGCCGATGTGGACATTATCCTCTCCATCCCCATGTTCCTCCGCCTCTATCTCATCGCCCGGGTGATGCTCCTTCACAGCAAGCTCTTCACCGACGCCTCGTCCCGCAGCATCGGGGCGCTGAACAAGATCAACTTCAACACCCGTTTCGTCATGAAAACGCTCATGACCATCTGCCCCGGCACGGTGCTTCTGGTCTTCAGCATCTCCCTCTGGATTATCGCCGCCTGGACCGTACGGGTTTGCGAGAGGTGAGTTCGTGCAGCGGGGGTGGGTGGGGGCGGGCCCCCATTGGCGGACAGTTGGGTTTGCTTCATGGCTGCGGGGGTTCGCTTAGGGACCGCCACGAGGAAGGAAGGCCGTAACATCAGGGCTGGATTTATTTGTCTGTCTGTCTATTCATCCATCCATCCATCATCTATGCCTCTATCTATCTATGTATCTAATCTGTTTCTATCACTAATCAATATATCTATCTAATCTATATCGTCTAACTATCAATGGTATATATCTATCTATCCATCCTGCCTGCCTGCCTTTCTGTCTCTATCTATCTCTATCTCTAATCTTTAGCTTCTATCTCATCTGTTTCATCTATCTACCTGCTATCTATCTATCATCCATCCATCTATAATCTATCTTCTCTTTCTCTCTCTCTCTCTCTCTCTCCCCCCCATATCCCAATCTATCCATCCATCCATCTATCTATCTATCTATCTATCTATCTATCTATCTATCTATCATTCTATCATTCTAACATTCTAACATTCTATCATTCTACATCATCTACCGGTATATATTAACTTTAGCTTCTATCTATCTATCTATCTATCTATCTATCTATCTATCTATCTATCTATCTATCTACGTCAGATAGATAGATGTATCTATCATCTCTGTTTATCTGTTTATCTATCTATCATCTATCTATTTATCTATCATCTGTCTGTCTATCCATCTATTTATCTATCATCTATCTATCATCTATGTTTATCTATCATCTATCATCTATATCTATCTAACTATCTATCTATCTATGTCAGATAGATGTATCTATCATCTGTCTCTCTATCCATCTATTTATCTATCATCTATCATCTATGTTTATCTATCATCTATCTATCTATCTATCTATCTATCTATCTATCTATCTATCTATCTATGTCAGATAGATGTATCTATCATCTGTCTCTCTATCCATCTATTTATCTATCATCTATCATCTATGTTTATCTATCATCTATCTATCTATCTATCTATCTATCTATCTATCTATCTATCTATCTATCTATCTATCTATGTCAGATAGATGTATCTATCATCTGTTTATCTGTTTATCTGTCTATCATCTATCTATCTATCATCTGTCTGTCTATCCATCTATTTATCTATCATCTAACTATCATCTATGTTTATCTATCTATCATCTTTCTATCTATCTATCTATATCTATATATTGTATCATGTATATCCCTATAATCTACCTTTTTGTCTATCTACTTCTAAATATATAACTACACACACACAGAGAGAGAGAGAGACAAACACACACACATCCATATATTTGCTTCTAAATCTTCTAAAATCTACCCAGGTCACTTCTTTTCCTTTCCAATTCTTCTACTCAGCTGGTAGAAGAAGAAGAAGAGAAAAAAAAAAACGACAAAAGAGTTGTGGGCTGAATGTGAACCCACAAACACACACAGAGGGAGAGAGAGAGAGGCTTTCCACCTTCTTTGTCATCTCCCTTCCCGCTGGGCTGGCCTTATCTTGGGACATTCAAGCTGCAAAAGAAGCCCGCGTGACACTTCGACAAAAACACACACACACACACAATGCGCAGGTTTGTCCTCGTGCTAGTGACAGTGCCGGGAAGTGACATTCACGTGGGGTGTAGGCGGGACTCCCTAACAACCAGGGAACGGAGACTCTCGGCAGAACCCCCTGCCTACTGAAAGGCTCCGGGTGCGAAATTAGCCAAGCCAAGGAAAAAGGTGTAAACCTTCCCCGCCTGGTTTATTTTGTATGTCTCTCTTTGTGTGTGTGTGTGCGCGCACCACAGTATTGCTCACGGGTGTGAATAGATGGGGAAGGCCTGGTGTGTGTGTGTTTGTGGATTTGTGTGGATTTTCGCACGTGTCAATGTGTGGTTGCTGACCACACATTCTAAACATCTTTCTGAGATTCTTAGAAGCGTGAAAATGGTTGGAAGTTGGGCTATCCCGAAAAGGGGAGGGGGGAAAAATAATGAAAAAAAAGAGAGAGACATTAAAAAAAAATGTTTTGCCTCTGTTTAGTTTTATTTTATTTTATTTTATTTTCCTTTCTGGTTGTGGGGGAATTCTGGGGATTGACGTTTATCTATCTTGAAACATGCTGGCTGGAGAATTCTGGGAGTTGAAGTCCATCTTAAAAGATGCTGGCTGGGGAATTCTGGGAGTTGAAGTCCATCTTAAAGGATGCTGGGTGGGGAATTCTGGGAGTTCAAGTTCCATCTTAAAGGATGCTGGGTGGGGAATTCTGGGAGTTCAAGTCCATCTTAAAGGATGCTGGCTGGGGAATTCTGGGAGTTCAAGTCCATCTTAAAGGATGCTGGGTGGGGAATTCTGGGAGTTGAAGTCCATCTTAAAGGATGCTGGCTGGGGAATTCTGGGAGTTCAAGTCCATCTTAAAGGATGCTGGGTGGGGAATTCTGGGAGTTCAAGTCCATCTTAAAGGATGCTGGCTGGGGAATTCTGGGAGTTCAAGTCCATCTTAAAGGATGCTGGCTGGGGAATTCTGGGAGTTCAAGTCCATCTTAAAGGATGCCGGGTGGGGAATTCTGGGAGTTCAAGTCCATCTTAAAGGATGCTGGCTGGGGAATTCTGGAGTTCAAGTCCATCTTAAAGGATGCTGGCTGGGGAATTCTGGGAGTCCATCTTAAAGGATGCTGGCTGGGGAATTCGGAGAGTTGAAGTCCACCCATCTTAAAGCATGAATTCTTTGTTAACATCTCATGATTGAGTAAATCCTTGCTATCCAGCCCAGGAAATTCCGATTTTAAGTCCTCTTGGCTCACATATGTTGGGCCGCAGAAGCCAAGATCTAATCTGGCCTCTGAAAAAAATAAATTGTAGATCTGTGCAATGCATAATGAAGCTGTTTTTCAGGGCTCTGCAAAGAATCCTAACCGAAATCTAACCTTTCCTCTTGGCTGAAGAGAGCGAGAGAGAAAGCGATCAATAGTCATTAACCAGGCTTACAAAGCCAGCAACAGAGAGAAAACCGAGCATATTAATCCCAAAGGATGGGGGTTGAGGGCTTGCAGAAAATTTCCCAGATAAAGGAGAGATTATTTTCATTTCAAAAGCTTTGGTGTTATATTTGGAAGTGTAAAAAACAGTGGGGGGGGGGGAATAGGCCCGCTCTTGGCCAGATGTTGCAACATTGAGGGACAGTAACCTGGGTAGTCTAAATTAGCAAACGTCCTTGGGATTTTTCACTTGGGGTTCGGTGGAAGGCCAGTGTCTCCAGAGCTGTATTTCTCAACCTCTGCAACTTGAAGAATGGTGGACTTCGACTCCCAGAATTCCACAGGCTGGAGCATGTTGGAGAAGTCTGGGACTTGAAATCCGTAAAGAAGTATGCGAGAAGTATGGACGTCGAGTCCCAGAATTCTCCAACCTGCTTTCAGATGGATGGACTTCCATTCCCAGAATTCCCCTTCCAGCCTGCTTTAAGAGGGATGGACTTCCACTCCCAGAATCCCCCAGCCGGCATGCTTTAAGATGGGTAGACTTCAACTCCCAGAATTCCCCAGCCAGCATGCTTTAAGAGGAGTGGACTTCAACTCCCAGAATTCCCCAAACCAGCATGCTTTAAGAGGGATGGACTTCAACTCCCAGAATCCCCCAGCCAGCATGCTTTAAAACAGGTGGACTTCAACTCCCAGAATCCCCCAGCCAGCTTGTTTTAAGATGGGTAGACTTCAACTCCCAGAATTCCCCAGCCAGACTGCTTTAAGAGGAGTGGACTTCAACTCCCAGAATTCCCCAGCCAGAATAACTAGCTGGGGAATTTTGGGAGTTGAAGTCCACCGTCTTCCAGAGCTTGAGAAACGCTGTCCCAGAGAGGTTCCCGCTGGGTCCAAACTCCAGGAAAATTGTTTCGGTGCCTCCTGATTGTGGCTGTGTCATTTCACCCCCAGCAACCTGATTTTCTTCGGCAGGTATCACGACCAACAGGATGTGACCAGTAACTTCCTGGGTGCCATGTGGCTGATTTCCATCACCTTCCTCTCCATTGGATACGGTGACATGGTCCCTCATACCTACTGTGGGAAAGGCGTCTGTCTGCTTACGGGGATCATGGTAAGCCACGAAAAATCTGCTTTTTTAAAAAAAAAAAGAAACGCCCATGTGTTCGTGGACACAAGGGCACCAGTAATGTATTCAATTTTTTTGACCCTCCCAATTTTGGGGAAGGGTGCAAAGTGATTGTGCACACAATGTGGAGAAATGTATACAGGTCATCCCTGACCTACGACCACCGTTGAGCCTAAAATTCCTGTGGCTAAGGGGCTATCATTTGGTGCAATGAATTTTTATTTTTCCGGAATCATGAGGACTAGGACCTTGATGAAAGGTGGAGCGGCAGCTCTTTGAAAGCAGAAGGAACTATCCTGGGCTCCAACACAGAATGAGGGCTTTGTAGATTGGACACACAAGTGTCAGTGGCCATTGATGTGTTCTGTCGATGGTCATCGAATCATCCTGTCAATGGTATCAGGTCAAAGTCAATGGCTGTTGGCCCACATCAATGGCCATTGACTCATGTCAATGGCTATTGAGCTATCAGGTCAATATCAATGACTGTTGGCCATCAATGTCCGTTGACTAATGTCAATGGCTATTGAGCTATCAGGTCAATATCAATGGCTGTTGGCCCACATAAATGTCCATTGACTTATGTCAATGGCTATTGAGCTATCAGGTCAACATCAATGACTGTTGGCCATCAATGTCCCATTGACTCACGTCAATGGCTATTGACTATCAGATCAACATCAATGGCTGTTGGCCCACATCAATGTCCATTGACTCATGTCAATGACTATTGAGCTATCAGGTCAACATGAATGGCTGTTGGCCCACATCGATGTCCATTAACTCATGTCAATGACTATTGAGCATCAGGTCAACATCAATGACTGTTGGCCATCAATGTCCATTGACTCATGTCAATGGCTATTGACTATCAGGTCAACATCAATGACTGTTGGCCCACATCAATGGCCATTGACTCATGTCAATGGCTATTGACCCATCAGGTCAATGTCAATGATCATCATATAAATGGCCATTGATGTGTCCTGTCAATGGCCATTGACCCATCATGTCAATGATCATATCGATGGTCATTCAGCCATCATGTCAATGATCATTAACTCATCAATGGCCATTCAACCCATCATATCAATGAAGATTGACCCATGTCAATGGCCATTGACTCATTATGTCAATGGCTATTGACTCATTGTATCAATATCAATGACCATTGACTCATTGTATCAATGGCCATCGGTGGGTCCTGTCAACGGTCATTGACCCATTGTGTCAATGGTTGTTGAATATTTAAAACGAAGCACTCTTATAATTTTTTTGTCCTGCTCTTGCATATCTCTGCTGTACCTCCTTTTTTTTTTTAAACTAGCAATGCCAGCTAGATAATTGCATTTAATACCAGCTCACCTTAGCCTCTGGTTACTAGGGAGACCACGAAGGTCAAAAGCCTGTTTTTGAAAGGGGTGGTGGAGAATCAGACCTTCAAACGAGAGGAGGGAGTGAAATGCACATTAAATTGCCTGGCATGGTCATGCTGGTAGGAGCTCTTGAGTTCCCCACTTCATCCTGCAAACTGCAGCTCCTTCGGCCTCGCAGGAGGCCGGGAAGCTCAGCCTCAAAGTAAAAAAAAAACAATAACCAAAAGAGCAAAATAGCTTGTCTTTGGGGGGGGGTCTCTCCGGGGAATATTTGCAAAGAAAAAAGCCTTCCCAGGCAGAATGGGACCCCTGGAAAGGGCAAGCAAGGCTGGGGGAAGAATCGGGGGCCTGCTTCTTGCGTCTTTTAATTTATTGAGAGCGGTTGTGTAAAGCGAGGGAGGGAGATGGGTGGTTAAGAAATATGATAGATAGGTAGACCGACAGATGATAGGTAGGTAGGTAAGTAGGTGGGTAGATGGAAGGTAGATAAATAGGCAGACAGAGAGACAGACACAGAAGGAAGGCACGAACGAAGAAAGGAACAGATAGATAGAAATAAATATACAGTAGATAGATAGGGCAGGGAAAAAGGAAGATAGATAGATAGATAGATAGATAGATAGATAGATAGATAGATAGATAATAAGATAGAAGATAGATGATAAGATAGATAGACAGACAGACAATAGATAATAGAGAAGATAGATAGATAGATAGATAGATAGATAGATAGATAGATAGATAGTGATAAGATAGACAGACAGACAATAGATAATAGAGAAGATCGGTAGATAGATAGATAGATAGATAATAAGATAGAAGATAGATGATAAGATAGATAGACAGACAGACAATAGATAATAGAGAAGATAGATAGATAGATAGATAGATAGATAGATAGATAGATAGATAGATAGATAAATAATAAGATAGAAGATAGATGATAAGATAGACAGACAGACAATAGATAATAGAGAAGATAGAAATATTAGATAGATGGATGGATGGATGGATGGATGGATGGATGGATGGATGGATGGATGGATAATAAGATAGACGATAGATGATAAGATAGATAGACAGACAGACAATAGATAATAGAGAAGATAGATAGATAGATAGATAGATAGATAGATAGATAGATAGATAGATAGATAGATAAATAATAAGATAGAAGATAGATGATAAGATAGACAGACAGACAATAGATAATAGAGAAGATAGAAATATTAGATAGATGGATGGATGGATGGATGGATGGATGGATAATAAGATAGACGATAGATGATAAGATAGATAGATAGACAGACAGACAATAGATAATAGAGAAGATAGAAAGATTAGATAGATGGATGGATGGATGGATGGATGGATGGATAGATAGATAGATAGATAGATAGATAGATAGATAGATAGATAGATAGATAGATAGATAGATAGATAGATAGATAGATCTCCCAGTGATCAGGCCAAAGCCACCCTTTCTAGCTATGCTCCCTCAAAATAAAGCCTCCCTGTATAAGAGCAATCTACCTCTTAAATACATCTTCCCTTCCTCCTGAACAGCCTGTTGTGGTTTTGTGGTTTTTTCCCCACCAAAAATGCTTGGCAGGCCCTTGTGTGAAACAGGATGTTGAACAACTGGGTTTCGATCCCCGTCGGTCCAGAGCAGATCCAGATGTCCCCCCCCCTGCCCCGCCCTCCCCAATTCTCAGCTCCAGCTGGGGCCCATCTTCGACACTCTCTCTCTCTCTCTCTCTCTCTCACACTCCACCCATCGGGTTCCGTGCTGGCTGCCTTCGATTCATTTATCTTTTCTTTGATTAATGGTCTTGATTGGGGTTGCCTCCTGGGAAGGGGGGGGAAAGGGGGGGGCAGGATAAATGATGATTGCAAAAGAAGTCAAAATAAATTGCTGATATTTCTCAACTGGGGAACCGATGGCCTTGCCAAAGGGATTCTTCGCGATTTGCGACCTGCGAAGAATTCCAGAGCGGGAGGGGAGCAGCTGGGAGGGTGGGAGTTTAGAACTCGGAGCTCTGTGGATCTGCAGTGATCTCTCTCTCTCTCTCTTTTCTATCTATCTGTCTTTCCAATCCAGTTTCTAGCTCTTCACCCCTGTTTTATCATCTAATTCCATCTATCTATCCATCTCTCTTCTCTCATCTCCTCCCTCCCTCCCTTCCTCTCCTCGCTTTTTCTTTCCTTTTCCATCTCTCCCTCCTTTCCTCCCTCCCTCCCTTCTTCCTTCTCCCTCCTTTCCTCCCTCCCTCTCTCTCTTCCTCCCTTCTTCCATCTCTCCCTCTCTTTTTTGTATTTGTCTCTGTGTCTAATACTTCATTTATCTTCCTTTCTTCTCTCTTCCTTCCTCTCTCCTTCTCTCTCTCTCTCTCTCTCTCTCTCCTATCGTCTCTCTCTATCTTCTCTCTCTTCCTTTCACGAGTCTCTCTCTCCCTCTGTACCTACCTATTCATCCATCCTTCCATCCATCTATTTCCCTCCCTCCATCTCTCTCTCTTTTTTACTCTCTGTATCTACCTATCCATCCATCCTTCCATTCATTTCCCCCCCCTCTCTCTATCTACCTATCCATCCATCCATCCTTCCATCCATTTCCATCTCTCTCTCTCTGTATCTTCCTATCTATCCATCCTTCCACCCATCTATTTCCATCTCTCTCTCTCTGTATCTACTTCTCCATCCATCCTTCCTTTCATCCATTTCCCTCTCTCCATCTCTCTCTCTCTCTGTATCTACCTATCCATCCATCCTTCCATCCATTTCCTTCTCTCTCTCTCTCTGTATCTTCCTATCCAGCCATCCTTCCTTCCATCTATTTCCTTCTCTCTCTCTCTCTCTCTCTCTCTGTATCTTCCTATCCATCCATCCTTCCATCCATCTATTTCCTTCTCTCTCTCTCTCTCTCTCTCTCTCTCTCTGTATCTTCCTATCCATCCATCCTTCCATCCATCTATTTCCTTCTCTCTCTCTCTCTCTCTGTATCTACCTATCCATCCATCCTTCCATCCATCTATTTCCTTCTCTCTCTCTCTCTCTCTCTGTATCTTCCTATCCATCCATCCTTCCATCCATCTATTTCCTTCTCTCTCTCTCTCTCTCTCTCTGTATCTACCTATCCATCCATCCTTCCATCCATCTATTTCCTTCTCTCTCTCTCTCTCTCTCTGTATCTTCCTATCCATCCATCCTTCCATCCATCTATTTCCTTCTCTCTCTCTCTCTCTCTCTCTGTATCTACCTATCCATCCATCCTTCCATCCATCTATTTCCTTCTCTCTCTCTCTCTCTCTCTCTGTATCTTCCTATCCATCCATCCTTCCATCCATCCATTTCCCTCTCTCCATCTCTCTCTCTTCCTCCCCCCTCCTCTTTTTCTCGCTCTCTCTCTCCAATTAATATGCTGTCAGGCATACAACCAGCAGCGTCCATGGGATGGAGATGAGCTGTTAGACCAAATGCCCCTTTGGCCTTCCATGAAAAATTAAACTTTTGCAATCTCGAGTGTTTTGTTTTTCTCAATCTCCGGTTCCTCGAACATGGTTCGTCGGAAGCAGCAGGATTTGAACCAGCTGCTTCCTGCCCGGACGC